CTGGTTTCTCCAAAATTACCTACCCCACCTTTAATGTTAACCTTAAGTTTGCAAGGAGGCTATTGTTACTTCCATTAACAAGAGCTAGCTGTCTTAGCTAACAACAGTTAGCAGCTAACGTTTTCTGCAGTTTGTTTCCCCTGAAAAACGTGATGTAGTTATTTAAGGGTAAGTTAACTTAACGTTATCTCACAAGTTGAGAGAGTTAAGTTTTGTTTAAAATCGTCAATGTAATGCACGTTAGAGGTTTTGTGTTGAACATGAAGTTAGCTAACTGTAGCTCACTCTACCAAAGGTGTTAAGCTGTACTTTATGTGGCAGCTCGCTTATTACAAAGAGGGTGCTTCATTGTAAACTTTTCTTACAATGTGTGTTAATCTACCTGAAATTGTAGGGACAGTTTTTTTCTACTCAATGATACAGACCATTGTTGAGGAGATGCAAAACATACTGTAAATTAGTTGGGTCTGACATATACTTTGAGTAATGTTACTTTGCTGCTAAAAAATGAAACATTATCAGATGAGGACATCACCAAAGTGTGTGAGTCTGTCAGGAGATTTGATCTGTTCTTTGCATGTCGTACAGGGCCTATGTACACACTGCTCTGGTATTAATTAAAAATATAATTGTAAAATGTAAGTCTCCCGCTCTTGTCATCGTTCAGGCTTTGCATTTGAACTCCTATGATTGGTTGCGGACTTGAAGGGAACGACTTCCTGGCCTTCCTGACATCCAGGAAAAAGGTGAGATTCTAATCCATTTCAATGCCAAAAGCAAGTTATTGTTTTTAACTTTTTTTTTATATGATTTTTTGGGGAATTTCAGTTTTATTGGACAGTAGAGATCTACTGGAAACAGTGGAGAGGGAGGAGATGATATGCAGCAAAAGGCCGAGCCGGATGGTTGCTGCTCCATGTGGAACGTGTTCTATCAGGTAAAGCACTTTGGTACCCAGTTATTTATGGTATTGAGTTTGAATTTAGCCTTTGGAATGTAATTTCCAACAGTGCATTGTAAAGACTGAAAAAACAGGCTCAGGTTAAAGCTTGACATGATTTGTTCTTTTACTTAAGAGGATGTTTGTCCTCCTGTGTTGCCTTATTTCCTTATCTTTCTTTCAGGTTTAACATCTACCAATGGTTGTACATGACATAGACCTCCTCCACCTCGGGAGGCGTGTGGCGCAGTGGATAGAGCCTTGGTGTTGGGATCAGGGGGTCACAGGTTCAAACCCCACTGCAGTCAGCATGTCGTTGTGTCCCTGGGCAAGACACTTCACCCCAAATTGCTCCTGTGGGGATTGCCCACAGTATTGAGTATGTAAGTCGCTTTGGATAAAAGCGTCTAACAAGTAACATGTAATGTAATGTAAACCAGCCAACCATTCCAGCCGAATATCGTCAGGCTGGTCAGGCTGGTTTTTTCAGGAGGGGTTAACTCTTATCTGTCCTATCCTGTAGTTTCACTTTATTATTGCTTAATAATTAAGCTTAATAAAGGTGTATCTTATCTTACTTATATTGACTTGTTTTATGGTATCTTATCTCTTTTGTTCACCAGAGATGTGCACATAAGTGTTATGGAAGTATGTCATTCAGTAAAGAAAAGTTAGTCGACTGATAGCAAAACTACCAATTAGTCGACTATTAAGAAGTCAGCTCTATTAATGTCACTTGTGGAATTAAATGCTATTGTATGTTGTAATGAGTGACCATAAACTTTTTTTTCAAACTTTGACTCACCTTCTCAGAGTTGATGCTCAGCTTTTTCTCGACGTGCATGTGGATTTCCCCGTTTCTCTCCGGGACTGGCGTGGACTCCCTGGGTGTCCCCTCCCGGTCCTCTTCCTCGTCTTCTTCACCCTCCTTTGCATGCCTCTCATCCCCGTTTACTGTCCCGTCCACCTCCTCTGCTTCAACCACCACCACCACCACCTCCTCCTCTTCCTCCTCTTCTTCCTCCTCGTCGAAGGGTAAGGGCACCCCGTCAGTGACATACTCCTTCAGGCACTTCATGTTGTGTTTCTTCAGCAGCTGCTCCGTGTCCGGGTCCACGACCACCAGCTCCAGCCGGCCCGCGGTTACTCGTATCCGGGACACGACCTGCTGGTGGCTCTCGTGCTCCACGTCGTCCCCGTTCACGAACACGAGCCTATCTCCCGCGCGGAGCCCCGATGTCTCAGCCGGGCTTTCAGGCTCCACTAACCGGATAAACTGCCCCGTCTTACCTTTCTCTCCGTGGAGGTGGAAACCGTACCCGGTGTCCGCCTTGTCCAGCGTGCACAACCGGGGGCGTAAAGACTGGCTTTTGCTCGGCATGGTGGTGGTAAGGCTTCTCTCGCCTTCACTGTGTTTTTAAAGTGGAGTTAAAGCTCAGGATACTGCTTAGGAAGGGTGTGCGTAGAAATGCACCCAACCCCCGCCCTCTTGGGGAGATTACTCCGTGGGAAACGGTGCTGGTGTTTGTTCCAGCTTCACACACGAGTTTAAGTCTGGATGTGTGTGTCCTCTCACTTGTGTAAATCTGCACTGTGACTCGGTGCTCTCACGCGAATTGGAGGTCCTGACCTGAGGACTGAGCTGAGGCTGGTTAAACTCACACAGCTCCCCTCTCTGTGAGCGACAAAAGTAGAAAAGCCACTCAGGAAGAGGGAGGTGCGTTCACGGAACTGCCCAGCTGGCTGCCTCATGCAAAGTAGGAACTCGAGCAGTAGTAAACACAAAACCAGGCTGTCCAGGAACATGCTAGAAGATAATGATGTTCATAGGAGATAGAGCTTGGATTAAAAAATAATAAATAACAAACGTATTCTTTAATTCCCACTATTTGTTTCATACTTTTAATATTCAGTATTTTTCTTTTGGTTCTTAGAAATTGCATTTGTAGTTCCCCCCTCACCTTTTGCCTTCTTTCCCCTTTATGAAAAACACGTGTTGCACATTTTGTCATACTGTAGCTTACATATTTTTATTAAATGTTCTCCCTAATAATAAACACTTTTTCATCTCTAAATGTCAGTTTAGCTATGTAATTTGGCCAGAGAGGAATACATTACAGTGTGTTTGACTTTGATGTTCCACAGTAATTTTATTGTGACATTATCAAACTTTAAAACATTTGATTCTTGTATAGTTTCAACTAAGAATAAGTTCCCCCTGTGGTGTATAGTCTGTCATAAAATAATTATTGATTTCAGGAATGTTAACCCTGTAAAGTCAAACTTTTGTTTATTCATTTATTCCCATTATTTTAATCTTTCTTTCTCTTATATGATTTTTATAATTGAATTGTAGTTTCCCTCGTCACTTTGCCCTCTTTCCACACTGTGACCAGCACGTGCTGCATATTTTGTCACATTGTTCACACTGCTCTGAATACAATCTTATTTCTGGCATCTTGAACATTTTTCAAGCCAAATAACACTTTCACACTTTCTGTGTATCTCCTAGTGTTTTCATTTAGCTGTGTCAATTATCTGAAGCTTAATGAGTTTATCTGCCATTCCTTCTGGTAAAAGCACTACATTGCAGCAATAATAGGAGAAATTCCTACCTAGGAATAATAAAGCTTAAATCTATCTCACAATCTTGGTTTAACAGCATAATTGGGCCAGACTGACATAAATTACAGTTGTCTGTCTTTGATATTCAACAGTGATTATTTAGTTGTCACCTTATCACATTTAAAACATTTGATAATTTCCCCCTGTGGAGTTTAGTCTCCAATTAAACTCCTCATTAAAGGTGGCGTATGTAATTTATTTCAGAAACACTTTTTGTTATATTCCATGGAATGCTCTTAACATCCCGATAGCAATGAATATCTTAAATGCTTTGACAATAAATACATTAAAAAAATGTCATCTGTGGAAGCCGTAATACTGTAAAAAGCACAACCAATCATTTTAGCCGGCCCGGCTAAAATAACTGGATGGCCTACCTGCCTGTCAGCCTTCCATCTGTGCACAAACTTATCTCGTGCCCTCATTGGTCATGTGCGCGTTTGTGTGTGTTGGAGGAGGGGCTCTGTAAGGAAGTGGCAGATTTTTTCCAGTTGTGTATTTTCAAATTCTAGCGATCTCGAGCTGGTTTCTCAAAAATTACCTACCCCACCTTTAATGTTGTTTCAAATATGTAGAGTCACTGTTAATATAAGGATATGCCTGAAATAACATGTACACTCTGATATGCCAGATTAGATTAAATTGCAATGATCAACATTCACACTTTAGTCATTCTGATAACCCTTACGAGAGATTAATTCAACAATAATGATCAGCATCCTTTCAAACTCCAGTGTTTTGAAGCAACCCAGAACCCTCTTTACATTTCGATATCAGAGTGACTCACCTTTAAAAATAGAGCAGAGTCATAAAACAGCTAAAATAAAACCTGGGAGGATTTGACTCTTCATCTTGCTTCTGGTCCTGATAAGAGGACAGAGACAGGACACTCTACCTGGGAATATACATCTACCTCACCGTAAGCACTAATGAATACAGCTTGTTTAAGTGCTGCTATTAGTTTAGTTGATGGGAAGTCATTAAGGTAATTATGTTTTCTTCACGGATAGAAAGTCTCCTTAATGTGTCTGGAGTGTGTGTGACTCATGGATGCGAGTGGGTGAGCTGCATTCAGGTGTGCAGCCCAGTGCAGGGAATTGAAAATGTCCTCCAAGTATATCATAATAACTTTACCTAACACATTAAAACAACCACAGCACTTACAAAACATCACTATACATATTTTCAGCATCCTTTCAAAAACAGTAGATCTCTATATTGGAATAAAATAGACGGTACAGTCCTGAATCTACAGGTTGTCTAATTGATAAAACAATCTCTAGAGCAACATGTTAGAATATAAACAGGGTAGCTGCTGCCACACAGTGGCTCATTAACCTCAACACATCCTGTCACTCCCAACCCTCCAAAACCCCAACATACACACAAAAGACAAAACACACAGATGAGACTGACTTCAATAAAAAACACCAAATACATTACAAAATATACTTTTTTTTATATATCTAATATGATAACAAAGCACTTTTTCATGGCACTTTGTGATCACTGTGACGCCTCAGAAGAGGGACGAATGTGACAGCCAGCTAAATTCCACAAGCAAACATTCATAATGAACATTGTACAAAGAAACAAGTTACAAAATGTGGAGCGTGAACAAATACAGTTTGGGTACAGTCTACACAACAACATCCATCGTTAGAGGAGACACATCAATGTTCTGGGAGTTCTGCGAGCATGTCTGTGTTTGCAGATGGTTAAAATGTAAATAGCATGCGAAGGTATCTCTAACCAAAAGATGAGAAAGTAATGATAATTATCTCTTTGTATGAAGCCTGGTGTGACGTCAGTGGGTTGCTCAACCAGCACATTTACATGAACAGTACTTTAAATTAAGTGTCACTGGCCCTGAATTGAATGTACAGACAAACACACAGCGGGCGAGCGCCCTCAAAAAGTGGCTTTATTCTACCTAACAGCAATACAGATGTGAACAGACAGGATCATTTGAGCTACAATCTGACTGTGAGACTGACGTCCACTTCTCAAACACGCTGATTTATCAAAGGGTAAGACTGTAAGGCCAAAAGGGGTTCAGTTCACAGCCTGGTAAAACAGAGATGGAAACAAACTAAGAGCTGCAGGGCAAAATGCGATATCCACACCAACAGTTGTATTGATTGTTTGGATAAAACTGCCATTAATCATGAGTCAGGCTCTGGAGACTGCAGGAGGAAAAATGTAGCACTTGTGAGAATTTGATCGAACTCCGTTTTTCAGTGTCTGCTGCTAGAACAAATAAAACTCAAAAAGTTAACAGACGCCTCCCGGGCTTATTCTCTGCTGTGCTGCAGGGGTGAAGTATTTTTGTAGGAACGCTGGCCAACAAACGTTTTTTTTTTTGTTCAGCAAGGTAATGTTCACAAAGAACATAGCTGTTATGATTTTTGAAACATAAATGCAATTGCAAGCAGTGAAAAGCTGCAACTACACCAGGGTTGCATGATCTCAACATCAGAAATCCTTATCTGCATTACAAAAGCTTTTCCTTTCAGCGTGATTCATTGATGAATCTACGAGTTGCAAAAGTTAAGTAGGAATAATTAGCAAAAAAAAAAAAAACGTATTGCAAAAACGCTAACTAATTTAATGGGTTTCGGACTTATTCCTGCAGCACACTTGACTCGCATCTTGACCCCAGCCAGTTGCAATAGAATTTGCAAGAGCCAAGAAACGCTAGGATCTATTTCCATTGTTTGGCAGTAAACACAACACCTAGGCCTGCCGAAAACCGTGCTGCAGTGCTCTTCATGTTTGAATATTTTGCACTGAAACTCAATGTCAAATTAAAGGGAGTAGTTTCCCTAAATGTGTCCTCTAACCAAATAATAAACTCTTCAGATCTACATCAATCACAAGAGTGCCATAGTTTTCATCCAAAACGACAAATGATGTGTTTGCAGCTATTTAGAATAGAAAGATAATTATGTTTTTTCCGTGTCCCTGGAGATATTGCATTTTTGATTGCAACTCCTGACTTGTAATTTGATACAACTGTCACTACAAAGACCACACACATTTCTACAAATGACCTACAAAGAGTTTCAAATTCACATTTCAGATAAGGGATGGCTGCCAATCCAGATTCACTTTCCATTGGAGCTTAAAGCCCAGTGGTGGAGACGAGGTCGTCCGCTTCTCAGGTTTGGTGCTGGGATTGGCTTTTATGTAAGAGAGCAGACTTTATTTTTATTTTTACCTCGATCCAACTCCTTCCCTTCCTCCCCCTCCTTCTCTCTCTGTGTGTGTCTCTGCCTGGAGATCAGTGTCAGCTACATGTGGCCACAGCAGCTCGACTTGTGCTTCTGAGCCTCGATGTAGTCGTGTATCTGGAACTTGGGCTCATTCTGCTGCTGGGTGGCTCTGTGCTTCAGCTCCCTGAGGAAGAGACACGCAGGAAGTTAGATACAGAGGAGGTGGATGTGTGGGATGGAGCACACAGGGTGAGCAAATCAAGAAAAGGAGAAAGGAAGAGAAATAAAAAAAGCACAAGCGAGGGAGAGAAACTCATATCTGTACTGAGATTTAATCAAAATGCCTTTGGCAAGAACCATTTAATCAAACTTGCACTTAAAATACACACAACGATTGCAAATCACCCACTATACTCTATTTCACAGCTCTCGGGACATGCTGTGCAATCAGTCTTTTTTTGTTGACAAAAACAATGATTTTTTCTGCCTTTCAATAGGAAAGGTGTTGCACAGCTGATGTTTAAAATCCACAGGGAGCCTCAAACATGCACAATCACGGTATAACAACAACAGGAAGAAACAAGATATTAGCTAAAGAATCATTAGAGGAAATAGTTGCATGAATCAGAGAGAAGTCTGTGAGCATCGAAGAGCAACATCAAAATGATCGGGGAAGGAGATTAGAGTAACCCGAGTATGCAACATACATAATAATTCATGTGTTTATGACTCCATGAGCATGAATCCAAATGAATTCATGCACCTTTTTTTAAAATATAAGAAGAGAACGTTGTGCCAATTAAACAGGTCTCGAAACAAAATGTTTTTCTCCCTTCAGAGGACTATTTAAAAGACGCCTTTAAAGTGTCCAAATATTAATTTTACGGATCAATGCAGCTGTTTTTGGTAATGAGAAAAGTGCTATGGCTTCCTTTGAGAGTTTGTTTGGCTGTTATTTTCTTTAGTAAGAGTTGTTTGCTCTCATTTTAGGGGGCTGGTGGGGCGTTTGGAAATATCTCCTTAGACTTTCCACCTGTCACTTCTGTCCAGCTTTCTGTAAGGAAAACCTGCTGTGATGCCTTCATTCAGAGCTCAGCATTAAGACACTTGGCCGATAAAGAAATCATGTTCAGATTTAAAAAACAGTTGCATCCTTCAGGGATTTCCCCCCTGTTGTTAGCTTAAGAGCTACATGCAGTGTGCTGTTGGATGGACATCTTGTATTACATGGAATACTCAAATGAAATGTACTATATGGCCTAAAGCAAGTGGCCAATTTTTGTAATGTTTTAATTCTAAAACACAACAGCCTCCACTCTGGGCGATACAGTTTGACACAAAGTCTAGTTCCAGTTGGTCCTTAAGGTATTGGATTGGACTGAGTTTAGGGTTCTATGCTGGACACTCAAGTTCTTCCACATACATGTTACAAAAAGGGTATTTATGTGCCTCATGTTGTAAATCAAGGCATGTTGGGAAAGAAGAGTGTCTACGACCTTTTGCCAAAAGTTGAAAGCACACTTTCATATCATTCTATATGGCAGTACACTTCATTTCGGAAGTAAAATTACTTATTTACATTTGTTACATTTACAAATCAACACTTATTTATGGGCCAACTTTAGTCTGTATGCCCTACTTTTGGCAGCCTTAGTCATCTAGTAGATTTTGTTTACATATACAAATATAAATAGGTGCAGCTATAAGACTTACTTTGCTATAGCGAGAAAGGCCAGCTCCACATTGACTCCTGTCTTCGCACTGGTCTCCATAAATGGTACACCATATTCCTAGATGAAAAACATCAGATGAGCAAGTGGAGTGGCTGTTGTTGAGATGTGACCACACAGAGAAGTGATACATTACCTTCGCCAGCCTCTCTCCGTCCTCCGTCTTCACGACCCTCTCTGCAGCAACGTCTGCCTGTGAAACAGCAGGAGAGGAAAACAACATCATGAGAGGAGGACGGAGGGTCATAGACGCACTATACCATTAGCTACACTGATGCAGCATCGTGTCTCTCTGCACGTCCTCTTATCTGCCGCCGGCTGCTGAGCCAGAGCTCTCTCAGACTGATGAGATGTCAGAAACTCCACCTCAAGCAGAATAGCAGCACCCCCACACACACTGATGCCCCCAGTCCTGCTGCTCTCACAGCAAACCATCTGATCTGCTGCTGTGTGACATCTCTGACCCCGGAGAAATGTGAGTCCTCTCTGATCCACCAGAGGGAGCTTAGAAATACATCAGCTCTGACTGCAGATGTATCACCAGCGGCAGTGCGGAAGCTCAAAGCCAGTGATAATTAATTGTTGTGTCAGATATTGAATTTGTCCTTCCCAGATTGGTAGAATGAATTTGTGTGGTTCTGTCAGTCTACCATCTTTATGTTCACTGGAGGGAATGTCTTCTCAAAGACAAAAACAAAAAATCAATAGAGAGACACAAACACAATTGAGACTGTGCTTCACTTGTAAATGTTAAAACAAGCGAGGGAGAGTTTACATTCAGTGGAGACAGTTTCTGGCTTTAAGGTGTTCACATGTCTGCTTGAGTGTGATAAGAGTGTGTTAAAATTGTGCTAAGAGACCAGTTATCCTCATGATCTTCTTATGGAGCGGAAAAAAGGAAGCTTTGCTCACCTTGTTGCCGAGCAACATGATGACCACATCCTTCTGGGCATACTCGTGAATTTCAGTCAGCCAAGCCTTTCAAAGTAAAAAAGAAAGAGAGATACAGGAGGGGGGAGAAGAAAGAGATTAGTCTTTTAAAAAAACTCAAGTACCATCGCGTACAGTCTTAATTTTTGTCCTGCTCCTGAGCTCAGATTTTACAATCCTCCAATCAATCATGCTGAGACTCAGTCACTCTCATCCCTGAACACTTTTATTGCTTTTCATTACTGAAACTTGGAAATGCGTGGCAGAGCAACCGATAACATCGTGTCATTTCCAAAGAGGGCTGGGAGAAAAATGTTGGAGGTACTTTGCATTTAAACCAGTCAAAGTGAAACGTTCAGCTTGAGAGGCTCGAGGAAGTGAAAATGAACAGACAGAATAAAGAGAGAAGGAGTGGGAGGGAAAGTAATGTAATAGTCTTACCCTGATATTGTCAAACGACATCTTACTGGTGATATCATAAAGCAGAAGTAACGCTGTAAAGGGAAACAGAACATTGTTATCTTCACACTGTCATATGCAACACATTAACACCTACCTGCACACTTTCTAGGCACAATAATAAATTATAGGCTACACATCTCAGCCAGGTTGCCTTCCTACCTACACCACCCGTTCCTACACACACTCACACACACAGAGCATGAGGAAGTGCATTATAAATTCAAAGGTTACCCTGGGCATCTCTGTAGTAGGCGTGCGTTACGCTTCGGAATCTCTCTTGGCCCGCTGTATCCCAGATCTGCGTAACAAACCACATAATTACACAACAGCCAGCGTGGGAAAACTGAACCGCATGAACAATCCCCACAGTAAATCCTACACAGCCAACGACTAAAGCAGAACACATACCATTATATTTCCCTACTGAGCCAAAAATGCAGACAATATATAGTCAAAATTGAGTAAAGACTTATTTTATATAGTTTTAAAAAACCGCATCATTTCAAAGAAAAAAGCTCAACCAAACCAAACCGTCAAGAGACAAATTAGCTGCTGCGAGATAAGTTAGCCACAGCTAGCCGCCTAAGCTAAATGTACTATTATAGGCTACTCCCTAGGTTTTTTTCTTGAAAAATAAACACATCAGCTATAACTAAATAACATTTTAGGTAATTTAGTGTGTCATGCCATATACATAAGGTAGAAACTAAATCTGGTCATGAAGAATAAAACAACTAACATTAAAATGGGTATGTTAATAGGATAAGAGGATAATCTGAAAACCCTTAGGCTACAGGTTTTTTAGTGCCATATAACTTACATTTTTCAGAGGAATCAGCTAAAACCCAAACCAAACAATCAAAATGCTAGCTGCTGAAGTTGAAATGTAAACACATACATTTTGATTAAACATATTGGTAGTTAGCTTAGCAGAGTAGCAATAACTGCCATGAGAGCTGACTAGTTAAACATTGTGTGGTTGAGCTTATTTTATACTTAAACTTAAATGTATACAATTATAAATGAATGAATTTTAATATGATAGGTAATGACAAATAAATGGAAAGCTAAATTAACACATGAATGAGTTTTAATCATATTTCTTTCTAGTTTTCTAAAAGCAGAGTGCAGTCTTTAATTGTCTTTTCAATAATTGGTTTAATAAGACATACAAATATGTATGAAATCTATCATGCAGTGTTTATTTTTACCAAAAACTAAGCGTTTGGGTACAGTAGGCCCATCACCTTTATTTAGTATCGACTCATGTTGGAAGAGTTTGGAATCATTAACAGGATTTGAATCATGTTCATGGCCCATGCAAGGAAAACAAATCAAAAGCATTTCCTCGTAAGGAGGAATCTAATTGTGGCACCTCCCACTCAGTGTTGAATGAACAGGTTATGATGATAGATAGGTTTGTGCCTTGGATTAACAGCTTGTTGCTGGCACAAAATCATGCAGAGTGGCTCATATTGTATAAATACAATATCAGAGCCTTTGATTTGATTGCATGGCAGTACAAACAATGACAGTAATTTAGGTGTAAATTATTTAGGTCAACTATAGATTTGAGAAATCCTTTCAGATGATTTTCGATTCTGTAAACATTTACCAGATGAGTCAATTGGAAAATGGTTTTAAGGAGGATGTAATTATTTGTCATTCAATGAGCTAATAAGGAAGACATCTTCTTAGCTCAGGTAAAGGTATAGGATCTTACCTGGAGTTTGACTTTCAGGTTGTCGACATCCACCACTTTATTCTGCAAACATGAGAAGAGCAGTGAGAGTCTGACAGTCCACCATATGCTTTACAGACTGGAGTGCTGTAAAAAAAAAACTAAACAGAAATGAATGTTGAACGTCACCGCAGACTAAGAAAAGCTAAGTGACTCAGCATGTGGTAAAAGAAACAAGACAACTAAAAGTGGCTTTGAACGATGGCAGAGAAAGTAATTTGCAACACCCACACAACAGCAAGGTCCTGGGATTAGACTTAATTACACAACAGTGAGAAAGACGGCTGGCAGCATAACAACTGACTCCCCCGTTAATTTCCTGCAGCCCCGTAGGGTGCCCTCTGATTTCCTGTAGAGAAAGGATCGTCTTAAAATAGTTATGGTTATAAAAAGCTAAATGTGTACAGATGATTATGTTGAAGAAAGAGTGAATGGAAATCAAGGTGATGCTAACATGCATTATTTAAACATGCGTGCTGCAATATGCTTAAATGAAACAATAGGTTCTCTCACGCTCTGTTTAATGGAGGCTGGGGGTTATTTTTATTTGATGTGACCTGCTATAGCATCAAGCCAGGTCACAACCACATGTCAACCTTGCACAGAAAAACACACCACAGAGAGATGAAGGAAGTGTGACTAACAAATGCTCTGCAGCACTTCCTTAATCACTTCGTATCAGTGACAGACCACCACAAACAGCCCCTGCCTTTCCTCTGAAGGCACACATATGTGCTTGAAGGAAATGCAGTCAGGGCTTCACAGTGACAAAAGAAAACCTCTGCGATTTGTGAGAGAGACAAAGCGGCCACATGCCAAATCCTCTGTCTTGGCAGAATGGACATGGTTCAACCCCTGCACTTGTTGCTATGGGTTTCCATTTTCCCCCTCAATTATGACATTGGAGGAGCCTGCATGCTGAGTAACTGCTACAAGGAAGCATGCCGAAAATAGACCGGCCATGTTACAAGCTGCCACAACAGCCTGCCTATCCATGCACAGAGCACCACCTCAGCATACTGACTCAACTGCTCCATCAGATCCTCTGTCTATAAGCAGCTTTGCCCCTGTGCATAAGTAGAAGACAGAAATGTATTGTTTAAATTAAGAGTGATTTTTCTGATTCAATGGTGTGACAATGAATGTAAAAGTTAACCAGTGTCAGTTTACTTTCCCTAATGGTTTTTATGAATGGGATCTGGCCGCAGCACTTGTTGCTTTTGGTTGAGTGGTGGCCCGATGAACCGTTTATGCTCTTGAATAGACAATGTCCATATAGATCATGTATCTGTCAGACATCCATTACACTCTGTAATGTCTACACTACCATCAGAAGAAGACAATGCATCACTCTGGCTAATGCAACACAATCTCCTCCTCAAACAACCCCTATACTTCACTTGCCATTAGTGTGAGTGTTGTGCCCTGATTGGAGGGATACAGAAGGTTGAAACACTGGCTTCAAACAACCTATTGTTTCATCTCTGCAAAGAAAGATATACAGTAGAAATCTGTGTGTGTGTGTGTGTGTGTGTGTGTGTGTGTGTGTGTGTGTGTGTGGTGTGTGAGTGTGTGTGTGTGTGTGTTCATGAGGTATATGTCACTGTAGGAGCTGGTCTGTCGGCACTGTGACTCCTTCAGGACCGAGCTGTGCTGTAGCCAATCTTTCCAGGAGACAGAGACGTGGGCAGGCATCTGCCAAGACATTTATGAACAGAGCCTTCGCAGCACAAGTGTTCTGAGGACTTGAATGATCGGTGAGAGGATTTGTACATTTGGTGCCATCATCGCAGAATGACTAAGTGTTCCCCGCAGAAATAAGGTGATAATTGGGCCACAGTGTGACTCTAACAATTCTGTCTTTTGTCACTTCTGATATGTCATTAGGATGTTTTTCAGATGGCAAATGTTTCCGTATATTAGTAACGAATAATAACACAAACACAGGAATAATGAACAGTATAACGAGCCATTCTGTGAGACTGTTCAAAAGCATCTCTCTCACCCTAAAGTCTATTCCAACGGTGGCTATAAAGTTGCCTCCCAGAAATGCCCCGTCTTTAAAGCGCACCAAGACACACGTCTTCCCCACGGACGAGTCTCCCAGCAGCATCACCTACAGCAGACCCACCACCAGAGAAGAGGGACAACAGGTTACAAAGCATGACTTAAGATAAGATAAGATTAACAGTCCCTCCTGAAGAGGAAATTGAAGCTGAAGGATGTGCTGAAGACAATATTTTTGCAATAATCATGATGTTTGATTCAGATGTTGGGCAATGTCTTATTTTGGTAAGATTGCAACCAACATGTGACACTCCAGGGAGATGATTCAAGATATTTCAAACCACTCTGTCATTTTAACTCTCATCATGTTTCAGTGTGCATCCAAAACTAATCAATATAATTACAACAGGATGTGCAATTATACAATCCATCCAGCCCATCCAGTTATTCACACAGTGAGTCATAGCTGCATAAACATATTTGTGGATAACAATGTAATTAAACTTGAATTTTACTTTTGTCTATGGGTCTATTAAACAGTTTCAGGTGTTCATGTTAAATATTTAATGAGAGGGAGCAACAAGTACACCCTCAGCAAATATTTGCTTATCAGTTAGGGCGGACAAAGCCAGCTCGAGAGATCTAAAGGCTCAGACAGACTTCTTAGTCATTTAAATAAAACCATCAGGTGTTTAAAACATTGACTTAAAGGTTTTTGTCCTATTATTCTCCAGATGTGGAGAGTATACAGTCATGTTGTTGCTGCTGGTACACACAGATGTTTATGTATGTCAAACCTACATACAGACACCTGTTCCACCAGCAGCACCACCAACAGAAACATAAAAAGACGGAAATACACACCTTGAAGGCAATATCATAATAATCGTTAACAGAAGCGCATCTCTCCAACATATATTTTGACGTTCCGTTTTTAGCCTGCTTTTCCAGCAGCAGTGTATTTCTTTCGGACATCTCAAAGCCAAAAAAAGACGCGCAGGCTGAGAAAAAGCCAAAGCGCAGTTTATCTCCGAGATGTGTCCAAGAAAGACGCGCAAGGTGTCCGCGAGATCTCCGCCGCTCAGTCCCGGTGTCCGCGAGCCCCTTCTGTTCGCATTACAGCGCGTGGCCACAAAATGATCACCAGGCGCTTCCCAAAGGAGGAAGAGGTTAAACAAATAAAAATAATCACACCTTAATATCGCACAGTAAGAAGACGGAACTTGAAACCCAATCCTCTACATCCACCAGCAGTCAACAAAGCGGTGATGGCAAACAGGCGGAAACATTTCTCTGCATCCTGGCGTGGGCAGATGGTTAACTGAGCGTGAGGACGTCGGCACCCGGCAGTGTTTCAGGCTGACATTGTGCCCAATAACAGCTGTGGGGGTCAAGCGCACTGCTGGCCGACTCATCCGCCACAGGTGGTGCTGAGGAGGGTCAGAGAGGGGAGCAGAGACCCGGAGAGGAGGGGGGAAACATGAAATGTGACTAATTAGTCTAAATACACTTGATGTATAATGTGATTTATTCATTCAAGATGGAGATACTCTTATTGGACGTAAAATGCCATGAAAACCTTAACCAGTCATTTTCCCTAACATGTTTCCTTTAAATAGGCTATATCAGGGAGATATGCCTGAAATGTGACTTATTAATCTAAATAAACGTAATGCATACCGTGATTTACGTTTAAAATGGATAAACTCTTATTGGTGCATAAAATGGCGTGCAAACCTCATCCAGATTTATTTTTCCTAACATGTTTCCTTTATCAGGAAAATTGCTGCCAATCATCACAAAAAGTAGATCCTATTCTTTTATATAATTCTTTATAACACATTTGTTCTTTACCATCCCTCCCCACAACATAAAAACAATGATCCCACTTATCTTCTTATCAAAATCTATAAACAATATCCCACATGTGTTCAATGAATGAGCATGTCATACATGTCTAAAATGGTTTCAGTGAGTCTGAAAAATGAATCTTTCCTGCAGTGTTTGTCTCCCCCCAGTGTTCAAGGCTCCACTCCTCAGTGGTGACAGGACTGATGGCCACGGTCAGATTTCATTTGTGTTATATAACATGTAATTATTTGACTGAACTCATCTCTCAGTGCCAGGGGCTTCAGCTCCCCCCCCCCCTCTGACATGAGCATAATGATGAAACATGTATATGTATGGAGCTGATTGAATGCTTGATTTGATCATGAATAGGACCTTAATGAAGCTCTCAGATGAACAGCATGTTGTCATATTAATCTATTTCATTTATCAGTGTATGACAATAATTCCCTGATGTGGAAAATGTTAAATATATTATCTTCCAAGAAAATTCAGCATTGTTTTTTTCCCTTTACATTCATCCTATGGCAAATGGCAAAAATGCACAACAGGAATAAAATACCACAAATAATATTGTTTGTCATGTTGTTTGTGTGCATATCGTAGTGCAATCCTGGCAAAAGATGATCCTTCAATTCTCTAGTCCTTGAGTAAACAGAAGGGCTTGAAGGCAAAGAAAGCTGTAAATGTAAAAGGTTAAAGTTTATTCTAGCCGAGTGAGCCCGAGCAACACACGCTTGATGGATGTTAACCTTCAGTGCATATAAGGCACTTTATTCAGAGCACCTGCACAGCAAAACAAATAACCCAAATAATGATGAAAGTGTATTTGCAGGCACTTATGCTGTTTATGTGGTGCATTTCTCCCCAGGGCCTTTTGAAGCTTGAATCATACTCCAGCACAATCCTATGCTAATGCGAGACTTCCACCCAGATGTCCTCGTTCCTCCTCTGTGCTGCTGTAATGGCACTGACACAAAGCCAAAGTGATCGCAGCGGAAGAATCATACATTAAATGAGCACCATATGCATCTTTCCCATTTGTCTCCTTTTTTTTCTACCACTTGCCACACAGAGTGCACCTCCCCCTCAACATGTCACACAGCATTACATCACTCTCCTCCGCTGCAAACATCCAGCAGCAAAGGACTTTAATTAGCAATACTGTTTTCAGAAGCAGTGGCATCATTAACCATAATAATACAAACACACACACACAATGTTAAGGGAGTGTAATGAATGCAGTGAGAAGATGCAACATCCCACACAGGAGGAAACAACTGATACATGCTGGACTTCAATCTCACACAGCAGAGACCCAGAGAAGATTGGCTCAGGGAAGATGAAAACATGCGAAGGAGGGTGTGTGGGGGACAGGAAGTGTGTGTGGACTCACTGTGAAGCCGATGCCCACGGTGGCAGTGAAGGATCCTGGGAGGAACTTGCCCTGGTCGAACTGAACCAGCAGGGAGGTCTTGCCCACGCCGCTGTCCCCCACGAGGATGGTCTGCAGAGAGATGCAACGTCAGGTTTCCCCCGCTAACTGCCTGAGGCCAGTTGCACTGTGAGTGGGAACGTAGTGTGTGTGTTTTAATGCACATCTGTTGATCAGGGCACAGCTCTCTGTTCTGTAATAACATGTGATGTCTGATGCCTCCAAGAAGGGAAGGGCACCGCGGAGCACTGAACTGGGAAGTTACTGGAAGGTGTGTGTGTGTGTGTGTGTGTGTGTGTGTGTGTGTGCGTGTGTGTGTGTGTGTGTGTGTGTGTGTGTGTGTCCAATACTGTGTAACTGTATCAAAGAAGGCTGCTTTTATTCATACCGCTATCTCTCTTTACCTTGCCCTTTACTTGTACACATTACGCTAACAAAAATAAAACAATGCTTTGTTTCAGGTGATTATAGAACAGAAGAAAATAGTACTGATCATACTATTACATTCCTGCCAATACATCCCTCTAAATAAGAAAAAAATAAAAACCTTTTTGAACATTAAAGAATGTCAACATGTCACAAAACTATTATAAAGTAATTTAAACTAGCTCCACCTTCGACCAACACAACTATATCATGCTACTTAATGATGTATCCTTATAAACAATCTATGTAATGATATAATTCAACAATAATATATCATGTTCTCTTTTACAGATCATCGTACATTTAGCCAAAAACAAATCAAACACACACACACACAGGCCATATGACACAGTTCTCATGTCCGGGGGTCAGGCGTCTCCCCCGCAGGGATGTGCTGCGACTTGTCACCAAAGCTCTGGACGTGGGCATCAATCGGCCTGCTTGTCGCCATGGTTATCGCCTCCTCGGGTGCCACAGTGCAGGCGTCCAGCCCGGAGCTCCTCAGCAGCAGATGCTTACCTCCTTGTTGACATTTATCACCCCCCCCCCCCCCCCACCCATCCTCCTGCTCCTCCTTCTCGACCCCGCTGCCTCTTATCTGCGCTCTCAAAGAGCCCCCATGCAGCGCAGCATCACACGCAGCGCTCTGAAACGCACACTCTAATCACCGACATCCACAAGTTGGGCACATTCGACTCTGCTATTCCATTAAAAACTGAAAATTGTGACAGTTTGAGCAGATAAACAAGAAGAAAATCAAAGTCTCTGCGGCTTTTAAGGAGAGGGTTTGCTCTCTTTGAATATGTAGCCTTCTTAAATGCTGAGTAAAACAATATTCTTAATGCTGAAAATACAGATATAAGCTTCAGAAATCCAGCAACCAGACAATGACGTTTCAGACAAAGCATACAGTTTATAAATAATATAGGGCTATATTGTTCCTCTTCTGAATTAAAGGCATTCAGAGACGTGTTTATTTCCCACAGTGTGAGTGGGTACTTGCACAAACCGGCCCCTTAAGTCCTCATGATGCACACCAGAGGCTAATGTGTGCATGACTCACAGCGTGTTGTGCAGTGTTAAGCTGGCCAGCATGAAATCAACATTTTACTATTTAATGCGTCCCTCATTAAATTGTAATGCTGGCATGTAAACGTTCTCAGGACAAACTGCCGGAGAACAAAGCAGGAGTGAGGGGGTCTTTATCTCCAGGAAGCACATGTGGGACTGTGTGTATGCACCGAGTAATGATGGAGGTGACAGTGTGGGGGGGTTCACTTTGTACAGGGCCTTATTGCAGGAGTAGAGATGCTGAACATGTCTCCATGGCAACATGACATTTCTCCGAGTTGTTTGAGTATATTTGAGTGGCATTGATCAAACAAAATGAGTTGAAGGGGGCCATATTCTGCTCACTTTCAGGTTCATATTTGTATGAACCAATAGAAGGGCAAGTGTTACATGGTGTAAACAAAGTAGTCCAATGATTTTAGCCTTTGCAGACCATTTACATGCACTAAAACATATATAAGGCACTACAGGAAAGGGAAAACCCAAACAAGCATTATAGGGCCCCTTTAATGTGTTTGCTTGAGTGTTGGAGGTATTGGCTTTAGAGATGTCTACCTTCTCTCAGATGAATGGTTCTAACCCTACACAGGAATGTCTCTTTCCAGAACTCATGACCCGTTTACTCATATAATCCACCGACTGAAGGGAGTTGTTCCTCCATGAAGCTGCTCCGAACAAGCTTTGGGATTATCTTGAGTAAGCGGGTCATGCATTTTGGAAAGAGGCAATGCTGTTGGATATTCCAAGTGTTTTTTTTTGGCTCTTTGAGAACCACAACACGGGTGCCGTCTGGTTTGATTACATTTGAGAGAAGGCAGACATCTCTACGGCTGATAGCTCTTATACTGTGACCTTTTCTTTCAAATATATGCATTTATCTCCAACAACGTATTATTTTAATAAGGGTGTATTCTGAGAGAAACAGTAAGAGAGTACAGGAAGCGTTTTCTTTCATGTTTCCTCAACCATTCAGCAGTTTTTTTATTTAAACGCTGAAAACTTTACACTCAGCCTTCACATTAAGAACAATTATTACACTCAAAAGAAACTCAATAAAACCAAATCCTCCCATGTTTGCTACGTCTGAACACGAGCCGTTCTGACAAGATTTTGGATTATACAGTACATTAATGTTAACCAAAGTGTAAAGAAATATCTCACTTAAACAGCTTTTTGTTACACAGTTTCTAAAAGTACTTTAAAGTTTACTGGAGATCCAATTGGCCTATTCTAGCTTGCAAAGAGTGGAGCCATCTGAATGCTCTGTAGTTTCTGGCAGGCGGTGACTCGGCAAAACAACAAATATAATCAGAGATGTGTTTGCTGAGCAAGAAGGAGTTTGTTCTGGCCTCACAGACAATGCTCTGCCTACTTGGCAAATATTGAACGGCTGAGATATTGAGGGTCTTGAAGCTTACAAATAAGTCATATTGTCAAAACAGATGCCGTCAAATTATTTTTTCTTTGATCATTTCTTGATTTATTTACCAAATTGTCGGTAATAGAGACAATTATTGATTCATAATTTGTATATCTATTTAATTATGAACACTTATTATATGATATTATGGCACTCATTGTAGCCGGCATGATATGGAGCACTACATAATAAAACATGTATATTCTGCTGGAGTATATTAACACAGCTACAGTAAGTATCCAGTTATCCTGAAGACGTTTTTTTGACAAGCTGGCAGTGTTTTTTTTATTTATGTGCAGAGGGAGCACACTTTAATAATGCAATAACTGGGTCCACCATATATTGAAAATATTGTTAAATTGCTAGATAATAATTTCCACTCGGTTAGCTACCTTTTTTGTTGATTGAATCCCTGTTTCAATTTCAGATTTGACACATTCTCATCATGATTACTAGAAGCAATGATTGATTACCTTGTGTGTCAGGTCTTCATTATAGGGGAAGGGGTTGGATGTGGGGGTCTGTCCGTCCTCTGTGTCCGTGTCCGCTGCAGACGACCCGTAAGCGCTGTCCGAAGACACCAGCGTCCTCTCCTCCTGCCGCTGAGTTTCACAGCCGTCATCCATCTTGTTTGTTCTGTGGTTTAAACTGGTCAAAACAGATGAGCTTCTGCAAATAAACTAAACATTCAAACTTCCTTTGCTGCGTGTCCTCCGCCCCTCCTTCTCCGCATGTGCATCCTGAACAAAGACACAAACAGGACTAAATATTGATGTGATCAGAAACATCAGAGGTAGTTTACAGTATTTATGAACTGGAAAACAAGGAAGTGTTCAGCACCCTGGACATCACCTCCACCTGCTTTTAATGGAAACACTACAGGTGAGTAGCAAAACATGTCACAAATAAATACCACCAGGAAATGAGACATTATCAAATATGTGAATATGTTTCGGAACAGAAAACTGAACATTAAATAAAGACGGGTTAAAAAATGTGAGATTTGGCTAATGACTCATTTTGAATAAAAAAGACCATACATGTTGGATTTTTTAAATTCCAGACATTTGTTAAGTGATTAAAGTGAAAAAAGTAACAAATATATACCTAATTCCCCCATTGATTAGTTACATTAGGACAACATTTTTGTGGTTTAAAAGTTTGCTTAAATGTTATAATTAATTAGCAAATAAGGCAAAATCTATTGATAACTTTTTGTACATTTAGGAGAAATCTTAAACAAAGTGTAGCAAAATAAACCCCTGAATGTGAATTAAGGATGTTTTCTATCCAGTAATCTGAAAAAAAACCTGGACTAAAAAACCAAATGCCTTAAAATTGAGGAGTGCATTAAAAAATAAATGGGCTTTAATGTCTCCGGGAGAAACCTCATAAACCCAAGTGATAACAGTTAAGAAAAATAAATGGGGTTTAATGTAGTCCAGGGCTATCCAATTAGTTTGGAATGGGGGCCGGTTGATGAAAATGATCCAAAGCAAGGGGCCGGGAAAAAGATGGCTTGAAATATGAGCAATCATATTAAGAGCTTCAGATACAGTAAATACTACTACAGCATAGTGGAGTGCATATATTGTGTTTAATTTAGGGCTGTCAAGTTAACGCGTTAATAACGCGTTAACGCAAAAAAAAATTAACGCCACTAATTATTTTAACGCGATTAACGCATGTGTATTTTTTGCCCTCGGCCGCCTTAGTTTCAGAGCGCATCGAGTGTAAAATACCATCGACAAGCTGATGCTGACAGCCCCGCTCCTGCCGCCCGCTTGTGGCAGACCACACTTCCACGCTCACTGGCAGGCCCGGACTGGCCATCGGGAGGACCGGGAGGGTGTGTGTATGTGTGGCGCGACTCGCACGAGCGAGGCACACTTTACGTGTTGTTGTTGTTAGCATCTGGTGCTAGCTAGCTGCGCTAACGGATATAAGGAGCTGTTTCAATGACATTTCGCCGACAACTGCGCCGAGCACTTGACTTTATGCAGGTAGCCAGACAGTGTGACATTGTACGAAAAGTCAGCACACTCAGCACGGATAGTACGCGCAACATTATTGCAGCGTCCAGGCAGCTCCCATTCGAGCATATATGCCTTGAGCTGCACATAGCTCAACGATCCATCACAGTGTCTCCCCACACACACACACACACACACACACACACACACACACACACACACTTATTGTATGAGAGAGGTTCCAGGTTGAATTGAGGCGAATATTTGTAATGTTCAGAGGTTGTTGTGTTTCATATTCATGAGAATATTTGTCATTGTTCAAATGATAATAAACAAACATATAAAGCATATTTGTCCACTCATATGTTGATAAGAGTATTAAAAACTTGAAAGATATCCCTCTAAGGTACATTTAGAACAGATAAAAAATGTGCGATTAATCGCGATTAACTATGGACAATCATGCGATTAATCGCGATTAAATATTTTAATCGACTGACAGCCCTAGTTTAATTCAATAAAACAACATAGCCCCAAGGCCTTTATAGATCTAAATGGAAAGTTCAGAACTCAGTAGGCCTACATGTGAAGCTAATCTAACCATCAACATCATTTCATTTCATTTAGGTGAAATGATCTAATCATTCACGCAGATGCAATAAATGTTGTCACTACAGTTGCTAGTAGGTGGGTTTGAAACCCGAGCCCACCGAAGTTTTCAGGCATTGACTTCCCCTCTATCTCTCAATGTAACACCCTCTCTGGAATAAAGGCATTCTGGCCCAAAAAAAAAATCTTAAAAAAAAAAAAAGTTACTTTTTAACATTATACTCAAAGGGCCAGTAAATATCACCCCGGGGCCGGATTTGGCCCGCGGGCCACCAATTGAACAGCCCTGATGTAGTCTATCTGCAATAAAAAAAACATCAAGAATTACCCTCCCGATGAAACTTGACTCATAGGAAGAGGTTAAAAATGATAAAACCGCATCAAGAAAAAATGTTTTTATTGAGTCATCAGTCGGATGTCTTTGAGCTCTTCTCGAGGCGAACAGCGTCAGACTGAGTCACCGCCGCACTCTGAGACCTTTATCCTCCTAAATAACACAAAGTCTGCTCCAACGACACTGAGGATCTGGGACTGTCAGTACAACATTATTAGACAGCAGTTTTTAATAGTTTCACAGAGCACTGGAGATGAACGGACAACACACACTCTCCTCTCAAAACAGTATAGAAAAATAACATATGCTCTCTTTATGTCCATAAATCTGAGGCTTCACTGAAGCAACGGTACTGTGCAAGGTAAACAAGGTCACTTGAAAACTCATATGGTGGCCAACGATTATTTAAGAACATTTCAAAAATGATTTAAAAATGCACACAGACAGGGGGTCTCAGTCATTGCACGTTTCTGGAAGCTTTTATCACGTAGTAAACAATTCATCTTCCCACTAACTGAAGGCAGCTCAGATTCTCTTCATCACGTAAAACATGGAGAAACAGTTTTGGTTGAATTGAAATAATACCAACTTGTGAACCAAACCAAGACGTGATAAACACTGCATATAACGCAGGAGGTAAAACATAATGTGTCCAACCACGTTTGTAAATTAAAAAGCATTACATTTAAAAGAAAGGTTTGGACGTTTTGAAGCCAGGCTAGCATCGTTGTAATCCTTTACCCAACAGGAAGTAGTATCAATCTCCTCATAAAACCCTGAGGCAACAACACTATTAATTAAAACTTGAATACATTTTTTGTCACCTTGCTAAGTTGGATTGAGTTTAAAAGAAATCTGGAGCCAAAAATGACACGATAAACTTGAAATACCACATTTAACATAACATCTTAAGACCCAATAACATGTTTTGTACCTGGCTATCTGCGGCCTTGATGATGCAGCCGTTGTGCACGTCCTTTAACACAACAAAAAAATAATAGAGTGGCTTTTTCTTGCAACAACGGGCATCAAAGACAACTTAACACTTTCTGCCAGTTGAAATAAACTAACATACATACAAAAAAATAACATGTTAAAAAAATGATATGTCTCAATCAGAACTAAAATCCCACTACTAGCTCTTTCCTTATCGTTTCCTTATTCAGGTCATTTAGTGATGTGTCTGTGCAGGTGGGGGTGGGGGGGGGGGGTGTCTCAGGTATCTACAGGGGTCTCCTGTTAAATAAAAGTGATCGGGTCTTATCGGACTCCTCGTGCTGTAACCAAGCGACCTCTGTGTAACATTACAGTCTTACAGTAAAGTGCACTTCATCTGCCTTACGCTCACACATGAATGCTTTAAAATAAACAAGCATAAAAGGTTTCATTCCCCTTTGAAATGAAGAGGTTGCCGAGTTCCCGATCAAACAGGCGCAGAGGATTTCTTTCCGACCCCGACTGACAAACTGTGTGCCATTAAAACATAATCATTCAACAAACAACCACACGAGTCCTGTGAAATGTGCAAATTTCCCGCAGTCACTTTCCTATCAGCCCGTCACTGAGAGGGTCCTCAGTGCAGGGAGTCGTCTGTGTATGTGCCTCTGAGACGACTGTGTTTGAGTTTCAGTCCACAGTCTCTCCTCTGCCGGGGGCGCTACCTGATCCTCCCGTCACTTTTCACCGGGCACAGTTCAGACTTGGGGTCCGGAGACATGGAGCTCCAGGAGGTTTTGGAGCAGAGTCCCACCGCGGGGCAGGAGGAAGTCTGTGGGGCGCAGAGACCGCCCGTGACCCAGAAGTCTTTGATGCTGCTGTCCACCCAGGCTTGGAGGGGCCGCCCCACCAGCTGGGCTTTCCGCTGCGCCTCCTGGGCCACCGCCTCTCGGGGGAGCAGCTTCAGCACGGAGCTCAGCTGCTGGTAGCTCTGCTCCAGGTACAGGTCGCCTGGGGGCCCTGCGTGGAGCCAGCTGTCCTCTTCTGGAGAGGATTCGGAGACAAAGAGACATTAAAAATGGGCACATACATTTAGAAGATCCAATGGAACTTTCAAAATAAGTTTAGATTTTAAAGTTACATTTGGGGGTCTAACGCCTAAACAGAAACTGTGACGTAATGTCTCACGGTCTCTTGTCACAGCTCTTTCTTACATGTTGCAGTGTTATGTTAAGAGCTGAAACTCGCAGGGTAGCTGCTAATAAGCCTGAGATTGCAGATGATGTTGTAGGTAAACTTGACAAAGTCATGGGTCCACTGGTCCTTATTATATTAGTTATTTGGTTACTTTATTTTAAAGAGTTAATCAAACTTAGTTCTCTTGTAGTAGACTTAATAACTCCCAGAAGGTTTTTTTTTATATAACAGGGAAATATTTTCTGAAAATCCTAAACTGCTGTGTGCTGCTGATTTTTAAATCTAAATTATGTATTTGTGACCCATCTTGTTCACATTTAAAAAAAAATGGGCTTGGGGCTGAGTGCCACAGATGCAGTAGAGCACATGTGTCAAACTCAAGGCGCGGGGGCCAAATCAGGCCCTTGGTGGATTTAATTTCGGCCCGCAGGATCATTTTTGAATTACTATTAGATCTGGCCCGCCGGTATATTGCACGCACACCTTCACTCAATCCTGAGGGTTTCCTCAGCTCAGAGCCTGACCCCAAACATTGATGACCTTGCACCCAAGATGAGATGCCAAGTATCTGAACTAGCATCACAGAGCAGCAAACTGAGTTTAATGGATGTTTCCTTCTGCACTTTTTTTCTTGCGACAACAGGGCATGTTTGTTTTTTCTTTGAGGGAAATAGTTTTTTTGAAGCTGTTGTTGGCCTGTGGAGAAATGTAATCATAAGAAATGACTCCGGAAAAGCTGCAGATAGAGCCATAAGAAATGAATGCAACTGATTATTTAATGTTTAATGTTGTTTTTATAGGCAATAATTTAAGCTTAGTTAGTTCCAGGTTTAATATGTGCAATAAGTTCATTTCAATAAGTTTTGCAATAAACATTGAACCAGTCCGGCCCTCGACTAGTACCCATTTTTTTTATTTTGGCCCACTGTGTATTTGAGTTTGACACCCCTGCAGTAGAGTCACGATGTCTGCATGTTTTTAGGGGCTAACGCATTGTTTGTTATGGTCTTTTATAGGAATTGTCTAATATAGCGACAGCAGCTTTGATCCTTTAAACTGACATCATGTGGAATCATCGCCTCACCTTTGCGTAGCGGCTCCTTGTCTTTGAAGGTCAGCGGCATGACGAGGAAGCTGACCTCGGCCACGAGCTCCCACTGCTTCAACACGCGCACAGACCAGGTACCGGGCCGCAGGGGGCGCTGCAGCGGGGGCTTGTACTGCGTGTATTCTGCATCCACATCCACCGTGATGTCATAGGACGCCGCCACCACCCGAGCCGGGTCGATCCACACGATGGTGGCCGTGAGGTTGGGACCCCGCGCCCACTTCTGCACCGCCAGCGGCTCGCTCAGAGGCCCGATGAGGCCGCCAAAGTTACGGAAGATTCTCTCTTTAGGATCCCACTCTGTGCCGATCTGCAGGGAGGAAATAAAAACAGGTCATGTGACATACAGCAAAACAATGTCTCCGACGTCTTTGACTTTCATATTTGATCAGAAGACAAGGAGAGAGGATGTGTTCTAAACTAGTCTCCCCAAAATTAACATATTTTAATTAAGCTTCAAAGTCCAGTGTTGGTCACATCAAGCCCTGATAAAGCACTCTAATTGGTTCATATCGGCAAGAGAATCTTCCTGTAAAGCAGTTTTCTTTTTCTTTCTTCTCCCTTGATATTAAAAAGACATAACCTTTACTGGTAATGAAGATCTTTTTTCAGACAAGAATAACACTGACCTCCAGATTCTTGAGCCTTTCAAACTCCTTCAGGTTTGACTGCAGGACGAGCGTTGCTTGAGGCACCGCCCACATCTCCAGCGTCTCTCTGACCTTTGACCCCGTGGCCTGGACCTCCTGACGAATCAGGTATCCTTGGAAACGGTCGTCATAGAAGTACACGTGTACTGACAGAGGGTAGCCGACTGGTTCAAACCTGCAGAGAGAGGAAAGAGAAATCACACATAAAGAGATTATGTCTTAAAGGTCACCTATTATGCAAAATGCACTTCTCCATGTCTCTTCTACATCAACATGTGTCCCCTCTGTGGAAAGAGACTCTGAAAGTCTCAGGAAAAAAGATTCGCTCTCTTTTTGTCCTGATCCATTTTTATAAAAACCTGTCTGAAAATGAGCTGATCAGATTTTGGCCACTTTGTGATGTCATAACGATTTTTTGGCTTGTGTAACCATTAGCCAATCACCAACCAAGGTAACCCCCCCCAGCTTATCACCTGAATCTCCTCCTAGAGCACCATTGTGTTATTTTTAACCAAATATCTCTCAGAGGGGCGTGGGGAGTGGCTCCTTATTTTCATCTAAAGCAGGGATGGGCAACTTGGATGGTGGTGGGGGCCACATCATTTATGTACTGGCCACCAGGGGGCCGCAGATTCACTTGGAACACACACACAGCAGGCATAACAGCCGGTGTCTCTTGTGAGTGTTTCCCGGGAAACAAACACAATACACACAAACGCATCAGATTATTCCGCGGTATTTGGCTGCCGAACGAAATCATGTACGCAGCTCACGACGTAACTAGGAGTCTAGTGGACGGTATCAGTACTACAAGTACTATAAGATAACTACATAATATAAGATTTTCAACTACATAATTACTCTGTAGCTATGTCAGATTGACAATAAAGAACCTTGAAGTAAAAAAGAAAAAATATGTAATCCCGGGCCGCCATTTGCCCATCCCTGATCTAAAGTAACAGACAGAGAATCAGCACTTTTGAAACAGGGCTGAAACAGAGGGGATTATGGGTTGCTGCAATGATCTGTTTGGTGTTTCAGCCAATCAGAGACAGGTTCTATATATATATCTGAGACCTATAATATATTGATGAAAAACATTATAATAGGGGACCTTTAAGTCAAGACATAAAACTGTTATATGTTTATGGATCCTCCCAGATGGAGCAGAGACGGACCTGCAGGCGTCCACGGTGCTCTGAGGGGTCAGCAGGTTCCTCAGGCCGAGACGAAAGAAAGCCATTTGAGCGGTGAGCGCTGTGTCGCTGAGCGCGGCCAGGCCGTCCTCCTTCTCAAACAGACTCTCCCAGTATGCCTTCAGCGCCGTGGTGCCCGGAGCGTACTGGCCGTACAGGTGCGTGTCCAGGATGTCGATGGCCTCCTGGTTCACCGAGGACTCAAACTTGCGGGCGAAGAACGTCGGACGGGTCAGTTGCTGTGGATACAAACAAAGAATTACAGAAAGAAGTCTTTGAGGCTGTGGCAAATGTCAATATTTACATTCAAAGCTTCTATTAAGGCGTTTTGAATTGAGCTTCGAAAAATCCACTTTTAAAACCTCAAGAGTTAAAACTAGATTAACATTATTTAACGATATTACTCTTCAATTTCGTCAACATAAATACACATATGTTGTTATTGTATTCATGTTTCTGTGGTCTTAATTTGAACTTTTGTTCTTTCTTGTGAAGCAACTTTGTGAATTGTATTTCATTATTATAAAGGACTACTAGCAAGGCGTTAGCTATGTGGGTGTGTTTGATTAAGGGAAAGCAATGGTGGAAGATTATCAACAACGTTACAGTTTCTATTAGTTATTAATAACTTAATGGGTAAGCTGCTTTGTCACATGCCCTCCTGTACCCACTAATAGGGAGCCACTAGTGGAAAATTAATTCTACAAATAGTATAACTGTAATTATATTAGTATAACCAAATCTTTATCGGCAACTGTGCAGAAATATCGGGTTCAAAAAGATAAAAAAAGATGCTGCATTCAGATTAAGAATTCAAACGTCCAAAATATAACCAATATTATTATTTAGTACAGGCCAATGGTGAACATCAAAGTGGGGCTGATAAATACACGAGAGACTGGGAAACGACAAGCTACGTGAAAAAAACAACGAAGCCATAAATAGATGAGCTGTTGTTCTGCAGCCGTCCCTCTCACCTGGATCCTGATGAGGTCTTGAGGCTTGAAGTCGTTGGGCGAGCAGCCGCACCAGTCCACGATGTGTTTGTACTGACATTTGCAGCCCAGCTTGCGGTTCCAGTTGGTGACGCGCAGGTTGTTGTCCACCAGGGTGTCGCACATGTGGCTGTTCCCCAGCACCGTGTGGAAGAAGGACTGGGGAGAGAACAAACTGTGAGACAAACAGTTTATATCCACTGAGTCTAAAGTGAAAAAGGTCACGCCTCTCTAACCCCAAACAACAAACCGCTGCTCCTCCTCTGAGACCGTCAGATAAACTCAAGCGAACCCTTCTCTGAGAGCTTAAAGTATTACATTATCTCCGCGGCGGAATTGACGGGGGAGTGCGAGACAGACTTGTGTATCAGACTGTCTCGTCTCCGGAGATAAACACCCCACCTGAGGGCGACTTACCTCAGCGGGAAGCAGAGCGTAGGTATAGAACTGCTTCAGCCCTGACACCAAGGTATCCTGGGAGTTGATGACGTAATCCACGAAGCGGCGGGTGAGCGCGAACCAATCAGATCCGCCGGAGACCTCCAGGCCTTCTGGGATGCTGCGCTCGCCCAGACGCCACATGTGGTTGTCACACTCGTGGAAGAGGCGGTCCAGGCCCTGCTTCTTAATAAACCTTAAAGACAGAAGCACAGCTTGAATTGATGCGTTTGAGAGCTCTTTGCAGCATTCATCAAAGTCAACGATTAAAATAACAATTTCTGTCCACGGTGTAATAAATAACAGCTGAAGAATCACTTCGTCATGCTGCTTTTTGCCTCTTGTTCGATATCAACAGCATTACGTTTAATTGCTCCCCCCCCCCAAGCATCATTTACCTCCGAGTTACTTCACATTTCTGACAATAAATCCAAGCGATCCCTTTCCCTTTATTGCAGCTTGTTAAATTAAGATACAAATCATCAACCTAATGTGTGTTTGCGCTGGTCTGTGTCTTAACATCTGGCAAACTCACCGGGCGTTTTCTCTCCCGTGGGACTTGAGGAAGTTCTTGTCTCTTTGCTGCGAGAGGAACGACACCAGCTCATCATTCGTCCTGCAGGAGGGTGAGCAGGTGAGAATGAAAAGAACGGAGAGGTTAGGTCAAAAAAGAAGACAGATTTTGAGATCTTTGGAAAATGTGGTCTGATAATACATATAGGGCAGCGATTCCCCCAGGGGGGCGTCTTGCCGTCATTTGACGCCCTTATTCAGCTCGGAACGCCCTGAACTCGAGCCGAGGGCGTCCAAACAAATAAATAATTCGAGAGAAGATCGAGTTTTTATCGCTTGAAATGACGAAAAGGAAAAAGGACAAGGACATCCCTCTGTTGGAGGGGCAAAGGAGTCGGGTGGGATTATTTTCGCCGCCAGCAAAGCGTGTTCCTGTGACGGAAAGTGTACTGCCGGCGAGCCTTGACGGGGGGGTGCTAGTGGAGCACGCGCGTGAACTGCGAGCGCCGGAGCCTCGCAGCGGCGAAACTGAGGCTCCGTGGTAAACTGTGGTAACACGAAGAGCTGTTTAGGAGCCGAAAGAGCCGGCTCTTCTTAGTGAGCCGAGCCAAATGATCCGGCTCACTAAAAAGAGCCGGAATTCACATCACTAATACGTAAAGAAATAGTATCTATAAAGGGACGGCTCAATTCAAAATTGAAGTCACGTGACACGACGCGACGTCACTAAACCCCCCCCCCCCCCCCCCCCCTCGCCCTCTCAGCCCTGGTCTGGCGGAAACACTGATATAGGGTTAGGTATTGTTGGGATTTGAATCGTGCAACTACTCCTGCCAATACGGCTAATTGATCTGGCACTTAAATGGTACTGTTATAGGGTTTATTTGGGTTTTATGAGAATTAACATTCATAGCTTTATTGTCGTATATACTCTATATAAACTAACATGTTATAAATAGCAGCTATTGCAACAGAATCGTTTTGAACAAACACTGTAACGTTGTGTTGATGGTGGAAAAAATGAAATGAAATGAGCCACTGTGGACAGGATGTGGTTGACAGAGCATTGTCTGGGTGTATCCAACCAATCATAGCAGCCCCAGAAATCCAGCAAAAGCTGAACAGCAACAAAGAAGAATATTTACTGCCAGCTCTGTGATTCAGCGAATAAAACAATCCATTTAATGCTGCTACCAGACCATTCCTTTTATCTGGCATATGCCGTGGCAGCTGCTCAGTTTACAGTCAGTCTGCGAAGGAATCAAATGTCCATGCAGTATTGAAAGATTTAAGCCACCATGAAAAAAGCAACTCTGATATTCACTGAACACAAACTGGAAATATTGTCAAGACAGGATGCAGAAAACAAGTATTTGTACTGGAGACATTTTTGTGGAGTTGGGGCCAATCTTTAACCACATTGAGGTTACATTCCAAAAGCATAAAGCGATGCAGGGATACGTGAGGACTCTGCAGCGGACTAAGGAAGTTACATAACGGAGTTGTGGACTCTAAGGACATAATTCCCCCGTGGTTAAACACTACCAATCATCTTATGTGCCGTTGGGAAACTCTACTCTCAACACTCTGTGACTCCATTCCTCCACACTAACACAGCGCTGTTACTCTGCTGACCTGGTGGGGAAATCTGTAGCGCTCAGATTGATGAAGAAGTCCCACTTCCAGTCCAGCATGTTGAGCAGGTCCTGCATGCTGCGCAGGTAGGCCTTCAGGAGGCTGGCCCCCCCCCAGATGGTGACCATCCTCCAGGGCGTGGCGCGGATGTTGGGGTACTGCTGGGCGATCTGCAGCACCTCCCGATGCAGGTAGCCCGAGCGCTGGAGAATTCAAAGCAAAAAGGTTGGGCAGGTAAAATGAGGGAAAACTGTGTTCCTGCAGCACAAGTGTAATGTTGTTCCCGCAGATATTCAGCTGTGCCAAGACAACACACAATCCTGGCTCGAGTTGAAAGAGACTTTGATCTATGCAGAAGAACAGTGATGCTGCGACTTGTGGGACACCATGACGATGGATAGAGAACATTGTGATGGTTAGTTTAGCTTTGCATCATATTTTCTTCTGAAAGTGGCAACAGTCAGACAGGACTGAGCTTAAAGAGGAGAGGAACGAGAAAGGTCAAAGAGTTAAGTCGAGCGTTATGCAGTTCCAAGTTTATCAACAGAATTTAATAGAAATGTTTTCATATTCTATCAATCATAAAAGTGTTTGTAAAAATGTTTCCAAAATATAAAAGTTTCTACCCAATTAAAATATAAGGAGTCTTGCTTTTCTCTGATTAATGTCATATAAAACTGAACATATTTGTGTTTTGGATTGACGACACATTTAAAAACATTGTGTTGGACTTTTAGAAACTAACTTTATACAAATTGCTTCGAACCCGGGTCTTCCACATGGGGACCAAACCCCTGCATTTGTAAAATGTTAGACCTTTTTTTTTATACAAAAAAGGGTTGCAACTAACAATTATATTCAATGTTGATAATCAGCTAATTATGTTCTAGAACAGTGGTTCTCAACTGGTGGGTCGTGACCCAAAAGTGGGTCGCGACCCGTTTTTTTTTTTGGGGAAACAGTCAAACCTTTATTTTGAAGGCCGGATTTTCTAACGCTGTGCATGCAGTAGGCGTTGGACTGGAAGTACCGGAGACCATAAATGATTTTGAAAATTGACAGGTCACAGAACAATGGGGGCTATCTACCCTTACCCACAATTGTAAGTAATTGACACAGACTCTCTCCTCTTTGCTCTTCTCTCTGTGAGGAGCAGCAGGTTCAGCTTTAGAACGAAGTGAAAAAGACACAATGGCATAACATATTATTAATATGTCGGGTAGTCATAGATATATTTATTTTCTTCTCAGAGTGTACCAGAATGTGTAGTTTATATGTTAGTATTTCTAAAAATCTTGGGTTTTCAACATGTGAGCCTTTTTATGTTATACAGTTCAGCTTTGATTCCATCATCTGATTAAACCTTTTTTTAAAGCATTCTTTAGTTCTGTGGGGATATAAGGGATGCACTGTACTTCACTTTAATTCATATTGTCTGCTGAAAAGCGTATATATATATATATATATATATATTACAGCACGATTTTTTGTTGAATGGATTTGAGTGGTTCAAGATTTCGGGTTGCGATTTATTGACAAATGAAAAAGTGGGTCCTGAGGCCTGACCAGTTGAGAGCCACTGCTCTAGAATAATGAATAACAACAATTAAATAGGTTTTTGCCTGAAGATTGCATAGGTTTAGATTAGAGGATTAGACAGGTTGGAAATACCCTTTATAAATGTCCCTTTAGATCTAAATTTGATTAAGTACAAAGTCATTAACAAGCAGCCACTTTTCCGAATGAGTACGACTTAAAAAGTCCCTGAAGCGATAAATGACCAATTTAAGAGAAAAATGAACTTTGTTCAGCAACATGAAGTCAAATCGTTTTGTTCAGTGAAGCACAAACAATGTGTCACTGTCTCCGACCCGTGATGAATAAAGAGTGACACTTGCTGACCACTCTTAAATTAGACCAGAAAGTCACTGCAATAATCTGTGGGTGTGTTAATAAAGGAGACACCAGCGTGACAGCCCTAAACTTGTGGTCCACTGCCTCCAGTACATTCTGCCCTGTTTTACAGCCTCATCTCTCTGCTGGCCTTTCCCTCTAAGAGAAATGAGGTGAGGTTGTCTAAGGCTGTTTCTGTGGTGCGTACTTATTCATCACTGCCTCTGGTAAGCCTCTCTCTGTCTTGGCAGCAGAACAGAGCAACTCCCCGGGAATGAGCAACCTTTCCGGCTGCACAGGTGCACTGTCGACAGGTGTCTCTGCTTTCTCTGCGCTGAACTCACCTGAGGTCTGAGCCTCAGAATCACCACTCAGCCGTTAGTCTTCTGTCTTCTAGCTGCACATGATAGCAGACTCTTTCCTCCGCTAAGAATAACCACACTTTACTCTATCCAGGCTAATCCCCTTTACCACACTGTGAGACCCACGGGATATATTTAACCTTCATAATGCAAGAAGACCTAGCCGGTAAAAGCTTTTGAGAGCTCAGTCTAGTCTGCTCCAAGCGAGTCGGTTCCCAATTACACCCTCCAATGTGTCGTCTAAGTATAAATTAACAATACTGTCAGCTAGTCAACATTTTTTCAGGCGGGTCTGTACCACATTTTTTATTCAAGCTTCTATTTCTTTTTCAAAATGGAGCTTTGAATGCCTGTTATAAAACACGACGTAATAACATTAAAAAAAATAAATAAAAGTCTTGAACAAAATCCTCAACTTCAATAAAAGGTGATTTTTTTTGTGGGAATATTGACTATTGAATACTGATTTTAATTTGTAAGTTTTATAATAAAACACATAATGCTTTGTCACTCCTCCATCCTCTGTTTTTTTCCACTAGTAAGCTTATTTGATTGAATGCAGTGGCACTGTGAGGTCCTTTTAGGGCTTACCTTGTCCACATGGATGTAGTAGAAGTGGTCTTGGTGATATATGGCTTTGATGAGGCGCTTGAGCTGCCGTACAGCGCGGCCGTGGACCATCAGAACGAACGCCACTCTGACCGGGTTCTCCACTTTGAGCAGGCTGTTGTCCAGCTCGCCAACGGACTGCACCTGATTAGATATACCTGTGGAAAGAGGGTGGAGACATAAAAGGACTGACTCTGTGGGATGTGGAACACTTCGAAGAATAATATGTTAGGTGCTGAGAAAGACTGTTCAATCGAGGTTAAATAAAAGCAAATGTGTGAAAAGTATTGCTTTGTTTTGCCCTTGTTTCCATCCTATAGTTTTTCCTTGAACAAAGATTCCCACACATGAACAAACCAGAGGTGTGTGTCTATTGTTTTGTTCTTAATGCGATCCCTATACCCTATTTAATGTATTAAGAAAATAAATACACGTTACAGTTTCTTGGTTGCTTCTAACAACAAGATTGTGAAAACAAACTACAGAATTCAGAGAATGTGAACAAGAAAATTAGCTAATGAGAATTATTTTGATTTAAAATGTCTCAGTGGGTAAAAATGTATCTGTCTGGACCTCAAGCGTTATCTGTTCAGAAGTTCTCACCGAGCTGAGGGCAGAACTGAGGGAGTGCGCCTGGCATGAGCTTCCCGGCCTGATGCTGACACACGATGTTGGCGATCTCCTGCCGGCACTGCTGCGACCCGGCGCGATGCAGGGCGGACAGCGCGTCCTTGCCCGTGATGTGACATTTGGGCACAAAGTCGCTGCTGGGCTGGTGCACCCCGTCCACGCTGCCCGGCTCCCCGAGCATGGCGGCGGCCGGAGCCTTCGCCATCCCGTCTGCGCCTCCTCTGGTCTCGCTGAAGTTACGGCTGCTGGACGGCTCATGGATGACTGCGCGTTCTAACCCGGCTCCTGTTACCCCCCGGTTCTGATGAGCCTTCACCCTGACACTGGGCTTCTCTCCTCTGCGGTTGGTTCCCCTCCTCAGTGCGCTGGCGGCCGTGCCCCCCGTCCTCTCCGACCGGCCGCTCCATCGGCCTCGGTCCCTCCCCGACAAAGAGTTCTGCTTCTCCCAAAGAGCCGGGTCTCTCTTGGGGTCCTGGCTGTTGTGGTCAGGCAGCTTAGACCGCCGTGTTTTTTTCTGAAGAGAGAGAAGAAGAAAATAAAAATTAATTTCAAATCCAGATGTATTGCTTTAACAACATCTAGGACAAACACTACTGGGATGAGGCGTCGATTCACATCCAGGGAGGAAGTAAGGTAAACCAATAACATGACTAAGACAACAGCTGAAACAGCCCTGGAGGGAAGGATGTGTTTACTTCATTTCTCTGATCTGGGTTATTTTTAGCTGAGCCTCTGCCTTATTGCGGAGCTAATCTGCAAAAAGCACAGTTCTGGATAGCCACAAAAACGCCAAGATGCATAATAGACCCAGTGACCATAGACCATAGATCCAGTGACCATAGACCCAGTGACCATAGATCCAGTGACACACACACACGTATACAGAGAATCCTTATCAGACAGCAACTGTGTGTGTGAGTGTGTGTATGTTTTACCTGCATGTATATGCATGTTTGTGGCACACAAGATTTCAGAGAGGTGCCTACAGATACAGCTCTCGGCCACAAACTTGCAAAACGAATTACTCTGCAGTAGGTGAACCACATTCTTTATAATACAGTTGTCAATTAATTGGTCACATAAGTTACCGCAGAGCTCTATTTGGTTGACAGATGGATATAAAAAGTCAGAATATATGTTGTTCTGTGAACAATTATCATACAGGCTGTGTATTATAATTGTTTTTAAAATATGATAAATCAAAGCATTTTATGATGACTTCATACGTCACAACATGATCCTCTTACATGTATCTGCTTTGAGGAAAAAAAAACGTCAGGTGTCCCATAACTGGATTTTCTTGCCTGTAACATCCCCGAAGGAGGCTTTAAGTCAAGAAAGCATTTGTCATATAGTTATGGTTCAGTGAAAATAAGCAAGGATGTTTTATAAAATAGGTTCCTTCTTTAGAAAATTGAAGTCAATATAAATAAAAGCTAGAAAATGTACCTTGTAAACATTTCAGCTTAGTGGCAGGTTGATGACGTGAGGACACGGCGTCAGATGCACCACCATCATCATTATTAATCTTGGTTTCTTAAATACCAAAGTTTCCATGTCTAAGAGTATCATAGAATTTGAATGCAAGAGTACAGAGAATCCGTCTTACTGGAGGAGCTCATATCACACCTACAGAAATGGAAGGCAGGATTTAAAAAAGAAACGCAGTGCTTAAGCCTTTTTTTAAATCTGCTAGCCAAACAGCATCACAGCCTTGGCACAGTAGATTACTGGATCACACAAAAGGCCCTTCAAAATGAGCACTTGGAGGAAAAGGAAGAAAGAAAGTGAGTGGGCTGAGAGCTTTCTGCCTCTGTCAGACGATATAGCAGAACGCAGGCGAGTCCGCTTCACGCCGCTGGCATGGCGACAGCCCGTAGACGGTGGGAACAGGAGGGGGACCAGTGCTGCGTGGTGGGACAGGGAGCCAGATTAAATAGTGGCAATAAACCAGCTGCCAACCGACACAGCGCACTCTCAAACCCATTACAGTGAGAGGCATTGTGGAGCCCAGTTACATACCAGTCATTGCGGTGCAAGCCTCTTTCAGTGAGTTTACATGCACTTGAATAACCTGGTTATTGTAAGCTTTCGGCAGGAATCTGATGTTCTTAACGTCACCTGGAAAGAGCTTGAGTTTCCTTTATGAGACAATTCTGTCAAAGAAACCCAATAATTATGATAAAAACTTTTGTTCTCAACATCAAAGTCCTGAAGACTATTTCACATTTTCTCCAGCAGTGGTGGTATGTCTTCTTTCTATGGCTGTTAAATTAATGAAAACATCTTCAATGCCTTATGCTAGCTTAAATTCTCAAGACACTTTTAGGCTGCACTAAATGTTCTCGCACAGAAGACGTTGCATGCGGCGGGGGCTAATGTTTCAATTTCCCTTATCACTCGTTTTCACAGCTTTTAATTAACCATCATGTCAAAAAAAAACTATTGATTCAAAGGCAAGCCAGGCCGCCTCTTTACTTTCCAATTAAAGTGGAGTGAAACCATATCAGCGCCGCCATCTGCTGAAGCAGGAAGCAGCAGCGAGGGCTCAGCTCTGCAGGATGGCACATCCAAGCAGAGGGTGACACAAAGATGACAGTCTCGTCTTCTTCACAATCTTTTCCCCCTTCTGTACGAGGGCTTTAAATATTAAGGCACGCGGCTGTGTTCACACGTGCACAGCGAGCCGCTGATTAGAGCAGATGCGAGTTAACGCAGAGACCAAAGAGCATGGAGGAATCCACAGAGTCTCGCTCATGTTACCCACATTGGAAAGCCTCCCTGACTGAACATGCACTGTTGAGCGATGAAAAGATGATTAATATGCATTCTTCAAGTCTGAAATGTGATCCTGCATCTGTGAGTCTGCAAACAGAGCATGCGCTGACATTTGCATAGATGTCTGCCAACATAGCTGCATGTCAGGCTGACATGTACGCTGAGCATCAGTGTCACAGCAGCGTGTCCCCTACCATTGTGTTGGAAAACAACGGCAACGGAGCCCCCCCCTGAAATTCAAGGTGTTTTTTTTTTAATAATACATATTTATAGCACCAAATTGCAACTAATCTATCTACTGTCACTTTTCACATTGAACATGTGCTCTTTTATTAAATAAACTAAACACTTTCTTTTTAAGTTATGAGTTTAGTGTTTTTGACCCTAAGAAACACCGATGCATTAATCCCTCCCCCCCCCCGCTCAGACAGCACCCCCCCAAAGCAGTAAACCTAGGGGAAACACTGCACAGCGTTCACATTAGGAATGAATGAGACCCATTTACAACTTTAAATTATTCAAACAAAGCTAAATTGAAAGTTGAATTAATAATAAAATCAACAATCAGTGCAGGTTTTTTCTTTGACCTGAAGCGTTGGAAAGCAAATACTATGTGTTGAGGATTTGAAAGTTCATATGTCAGCACCTTTACAGATGAGCTACAGATATTTCTCTCTCTCTGCTCGAGCATGTTCAAGCTAGTGTGCACCTGATGACTTGCCTAGAGGCGGATAATGCAAACGGGGGATTTAAAATCATAAGAAACATTGGTCTCCAATAAGATGAATGACATGTCAAACTTCCCGTTCCACCACAATGTGACGTTAAAGTGCGTCCAAGCGGAAATGGATTACTTCACCAAGGTTGCATCAGTCATTTACTGAGAATAAGCTTTATGTTAAGGGTTTAGCTCACAGTTAAGTGAATTGGTCGACATCATTGTCACTACTGATTCCTCTTTTCCCTCTCTGGGTCAAACTTCTTCCTCCACCGCATTTACATCTGCTTCCTTCTCTCCCCTCCAGGCACAGATCTGAAATCTATATACGTCGGGAGGAACATTATACACATCGCCACTTTTCATATCATGATAGGGAGACGGCACATTTTCCAACTCAGGTTTCAGCTGGCATTCCTGTGACTCTATCAGGATCAGAGTGCCTCAAAACATTACTCCTGTACGCGCACAGTTCCTCCACGGGTCACACATCTGTTAAGAAACTGATTTGACCTCATTTAGAGGGGGGAAAGGGAACAGGTACTGCCTGAGGGTAGTAAGTCCAGGTGTGCACAGGAGACCCATAGGTAAGCTTCACACAGGGGACAGGTTGCATGATTTTAGTAAGAAGTAAAGGCAACTCTTTGCTCAACTGCAGACTTTATCCCTAGGATATCCTCCTACTTTTAGTATCTGGGTATGACTCAAAGCTTAGTACATGTTAAATAGGCAGGGCAGCCCCCCAAGAGAAAGGCCTCTGGTGTATATAAAATAAACAAACAGTAAAACAGATGCTGAGTATCTTGGGAGAGCTATATGACGCATTTAAGACAGTTCATGTTGATGATCTGTTTATGATCAATGAATCATAACGGAATCACATGCTCTCAAAAGGTTGCATCACGTCATAGACCTCCTTTAAACTCCCATGTTAAGGAACGGTGTGTCTGTTTAGTGAAGCTGTCCATCATCACAGTGGCTCAAAATGAAATGTAGTGGCAAACACCAGTGTGGAGAATTATGGTTATTATTGTATCCTGTTTGTATACATTCAGTAACAGGATTTTAGTGTTGTATTCTCTTAATGTAGACCAAATGTAGATGCTTGAAATACTGTGTAGATTAGTAGTACAGTACTGCTTTATACTAATATCAGCATAGCATGTGTTTATAAGTACAAAGTAACTGTGAGTGGAGTCAAAAGTACAATAATTGCCAATGAAATTGCGTGGAGTAGAAGTATAAAGGAGCATTACATACAAGTACAAATATGTCAATAAAGTACTTAAGTAATACTTGAATACAATTTACTTAGTTACTTTCAACCTCTGCTATCAATACCGTTAATTGCTTAGATATGAGCATGTAACCTGGGAAACAGTGCTGTATAAGTCTGGTACTCGGTGACAAACAGACATATAGACATGTATACATAAATACATAAAGACAGATACACAGGGCTGGTCCAGTTGTACTGAAATGTTTCGGAGCGGCGCTGTTCCCTAACTGCTAAATTAGCTAGAACATGCTAACCGTTACTGTATCATAACACATAGGGAAGCTAGGCTAAGCGCTAACGGCTACAATTACAAATCCAACCATATCAGTGTCGTGTCAGAAATCCCCGAACAGACTGGGACTCACCTCTGCCTCGCCCTCTTCCAGACTTCTCAGACTCCATACCACAAGCCCCTGGACCAGGAGGATAGTTAACGCGGCGGCTATCGCTAGTTTGTATCGTCGGAGCAGCTTCTGAACTCGAGCGCTGGCCACCATTTTTTCGACTCCCGTTTGACGGGGAGCGCGTGCACGGCACATTCTGAACTGCGCGTGCACGCGGTGTCGCTCGCCATCCTCAGGTTGCTGCAAAGTTTCACTTCAAAATAATTGTAATTAGCTGGATTTATATCGTGTATTTCTCATACGAAATTAGAAAGTCATCATGTCTGTGTTGTTCTTTGGATGAAGGGACGCCTGCAAAGAAAAATGAATGTTATATTCATGTATAATAATACATGTATATACCGTGTCATGTGAGCAAAATACCTTATTCCTGCCAGTGGATTTGCTAAATAGAGACAAAACGTAATTGTCTTATTGTCCCTATATAAAAATCTACCTAGAAACTCAATTCAATTCAAGTTTATTTATATAGCCCAAAATCACAAATCCTATTTGTCTCAGATTGCTTCACAAGTCAACAAACACAATTTGCAATGTAAAACAATGTAAAAACAACAAACGTATCTTACAAGATCAATGTGAAAATACCAATTTAAAAAGGAACATAACACAATGACACAAATACAGTTAGAGTAGAATAAATAAAATTCCATAAAACGAAGGGTCCATGAGGACCCATGAGGACTAAACTAACTATAACGTACTATAATTAACTAAATTAATTAATAAATAGCACTTTGATATGTTATTTTTTGTAACAGGATAGTTTTGGAGAACCATAAATAAATAGTTTTAAAAACACTTGAAGTTGATTCCAAAAGTTAATGTTTATTTTTTTACCTCTAACATGATAGTGAGCTTGACAACTTTTTCATGTAACTCTTGTGAGTATAATCAGGATAATGGAAATTCCCCACCATCAACATATTGTGAGGTTTTCTTTGTATCTTGATCTGTGCTAATATCCTATATTGTTCCAGACATAACTTGTATTATTTTCTTAAAAAGGCTATATTTTTTCATCATGTATGAGTAACCCCCTTCTTACATGATCAGCATCTTAATTAATGCTTTACAATTGTATTGTGTTAAAAACCAAGGTCATGGCCACTTCTAATGAAAATTAAAATAATCCCATGTCGTGTCCTCAAATGTTAGGGTAGATCTGCAATGCTTTACATTACAAACATGGTTTTAACAGCAATATGATTAATATTATAAGGCCTATAATATTGCAGCAAACATTTAAAAGTTGTCAGCTGGCATTTTAAGTTGAAAAATTAGTCTCCCATAGTTCCCAACCATGAATACTAATGCTACATTTTTGTCTCTTTGTCTGTTTATAAATCATCTCAGGACGGGATCCCCACGGTCTCCAGGGTAACGGGTCTCCAGCTCTGGCATGCAGGGAGTTAATCTGGTCTGGAAGCCACTGAGCAGACGAGACAGGGAGGAAACAGCAAGTAGGCATATTTTATGAACATTATTTGAAATGTGTGTAACCTGGCTGTAAAACATGTGTTCAGTGCTAAAGTACTGTATACTTAAGTACAATGTTCTGATACTTGTACTTTAAATACATATTTAAATGTTATGCTATTTCATTCTACTCCACTTTTGGAAGCCAATAATCTTCTTTGCATTTATCTGACATGTTATTCTTATTCTATTCCTTTTTATTATAATTTTTGTTTCTGTTTATTCAGTCCTGGTATTAAGCGTTCTTTTTCATCACAAAGCTGCTTGTTTGTCCGTTGTTTTTATTTTTCCTAAATTGTCTAGGTGTTTGGTTTGCGAAGCACAATGAGTCATTTTTGTGGATGAAAAGTGCTATGTAAATACATTAAAATGTTGGTTTGATTTGATTTGACAGATTTAATTACTAGTGACTTTAACGATTCAGATTATAAAATAATACAAAACAAATGAATAAACTATATGTTGTTATTGTTAAAGATAACTAGCATTGGTATACAATGTATTTACGTTTTTGACTAATGTTTTTATTGAATGACAGACACACTCATAATACAACAATTGAAACAGGGATTTTCCTTTTACAAATGAATTCAAATGAGCTCCACTCACCAGCTGGGAGGGACACATGCATAATGCATAATCCAGTGTATAAATAAACATGTTTCTGTAAAGGGCCATTACTTATAACTAATACTTTTACTTTTGGTACTTTAAGCATATTTTTGACTACTTTTGCATGATTTTGAACTTGTTTAGACTTTTTTTTTTTTACAGTTGGTATTTCTACTTCAACTTAAGTAAAGTATGTGAGTACTTCTTGGATAACTGCATGTCATATTGCTGTTTTAAGGAGCCTTGATAATAAATCTGTTGGCATTTGTGTGTGCTGCAGCCTGCTGTCCATAAACCAAAGTGCCGAGCGCGCAGCCAGAGCGACGTCACGCGTTGCAAAGAGGGCGTCATTTCGCCTTGACACACTCACACTACACACACACACACACACACACACACTCACACACACTGTGGCATGTTTACCGAGTGGAGAGTTTGATCGGACTTGCAGAGAGAGCATGTGGACTGTGACCCTGTCCGGGAGCGAGCAGACAATGAAGAGGAGCGACAGAGCTGGTCTCCGTTTCTTTCTCTGATAAATAAGATGAGAGGCTTTGTGTTGAACCTTATGAGTTCAGGAGGATTTGTGAAGGCAACACTCACAGTTTACACAGAAGAAATGTCCACAACTGAAAGTCCCACCATGCCCTCCTCACAGCTGACATCGGATCAACTCACAGTGGTCGCTGCATCATGTAAGTAAAACCTTTAAACTGTCAAAAATATTCAAAATAAATCAGATTTTGCTAGAAAAACATCTGTCAGGATAATTGTTCTACTTCCTTTGTATTTGCACTTACTGCAGCAGTATGATAAGGGTTGTACTAGATCGTTTCTTTTTATAGATATCAGCTACTTTGACTGTCACATATTGCAATCATCTCTAACACATAATTACAGTAAGTGGCAGAATATTATTTCCCAGCTATGATTGTTTTTGATGGACAGGTAGCACAAAGGACATCAATGACACCTGTAAGTGTTCACATTATAGAGACAGACTGTCAATCAGACTCTTCATATGAATCAACTTCACTGATTTGAACTGTTCAAAGGACAAAACTGTTCTTTTACAAGTTTCACAGCCAGAAAAACACACAAACACAATGTCCGTCTGTTCGACACTGATTAACAAACATGTCCTTCTCTCTTGATTTTCTCACAGTTTCTTCTCTGGTGTTCTTTGTGGTGATTGTGGTGCTGCTGTCCATTATTTACCGCAAGGATCTCCTGTGCTGCAAGCTACGCTCCTATCAGGGGCCACATGCAGATATGGTAAGATTTCAACTAAAAACAAGTGCCTTTTGTGCTGAGGTTTCTTTTTTTTAAAGTGACTCGTACGTTCAGATGTGATCCTGATCCAGCACAGTTGATGAGACCACAGAGAGATGGGGGGGGTGGGCACAGACTCAAAGACACCATGTGCACTCCCTTAGTGTCGCGCCATTAGGAAGTGTCAGATTCAATTTGCATGCTGTGGGAAAAAAAAGACTACAATAAAGTTGATATGATCATTGTCAGGCGATGGATTTGCCTCAGTTGAATTAGCTGCCCTGCAGAAATATCCGCCACAGCCACTCTGATGGAAAAGGACAGAATTAGCACTCAACACGCATATTGATGCTACTCCAGCACCTTATAATGAAATCACTGCAAATCAGATTTTCTTGCTTACACCGGCAAAGCAGGTGAAGCAAAACAACCTAATCGTTGAGGGTTTTTAAGGGAGCCCGTGGCATTTCAAATCATTATAAATTAGATAAACACCACAACATCTCTGCCTAAATCAAGCTGTAAGTGAGAGGTGCAGGATGAGGTGAAATGAAAATGTAAACACAGAAGTAACTTTTCCTAGGTTGTTTATTCTCTCTGCATTCTCTTCCTGACTTGTTTCTCACCTCGAGTCCCAGGGGTCAAGTTTGAGTGTTATCTTTGGATTGCAGAGACTTATACCCCCCCCCCCCCCCCCTCCCCCCTTCAATGGACAGGAAGCTCTGTTCAGTTGCGGTTTTAATGGAGAAGTCCTGTTGTTCCTTTTGAGGAACTAACAGAGCGTCTCACCGGTACAAAGAAGCATCTAGTTTCAACTGAGTCTGTACACCATGTGGCTGATAAGACAGTCAGGTCAGTAGCTACAGTAAAACACATGACAGAGACAAACTGTAATCAGTGCCAAAGTCTACACCCATATTGTGTATTCAGATTTCATTTTCATTCATTATTGGTTAGTGAATACACTTAGGGGTTGTTTGAATTGTTCCTGAAACCCACAATTGACATAATGTGATTGAAAAGGGAGATGCATTTTTTTATTATCAGGAGACAGAAAGTGAAGGTTAGTCGACAAACACACAAACGCTCTTTCATTGTGCTCCTATGGGACATTGCATGTCTTCAACTTCATCGTCACATACCTTTCCCTGCTCCAGTATGCACCATGAATAGTGGGCCGACCCCACTGTGGGTGTTGGGGACACAACGGGGACAATGGCTCTCCTTTAGGTTTGCAGCGGGGAAAAAGACACACTGCCGCTGGGGTCCTCCCCCGACTTCAACACTGATTTAACACGGTTGTGCTTTTTCACACTGGATGAATCAATGGCAGGAGACAAAGGACAAGTCTCCCTTTTTTCCCTTTTTTTTTTTTAAAGGACTTTTTCTTTTTTGCTTCTTAAAAGTACAAACCAGTGAGGGAAAGTGACCTCTGACATCACCTTTTCTGAGTCGTCTCCATCTCTCTGAAATGATGTCAGGGTTGTGGCAAAGGTCGTTTGAGTGCGTCACTCTAAGTGTGAGTGATGTCATTGTTTAACTAGTCTGCATGGGAAAATGATAAATCACAGAATTTCATACTACTTTACATACCAAACTTCAACTTTTACGGCCTCTTGGTCAAAGGAAATCGCCTCGGTAAAACAGTAAAAGTTTGTTTCCTAACAACTCTTAACCTCACGCTGGATTTGAATCCCGGTCAAGCAACAAATTGACTTTGTCGTAATGCCGACCCAAATGACATACGAGGCTATAATGTGTATTGGAGTGTGCTCGTTAAGAGGTACCTGCTGCAGTTACAAGAGGAAGACAGAGACAGAAAAAAGACCACACGGTGGGGTTTGTTGCCTAGGGACCCTCAAAACACAGCGGGACATCACATTGTTCTTCACACAAAAGAGACTCATTTAGACTCAAGGCAATTACCTACTTTTCCTGGCAGTCTTTTTTCACCGCATACATACAGTGAGACTTTGACAGGTCTTGTTTCAGAGTGGGAGGGACAGGGAGGAGGCACGGAAATTGGAGGGTGGTCGCCTTATTGATTGGATAATTTATGGTATTGCTAAACCAGCCAGTGTCTACAGTGATTAAACAAGGCATGAAGATTGGTCAATTGAGCTGAAATGAGTGGATTGTTTTTGACTAATTGCAGCAGGATCCATAAAAATATAAACGAATAAACGCTTGTCATGAATAACTAAGGCTCTGCTTGCTGAGACACACTTGTTCCATTACTGCTTGTTTTACAGGGTGCTCCTCCTCAGTACTACAGCAGCAGACAAACACTGGTGGGATCTCCTTGTCTGGAGCAGAGTGAGATCATGGATGACAACAACACTCAGGTGAGAGAGCCTATAGTGCATTAGCAACATCTGCTATTAGCCTTGAAAAGCACTTTAGACTTCTGTGTACTCTGTGCAGCAGATACAGGCACACTCTCTGTTCCTCTACTACACAAACTGTACTTTTTACTCAGTAGATCAATAGGCACTCGCCTCTAAAGTGAATGTTTCCATGACGGTATAGCTTTAGGAATACTTTACACCAAAAAGGTCCATGTGTTAATTAATTCCTCAGCCTGAGTTACCTTGAGTTCTTGAAGAAAGCTTTATTTGTCTCGCATGCCTCCACAGCGAGGAAAGTCCTAATGAATTGAAGCCCAATAAATACATCAAAACATCTGTTTACAAACTCTCAAGGAACTCATGCAGGACTCCCAACATCTTTTTTACTTAGGAAGGTTCCTAATTGAGTGAAATGACCCAGAAGTATTTAAGTGGCCACCATCGTAATGGCTGGGCGATTTCTCTAAATGCTGAGGAAATGTGTTTAAATGCTTTCTTTCTTATCCCATTTAGTTAGGGAACACTGCAGCAGTCTTTATGAAAGGAAAGGTGATAATGTCATCACACAATTCCTTACAGCAACACCATTGCGTCAATAACAACCAACATCACAGTTTAATTGTACAATCAATTAAATCCAATAAATGGAAATCATCATTTTAAGAGGTGAAATTCAGTTTTGGACAGGAGCCTTTACATGAATTGTACAGCATTAAGTTTGCACTCATTGTTTGTGTTTTTAAAACGGTTTCTGTTAAAAAAACACTTACAAAACATCTGGTTTCTGTTAAAAAAACACTTACAAAACATCTGCTATAAATGAGGACAGATTGTCTTAGCTTTGCTACAAAACCCAAGTCTGATTTATCCAGTCGTATGCTCACTACTTAACAAACCCATGTGTATACGCTTAAACCTTATAACTTATTACCCTTGGTACTTGTCAGGGACAAGTGTCAATAATGTGCAAGTGTGAGATTGTTAAAGCTTTGTTTAAGTGTTCAAAATTGTAAAGTTTCTGTGAAAATACATGTGTTTTGGAAGTAGTTAGCACACCTCAGGATCAATGAGACTTGGCACGCTTTGTGTGAGAGTTTGCAAACAGATGTTATGATATAGATTTGTTGATGTTAAATGGGGTTGCCATTCAATTTAGTACACCTTTTCAAGTCTTTACTCCTGCTCACTGTGTTTTCCTTCAAGTATTAAAGGTATCAAAGGGGTTGTAATTTACACTCATATGGTCATTTTGGAAGTGAAGTATCCCTTCAAGCAGGTTTCAATAATCCACACATCCTCAGCACATAAAAGCCTCTGTTTCCTGTCCCTCATAAGTGTCCCTCTGTGTGTCTCAGCAGGCGGGTCAGCTGTTCTACATCGGCCTGCCCTCCAGCTACAGCCTCCCCACTCTGGACTCCCCCATGCCGAGGCTCCCCTCCTACGAGAGCGTCCGAAAGAAGGACCGCCAGAGGCAGATCCACATGATGATCGCAGACCGCTTCGGCCTCAATGGACCCATTGTGACTGAGGTCGGCATAATAAGGGATTAACACTTGATACAGTCTCAAATGCTTTGACAATGAATTATTCCAGGTGCTGTCGTTGAGCCTGGGAACGGGGAATATATTGTACTCCTATTACAGGTTTAGCTCAAGCTCATATAAACCGTCATTATCAAGGCCCCTGGGTAGTTTCACAGTGAATAGAGATAATAACAAACAGGCTCTTTCTATTATGACCACGCTGTCATGCAATATTGTAACAAGAGCTTGTTCAAAGATTAGACCGCATTCAGAGTGCGGTAAACATTTAGCACTATCTGCTCATCTCGCGCTCGCTGCTGAATTGTGCTGGCAGACGCGTTTCAAGGTTTTACCATGTTGATCTTTTGCTGAGCTTTTGACTCGCACAACGCTTGGGCAAACAAGGTAATGAGAAAAAGGCACATCAAACATAATTAAAGCCTGCATCCTGAGAGCAAACACAGCCCGGGAATGCAGCTTTGTGCTCCTGTCTTCTACTGTTTTTTCTTCTTTGACCTCCCTCTTTTTTCTGCAATTAAACAGTCCTTAGCATGGCTGACCATCCCTTACACACACACACACACACATACACACACAAAGAAAGTACATTCACTCACAGTTAACCCATCACCACTGAAAAGTCTCCCTACCCCCCAACTAGAGTTCGACTGATGGTCCCTTAATTTACGTCTGTCCGCCTGTCCTGCGACCAGAGGCAGGATAGTAGTCAAACTTTGTGGCATGGTGTGTGTGTGGTGTGTGTGGATCACGCAGAGGGCAGGGCACTAGGGTTGCTCTTGTCGCCTGAGGGTCCCCAAGCAATTAAAAGATAAGAAGGCCCAGTGTGAATCTGTCGGATGTGATCAGAAAGATAATGCATTGGAGTGAAATATGTTCCAGGCGGCTGAAGTGGAGATTAATTGGAAGTGTAAATACAAACATGTTCCACTTATTTTGAGGGATATATATCAGAACTCAGGGTGTTATACAAGCAAAACTTTCATCCTGGGACTGCATAGTTTTTATATGACCTTAAAGCACAGCAATGGTCCTAAATGGATGGAGAGCAAGGACTTTGTCTTTTAGCAAATAGGCAAAAGTGGCTTTGAAATTTGGTTCAAATGAAATAAAAAGTCTTGTTCAGGATCGTAATGTAAACCCTCCCCTTTTTTTTCACCACTTGCAACAAGCTGTGTTGATTACATTTGTGACTTTTATCTTTCTACAGATCATTCTTCCTGTAAATGTACCAGTTTAATCTTAGAGAATATGTTACTATTTTTCCTGTAAATGTATGACTTTAATCTCGGGAAAAAAAAAGTATTCTTTGAAAATTACATCACAAGGAATCCATAAATGACTTATTTTAACCTACAAAGCCCATCATACAAAGTACGATATTGTCATTCATTTGTGGCGTGGTTATATCCCTTATAGCCCAATGAAAGTCCAATATTTCCTCTCTTTTAGTGATCGTTTTGGTCTCTACCAGCTCCTAAAAGAAAAGCTATTTGCTACAATATTTTCACCAACTAATTGCATGTTTTGATTGGCTGCTGTTTGTTGCTGAGCAGCTGTTTTGGATTGCATTTTCAAACTTGTCTAAATATTATCCTGTCTTTCTGTCTTTCCCACAGCCTCCTCCAACATATGAAGAGAGTGTCTGCCATTCTATAGAGCTGCCGTACAACATCCTGTCATCCAATCTGGACCTCTCCTTTCCTCAGAGTATCTTCACCAACACGGACACACCTCATCTGATCAACTCTGACTCCAACAGCACTGTTCTACCTGTGTGATTTTACTGATCTCGTGAATGTGAAAGACGTGTGATAGCTTTACATACACAGAAGAAGAGTGGATTAAAACCGGATTTTCTTCACTTTACACAAGCTGATACCTCAAGACTGAGCTTATATTGAGAGACAGCTGATGAAGGAGCAACCAAAGAGGAGTTTTGTGAAAAGACTATCGAATGTCAAAAACACTTTGTGACCGCTACTGTACATGCTGATGAATTTCAAAGGACAATCACGGGATATTGACATTTACTGAGGTGGCTGGTTCACCTTGAAGACGAAAAAGGTGGAGTACAAAATACCAAAAAAGGGAACCGCTATTTACCTTGTTGATTATACTATCACTGAACACTTGTTTACTCTTTTATTGTCCTAAACCAGAGACCTCATAGTGTTGTTTATGAGGTTATCCGAGGCTTGTTGTTGTTTTACCCTGCCGAGGCCGTAACATACTGCCATAGAGCATGTGAGAGGGAAATAATTAAAAAAGGTACGCATGAGAGTGCCTTCCATGGACTTATAACAAGACACATATGTTGTTTTTATGACCACTTTGTCGTTTTTATTCATTAAGGCAGATTGGAGTCTTGATGATTTCTTACTTTCAGAAGCATTGATTTGTTTGTTCTGTCTCCCAAAGGCAACATCAACAAGTGGAGTGAAGCAGCTTGAATGTGAAATGAAAACAAACACCCATGTCAGACCTGCTTTGTTCCTTCATCACACGTTGTCATTCTTCCATGTACACACGCCAAATGTCTGTCCTGCACATTGTCATGTACTGTATTTATTTGAAGAACGATGTCTCCTCATTATTTCTTAAAACAAATGTAATAATTATATATTGTTTGTTGATGGACTGGAATTTACAGCAGTAACACAGCGTCAGTGCAAACAGCTGCAGTGCCACTCATAGAGAGGCTGGTCTTTGATATTTTCATGAATTTGTATGTGTGGGTGTGTGAGAGACAGGAAGGAAAATTCAAATTAAGACTTGTTTCCAACTTTCTTCTTGGCTTTTTTTCCTATGTTCTCACATTTAATTGTGGAGACATTTATGCTCCTCATCACACTTATCTATTTGAGCTCTATATATATATATATATATATATATATATATATATATATATATATTTTTTTTTTAATATTTTTTTGTGGCAGCTCTTATACCACTAAATATACAAAAATAGTAGAAATTATCAGAAAAAGATAAACAATAGTAATTATTCATACTGATTCCTAATAAGTAATGCTTTATTGACTTCTAACACCTTGTCCAAGATATGTTCCAAATATCTAATGAGCCTACATTACATTTACTTTGCTGTTTCTTCTCATTGCAAAATATTGAATACTTTAGTGCAGGGGTCTCAAACTCAAGGCCCGGGGGCCAAATCCGGCCCGCGACTTCATTTTATGTGGCCCCGCAAGAGCTTGCAAAAAATATAATACGTTTATTATACGGTTACATGCCACTTTACAGAAGCAGGTTGCCCATAAACTACATGTCCCACAATGCATCTCGTTTTGTGACATGCACACTGAAGAGACTTGCAATTATTTGTCCTGGACTTCTGCTTTCAGACGTAGTTAATTACTAAGTTATTATCCTCTCCGATAATAATCCAATTCAGAGGCAATAATGTAATATAATACATTATTTGATGTATATATTATATATTTATATAGCTACAACCGGCCCTTTGAGTGCAACCTATATGCGAATGTGGCCCGCGATGAAATTGAGTTTGACACCCCTGCTTTAGTGCATTTAGTTCTCAGTATCAATGAAAGCCCGTTGTGAGCAGTACGTCATTTTGTTACTATTTTGATATTTACAACAAATCTTATGACCATGTTTAGTGTTAAGGCTATTTAAAGTGGAAAAGCCAAATCAATGTCAATAGGCCGCAGAGCCTGCAGGCAGAAAACTGAACACAGTCGTCTTTGACTGAAAAACACAAAGATATAACTGTCTGTGAAATTCTAAAGTAGCCCTGATAACACACGTCTCATATTATCCCACACACTGGGTTGTCGTTTTCAACTCTAGTCAAATGTTTCTTTATCTGGAGCCAAAAAAAAGTGATGGGCCTAACTTTTTAATTAGAAATAAGCAGCAGCTCTATAATTTCCCCTCTAATATTGATATTTCACATATCAAGTATCTGGCCAGAAGGGGGCAGAAATCTGAGTTGATATAACTATGAACATGTAGGCTTAGATCTAAAATAAAATAATCGATTCAAGCCTCGCTTAGATTATTGGTACTATACCGGTCCTGTAGAAGTAAAAAATCTGAAATAAAACACTTTTTTTTGTCTGAAATACAGCGTTGTAAAATTACATTACATGCATTACAATTTTATCAAGGAATCATTATGGTTTCAAAGCTCAAGTATTTTTTATACAGTAGAATTGCCCCTTAGTTAGATTATTATATTAAAAGATAATTATTACTGATGTAGAAACATGCAAGAAGCTTCTTACTGTCAGAGGTGGGAGAAGTACTCAGATCTTGCACTTGAGTACAAGTAGAAGTACCAGAGTGTACGAATACTCTGTTACAAGTCAAAGTCCTGCATTCAAAATGTTACTAAGTAAAAGTACAAAAGTAATATCATCAAAATATACTTAAAGTACCAAAAGTACTCATTATGCAGATTGGTCCTTTTCAGAGTAATACATATTTTTTTATTATAATTATTGACGCTTTAAAGTGTTATCAAAGCTGGTAAAGTTGCAGCTGTTTCAATCCCTTTGTATACTGCAGGGTAGCTTGTGGATTTACTCCAGGTGTAACTAAAGTCTTATTGAAGTGTTGAGTATATTTCACATCATTAATCAAAATCTGTAAAGTAACTAAAGGTATGAAATACATGTAGTGGAGTAAAAGTACATGATTTACCTCTGAATTGTAGTGGAGAAGAAGTAAAAAGTAACAGAAAACGGAAATACTCAAGTAAAGTACAAGTATCTCAAAATTGTACTTAAGTAGAGAGTAAATGTAATTAGTTACTTCCCACCTCTGGTTACTGTTATATCTGAGGTGGAGCTCACTTAAACGACTTTATATTGTTAGGCAGGTAAATCTGTCACCATGCATTTTATTTTATGAAATGTTTTGTACCTATGCAAAGTAACAATATATTTTAACACTGTAAACAAATAGTTTAGTAAGTAGCAGAAGAAGGTAGCACTTAAGTAAATAACATTAAGTCAAAATACTCAAGTACAGCACTGGAGTAAAAGCTTTAAACTTATGTTGTTTACAGTCAAAACTAGTTTAGATATACCAAACTGTAGACCTGAGTCATAATTACCTTCCAAACATGGCTGCCTGCTTTGTCCACCGGATGACGTCTTTCGTCACTGACGGAGAAACCCGAACCTGCCCGAGCAGCCAACCGTCAGTCTGGCATGTAAACAAGGTCAGACACTGCAGCATACAGTACCAACACTTCCTGCAGACACAGACATCTGCTCGCTTTTCAACTCAAGAGAAGAAGAACACTTATTTGCAAACCCCCCGAAGAGAAAGGTAGGCTCGTGCGTGATGTGCACATATCATTTGTGTTGTTGTGCTGGACGCTCTGCAGTTATATGACATAACTACTAGCACAAATGTATAAAATAGTTTATTATTTTGCGTTCAGAGCTGCATAAACAGTATTATTCAAATTGCAAAATGGCTCTTACTGCAGCTATAATCCAGATTTGCCGCAAAGTCACCCGTCAGGTGTGTGTTTACTTCATGCGCAGTCATCAGCTGGCTCTAACTGGGTCGCTGCAAAAACTGCAGGGTCATGTTTTCTCACGACATTGATGAACCAGCCTAACGGATCATTCATTTTGTAATAATTTTACAGCGTTGTTTCAGTCTCTTCAATCCCAATAGTATTTACTTAATGATCCAACTATGTTATTTACTGAAATATTATGGATTTAAACTTGCATGAATCATCATTACTGCATTATGTTGAAACACAGCATATGAACTCACTTGCACTGCTGTATCCAGATTCAAGGGAGTTGCAGCTTTTTGGAGCTTGACTGCTCTGATGTGCTATTAAAAAAAAGAAGTACCTTCATAACTCTATTCATAGCCAAACAGGCCTCTATTTATGACTGTGTTAGATAACATTGTGGATAAACTCCAGTGCTTTATAATTAAATGGGGTAAAGTGCGAGTACAGATAGGATTTATTTATTTATGTTCACCCACTCAGTCTGGGTCAGCATGAAAACCTGACTGGTCATCCCAACATGGTCAGTGCCAGCCAGACCCTGAGCTACTGCACCTTTCTGCAGATGATGATGATAGACAGGAAGTGAGTGAGGAGGACAGTAGAGAGAGATATCTCAGGAGATGGAAGTCTGCAGTGCCTGTCATGTTTTAGCCTGCCTGCTTTATTTGCTTTATATGATCTCTTTCTGTATGTGTTTTGGCCTATGATACAACCTCCTAGAATACTTCCTGTTTGACCAATTCCTTTGTTTTACTAAAGATTATTTGACTTTAGTAGCTGTATATGTTTAATGCCTGCCAAAGGCGAGGCTGTGACCCCCTTGACTTTGAATACTGATGTTATGTTTTTTAAATTGCCATGTACACTTTCCATCACATGTTTAATGATTCACATAATGCTGTTGTTTTGGATATAAACATTAGCAGCATTCCAGTTCAGTGTCTGACTACAGATTCAAATCTCACAGACCACAACTTTTAATGTGTTTGGGGTTCACAGTCAAGATTTGATCATAACATCTTAAAATTATTAAATAGCATGTAAACTATCAGAATTTACAGTACAAGCTGTGAAATTGTACTTGAACACATGACGACAAGAAAGTATCCGACTAATCTTTAGTGGAAGACGTACTTAGATCCTTAAGTAAAAGTAGAAATACCACAGTCTAAATATCCTCCATTTCAAGTAAATGCCCTGAATTAAAAATTGTATTAAAAACTACATTTCCCACTGAAATGTATATAAATGGAAATATTAGGTATCATAAAATTGACATACTCTAGCCAAGTAATGTATTAATATGTCAACATTGTATTTGAGTATGGCTTGGATGACAATGTGACCTGTTATGTCCTGTGTCAGAGTGCCCAGGCTGCTAACAGGAACAAATAGTAGTGTTTTTGCTAGTAAATCATTTTCTGAACTAACATGTTTGTGTTAATTCTCTGTCGGACTCTCAATACAGACCCGCCAAGATGATGCAATGTTTTCACTTCATGTTGGAGCCGGCCAAAAACTTTACAGCTAAGATAAGGGTAAGACCTTTATTTAAGTCCATTCAAAATAAAAATAAAAGAGCCAAAACATCATGTGTTTAATGTGCAAACCTGTTTTTTGGGTTGATTAAGTAGACAGTTGACACGACAACAGTTTTGTGTACCACATGACGACACACATTTCTCCATTCCTGGTTTAATTGAACAACAGAGAGCTTCTGAAAGACTCTGGAAGAGAAGGGGTGTCTTTCTCTCTTTGTCTTGTTGACAGGAACAGAGCCTCGGTGTGCATTTTAATCAGGCTGTGTGACCCCCTGCTTTTCTAATTTGACCTTATTACTCTCAAAGGCACTTGAAAAGCAGCACTGATGTCTTTCAAACGTCTGAGAATTCTCCCCTTTTCCAAACACATTCCCAGAGAAAATCCTTACATTTTTTATGTTCTCACAGGAATCACGCAAAAAAGCGCTGAACGAGAAGAGGGAGCCTCTGGATGAAGATCAGCTGTTTATTGTGGATCTGGCAAGAGATCTAAGCCGAGTGTGCCAGGTGAATACACCCTCATTCAAAACTGAAATTATTCATATAAAAAACCCAAACTCTGCCCTATACGTATATACAGTCACTGACTCCCACTTGTGAGTATTGAGGAGGGCTTTACAATATATAGTTATTTAATCGTCAGCACAATCAGAATCAGAAACATGTTAATTGCATAAGTTTACTTATACAAGGAATTTGCTTTGGTGTGTGTGAAGCATAAGCCTACATACATGTAAACACAGAGAAGAGAGAAGATACCGAAATATAACAATTATAAAAACGTTTAAAATAAACTATTATAACTTTAAAAATATGGATGTATACAATGTCAACTTGCACCATAAACACATCACAAAAGTCTGGGATTTTGCACTCTAGTTGAAAAGTGCACTTTAATGTGTTGTATTTTAGCAATACATTGAAAGCAGCAGAGAGGCAGAACTGATTCTTCAATAGCTTTTCATAGGAAGTAATATCATTATAGGGATCTTCAACAACATCGTCACATATTTTCCTTATATTGTTTAGCCCTGGTATTGAGCTAATTGGGACAATTACCACAAGTCAGCTCCAAAAGAAGATTAGCTATTGTCTTAATTTCCTGTCTGCCACCAAACCCACGTTTCCCTCCCTTGCCTCTGCAGAGGTCAGAAGTCCTGGAGCACATCTGGAACCTGGATGACACCTGGCCGACCCCCCTCTGCAAGGTCTTCGTCCTGCAGTGGGCCTCCATGCTAGAGAGCAAGGTGTTTATCTGAAAAAAGCATGCATTGACTTACTGAATAGAGAGGATTTGACCACTAAAGGCATGTTTCTTTGTGCAGAAGAGGCCGATGCAGACTGACGGCTGGCCAGAGATGGATGATGTAAAGCACCCTGATATGATCAATGAGCAGGACCTGCTGCAGGCCAAAGCTGTGATTCTAAACTGGATCAAGGACCTGAGAGCTCAGCCTGAGGTGAGAAGTATAAATAACATTCACTGCTACCCTGGCTTTGTTGACTCAGTAGACATATTTTATTAATATCGACCATCTTGCAGCAAAGTGTGTGGCCCGGGGAGCCGGTGGCTAAGTCTCTGGAGGACCTGGATTCGGCCTGGCGTTGGGGCCGCGCGCCAAATCTGCTGGCCGCTATGGAGCTGGTGTTTTGGACTCTAATCGTGCAGCGCCCAGATAAGGTAGAATCCATGTAACAGTTCACAGAGTCAGCTTAACGTCTTGTGTTTATTGTGCAGTTGTAGAACAAACATCTTTTGGTGTTCTTGCAGGATACCATACCGCACCAGTGGCTCATGTGGAAGCAGAAGACTCAGAAGATTGGTAATACATTTCAAATGAATCAAGTTTATTTTTGTTATAAATCTCAAATATTTCGTACCTTATGACTGTGTTATTCTCTCCATCCAGGTAGCATATCCTACATTCCTCAACCAGGTGAGTGACATTGTATATTAGCATACAAAACATTACATACAACCACTGACAGGTTGATGAAACAAAACAAAACACTTGATGTAGAGATCAACATTTCACTGCTCTTCGTAGGGAACATTATTGGTTTGGCAAGCTTATGTTTAATTGTAGTTTTTAACCATCAAAAAGAGATGTTAGAGAGTGCACCAAATCTCCACCACTGATGTTAAGAACAGAGAAGAAGAGAATAGAAGATACACATTATTTGGTTTTATTCTCCATTATATGTATTCTACTTTATCTTATTTTTTATCTCCATCTTGTGTTCCATTCGTTTGATACTCAGTTATTTTTAATGTCTAGTTTCTCCATTGTTAAGCACTCTGTACTGCATTTGTTGTATGAATGATGCTCCACAAATAAGGTGTTTTATTATTGCTAAAGCCCCTCTGTTTTTTTTGCAGTGTGGGATTGGATCTCAAATGCTGCAGGTAGAGCATTTATTTGATCAAATTACAAGTATAAACTTTAATCTGCACTGTACCTGTATGTAATTTTAACCATGTTACTTTTCTCTCTAGTGGAGGTGACTCTGGATCTGGACACTGCCAACCCTGACCTGCTCATCTCCTCCGACGAGAAGCGGATGCGCTGTGGCTACGAGAGGAAGGATATTCCCAACTTCCACCAGCGCTTCGACGGCTGGTGGTGTGCCGTCGGGATGGAGGGCTTGGGCTCCGGCCGCCACTACTGGGAGGCGGAGGTTGGAGAGCGGGACTGGAGGCTGGGCGTGGCCAAAGAGTCGGCCCTGAGGAAAGGCTTCAAGTCCCTGAACACAGATACAGGTTACCTGAGCCTGAGGCTGGAGAGGGGCTCTGAGCTGAAGGCGCTGACGGTGCCCTTCACCTCCCTGCCGCCCTACCTCATCCCCGAAAAGGTGGGCATCTACCTCGACTACGACCGCGGCCAGCTGTCCTTCTATGACGTGGACAAACACATCCACATTTACACCTACAACGAGTGCTTCAAAGAGAAGTTGTACCCGCTGTTCGGTACTGTGGAGATCATCAATGATCTGGTGATCAAGTCTCCAGCAGTTAAAACCCAACGTTTCTGCCCCTCGCCCTGCATCTGGGGTTGAGCTCCCCCAACTCTTCCTTTAAAATCCAGTAGATATCATATTAAAGTATGATAAATGGTTATATAATTATCACTGGGAGGAATCAGAGAGCTTGATGTTAAAGACCATTATTGATAGCTCCACTAAGTGACCACTCTCTATGCTGCTGCTGATGCTTTAACGTAATCGTCGCAAACACTTCCTCACTATAGAGTTACAGTGCTATTCTTTGCCTTCACATAATGTATTTTCATATATTTAAAAGAACAACCCTGTAGTATTACTGTAATGTTATGTGCAATATTAACCCTGCATTTCTGATGCATTTCTGTGAATGATAAATAAACCAAATACATGTCTTACTTTTGGGTCTGTCTTGTTTTTAAGTAAAGTAGATAACTACTTCCATAACATGAATAGGTCCACCTTTAGAAAGAGTAATCTCACCTGAGAGCTAAAGTATGTTGTACATAATCACACAATCTCCATGACAGGTTATAGTATTTTAAGTAAATAAAAAAGTGAGGTGTCAGTTATCAGCCTCACCATATTATCTTGTTCATTTTAAATCCTAGTTGAAATTGGGGGATGCATGTCACTGTAAAATAGGGAGGAAACACATTTAACACGATGAGACATTGACGGAGAACGATTCTGACTACATGAAAGGTTTATATGTAATTGTGGTTGTGGCTCAATTACCATAACTCCAGTCTTACAGTGTTTGTGCTCAAATCATTTGTACATGTTTAGAACAATGTACCATCAAAAACAAACACCTACATGAAAAGGACATTGAGCTGGGTTCCTTTATTTTTACTTCTTGTTTAACAGTTTTAAGAATTCCTCACTTCAGTTGTGTACAGATTAGGTTATGAGTTTATTATACATCCATGGTTGAAGCTTCAACGCACGCCGCCGTGTGTACGGGCCGTAATGATGTCATCAGTGTGCGACGTCACCACAGAGTTTATATGAGTTCTCCACAGAGAGATAAACGATGACAACAACTATAAAACAAGCCTTAAAAACTCACTTTGGGTTTAACAACTTTCGGTCTAAAATACAGGAGGATGTTGTTAAAGCAGTCGTCAAAGGTAAGACAGTTTATCTGTTGTGTTTCTCTTCGATAGTTAGCAAACGTTAGCTGGCTTTTAGCAGCATGCAAACTTAACTCACGTCGTGTTATTGTTTAAATGTGAGACTCGGTTTGAATGATATCTTACATGCAGTGTTTTCAAAAAGAGAGATTAATGTGTTGCATTGTTGGGTCTTTTGTGTTTTTCCTGCAGGTGATAAGGATGTGTTTGTGTGCATGCCCACGGGAGCAGGGAAGTCGCTCTGCTACCAGCTACCCGCGATCCTGGCTCCGGGTATCACTCTGGTTATATCCCCGCTAATCGCTCTCATTCAGGTCAGTGTCTGACTGGGCTGCTCCAGCGCAGTGTGCACTCTCAATGATGTCTTAAAGGTCACCTATTATGCCAAATCCACTTTTTCATGTCTTTTCTACATCAACATGTGTCCCCTCTGTGTAAAGACATTCTGAAAGTTTCACGAAAAAAGATTTGCTCACTTTTTGTCCTGATCCATTTATATAAAAACCTGTCTGAAAATGAGCTGATCAGATTTTGGCCACTTTATGATATCATAACGATGTTTTGTCTTGTGTAACCATTAGCCAATCACCAACCAAGGTAACCCCCCCCCCCCACCTTATCACCTGAATCTCCTCCTAGAGCACCATTGTGTTCTTTTTAACCAAATAACTCTCAGAGGGGCGTTGGGAGTGGCTCCTTATTTTCATCTAAAGTAACAGACAGAGAATCAGCACTTTTGAAACGGGGCTGAAACAGAGGGGTTTATGGGATCATCGAGTGGCACCGAAGGACTGTTTAAGTGCATGTTAAATGCCCAGCATCCGGCGCCACTCGATTACGTAGTATACTTGAAATAGTGGCTCTGCAGCAGGTATACTCGACATTGAGAAACGGCCATGGGGTGTTTCTCAATCTCGAGTACGCTTGCTTGGTAGCACATGTCTTCCGAGCGTCTTGCTTCAGAAGCGAGGCAAGAATACTTCCTAGCATTCGGAAAACGAAGAGTGGAACAGGTGTGCAGGTGTGCGTCATATGAGAGGCCCCGCCTTACATTTTCCGCCACAGATTTGGGGAAATTGGTCCGTGCGCAAAGCATATTGGGGATTTTAAGACCGCGGAGTCTACTCATGTGCAGCCTCGAAATCTCTCCAAACAAAGTACGCCGCGCTCGGTAGAATTCCAAGTATGCTGGACATTGGAACAGTACTTAGGCGGCACTTGATGACGACGTATGCTTGAAATAGTGGCTCTGGAGCAGCTTTACTCGACATTGAGAAACACCCATGTTGTGTATATATCTGAGACCTATAATATATTGATGACAAACTGTACCTTTAATTCAATAGCTTTATTAGCATGACCATAGTTACTCACAGTATTGCTAAAGCTCTGTATAGTTGCAACATCTATACACAAATACATACATATAAAGAGACTGTTACATTTCGAACAAAAGCAAGAACATGTTTTTTATTTGTATTTTTTACAAGGAACACAAGAAATGAAAATGCATTCAATTTATATCATACATTAAAGGTGGGGTAGGTAAGTTTGAGAAACCGACTCGAGATACACTTTTTGTTATATTCCATGGAATGCTCTTAACATCCCGATAGCAATGAATATCTTAAGTGCTTTGACAAAAAATCCATAAAAATATCCCATCTGTGGAAGCCGTAGTACTGTAAAAAGCACGACCAATCATTTTAGCCGGCCCGGCTGAAATAACTGGATGGCCTACCTGCCTGTCAGCCTTCCATCTGTGCACAAACTTATCTCGTGCCCTCATTGGTCATGTGCGCGTTCGTGTGTGTTGGAGGAGGGGCTCTGTAAGGAAGTGGCAGATTTTTTCCGGCTGTGTATTTTCAAATTCTAGCGATCTCGAGCTGGTTTCTCCAAAATTACCTACCCCACCTTTAATAATAATAATAAAAAAAAAAAAATAGATGTGAGATGTTGGATTGTCTCATTCTGTGGCAGGCAGAGACAAACTCACAGTAGTGAGTGGAAAAGTACATTTACTCAAGGACTCGACTTAAATACAAATGAGAGGTTCTTGTTATTTATTTGCGTATATATTAGTATTGGGAATATTTTTTCATACTTTAAGTTAGGGCTGTACCCGAATATCCGAATATTCGGGTACTATTCGGTTTTCAATTTCGTTATTCGGATATTCGTTATTTTTTTTTTCGTTCAATTGAATTTATTGAAATCTCCAATATCAACGTAAGAGCTTGTGCCTCTTCGGGGGGTGCTAACACTTAACCATAAACTTTATTGTTTACTTTCTCCGTCTTTATATGTAGATATTACTTTTCTCCGTCACGTTGTTTCCATAGAAACAACAACTTCCTGTCAACAGCGCTAACTCTCCTGCGCGCCGAATATTCACTGCTGGGAGTGGAGGGCACCAGCTGATTACTCCCCCCCCCCCCCCCCCCCCCCCCCCCCCCCCGCGCACGCCGAATATCCGAATATTCGCTGCTTATTTTTACCGAATATCCGGAGCCCGAAAAATGGTATTCGGGACAGCCCTACTTTAAGTACATACTTTTACTCATGTAGGGCTTTGAATTCAGGACTTTTACTTGTAGAGGAGTATTTTCACAGTGTGCAGTAAAGGATCTAAATCTTTTTTCCGCCATTGTTTAATTCCTTCATTTGTTTCTCCACAGGACCAAGTGGACCACCTGCAGAGTCTGAACATCCCCGCCTGCTCCATCAACTCCAAGCTCCCAGCAGGCGAGCGCCAGCTGATCTATGCTGATTTAGGGAGCAGCAGTCCTAAGCTCAAGCTGCTTTACATCACTCCGGAGATGGTTGCTTCTCCTTCGTTCAAGCCCTGCCTGACGGACCTGTGCACCCGTGGCCTGCTGTCTTACCTGGCTGTGGACGAGGCTCACTGCGTCTCCCAGTGGGGACACGACTTCAGGCCGGACTACCTCAAACTGGGGAAACTGCGTGCTCGAATGCCGGGGGTTCCCTGTTTGGCCCTGACAGCTACAGCACCCAAGAATGTACAAGAGGATATTGTTTTGTCCCTGACTCTGCGCACGCCGCTGTCTTTCGTTACACCTGTCTTCCGCAGTAACTTGCACTACGATGTGATCTTCAGTGAGCTGCTGCCAAACCCCTTGGTCCACCTCCACGCCTTCATTCAGCAATCTCTGGCCCTGGACAGCGGCTCTAAAGGACAGGTTGGGATTGTTTATTTTTTTATTTATCCTTTTCTTTATGGGATATCAATAAGTACAAGCCCTCATTCATCTTACTTTTTTGACATGTACAATGCTGCAAAGGTTTGGCTTTGGAATTTCTAGTTGTTGGTTAAATACATCGGAAGCTTAGCATTAAAATGCATTCAGATTTAGGAAACCTGTTTTTGTTTCAGTGTCAAATACACTATAATTCAAATAACAAGCTGGAAAGAAGAAACAAATTAATTTTACAGGTTTCAAACTTTTGAAAGGAAGTGTATATTGCAATCATGTTGGAGAGGTAGACAAAGAACAGCTTATTAAAAGGATGGAAACATAAATATCTGAACTTAAATGCATGCTCCAGATCATTTAACTGTATCGAGAGCCTGATTGATAAATAAGCTAGATATATACCAGATATATCAACCAAGTTTAAAGAATACATTTTTCGTTTATGTAAAATGTGGTGATCATATTATTTTAAACTGTCAACTATAAATGTTGGTACTCTTCTCTTAATGTTTTCTTTATTAAAGCTTACAATTCCTGTTGCACGTCACCTGTCTTGTAGGCAAGATTTTCCCTCTAACATGAGAGTGAGAGCCCTGGTTTGTTTAACCTCTGTAATGCTTATGAACAGGGCTGTGGGATTGTGTACTGTCGGACCAGGGATAGCTGTGAATCGGTGGCTCACCAGCTGACCAAGCTCGGAGTCTCGGCCAAACCTTATCATGCAGGTCAGACTGATTTTCCTCACTTGTAGTTGTAGAGTCAGAAAACACAAAGATTTGTTCTAAAACGCTCGTGTTCTGCTTTTATACTGCAGGTCTGAAGACAGGAGATCGCACAGAGTCCCAGAATGAGTGGATGCAAGGGAAGGTGCTGGTTATCGTAGCCACCATCAGCTTTGGTATGGGCGTGGACAAGGCCAATGTCAGGTGAGGCAACAAGGTTTTTTTTTGTTTTAAAAAAATATATTTTGTATTGACATTTGGCAGCAAACAATTACGGACCGTCCACACAGCAGCGTTAAAAAAATCTTGAAACGCTTCTGCCCATTCACTTTGAATGGGGTGACGTCACTTTCCCTCACTTTTCGCCGAACGGCATTGTGGGCAGCAGAGCGGAGATTTTCAGGATTTTCAGGATTCAAAGTTGAGCAATGTTCAACTTTTGAAGCTGAGGTGGAAGCGTCAGCCAATCAAATCCCGTGTACGCAAATCTGACAGTTCAAGCGTCAGCCAATCAAATCCTGTGTAAGCTGGGAGAGACATACCGCAGGTCATTTCCTCATATTCCAAAAAATGGAGGAGAAATTAGCAGTAGGGAATCACCCGGTGCTTTATGACCAGTCCCTATTTACCTACCGGGATATAAACCGGAGGAGCCAGGCATGGAGGGAGGTGGCAGAGACAGTGGTATGTTTTCGCCTGTTTGGGGAGTTTATATCCAGTTTACTTCAAACTTTTTTGCTTCGTATGTCGGGGGCGGGAGATTCATGTGATTGGTTGTTGGTGCCTTGCTCGCAAAAAATCCCCAAGCTTCAGATACGCCCACCTCCAAGATTTTTTTAACGCTGCTGTGTGGACGGGCCGTTACACATTGTTTTTTCAAGACATAGTAATTGTACATCTTAAGTTTGTCTTACCGAAATGCTTTTTTCTTTTTTTACACAAAGATAAAATAAAAACAGTAAAAAGTACGAACAATAGGGAGTGATCAGGGGCCTCATTTATAAAGCCTTGTGTAGGATTCACGTGGGAAGGTTGCTTACGTAGGACAAAGCAAATAAATACGCACAGACATTTTCCGATTCATAAAACACTGCGTACCGGCGTAGGACTTGCGTGCGGCACGTCCTACGCCGGTTTCCCTTTTATAAATCACAATCAACTCGAAATGCGGCGCAGCTTTTGCGGGCTTCACGTAACGCCCATATTTGCCTATAAATAGTCAAAGAAACGCCCCGTATTAATATTCATTTTGACTGACTGCATGAAGAAGATCGCAGGAAATGACAGCTAAAAAAACGACATTTCACACCGTGTCAGATTTTGGTTCTTTTGGGAAGGTGGAGACAAATCACATTGTTTGGTGGATGCGGTTTGAACCAGAGTAGCAGCATGGAGGTCGGATCGTCACCAAAATAAATAAATAAGTGGTCCGAAAAAAGTGAATGACAAAATACACATAACCTTCCTCAGGCAGTGTGTCAGTGTGTTTGTGCCGGGGACAGGAGACCCCCCCCCATGATGAGAAACTGTAAGAAAGTATCGGGGGATCCCTGCGGAGTGGAGTCAATTAATGTTTATTTTTTTATTTGGTGGTTTGTGTTCCAGCTGTCGATCAGCTGTGCGCCAGCGTCTCCACTGCAGCCTGTGCGCCTCAAACCCCCGCAGCAACTCTATATCCACCAGTTAAATGAAATAAAACAAATGTGTGTAATATCACAGGGTTCGTACGGGTGCTGGAAATCCTTGAAAATGCTTGAAATTGTACAAGGTGTTTTCAAGGTTTGAAAAGTGCTTGAATTTTGGGAATGGTGCTTGAATTTGGGATAAAGTGCTTGAAATTGTAAATGCTTTACTTCGCTTTTTAGATTAAAAGAAAATAAAGAAGTCGGAGCGCGCTTAATTGCTTCGCTTTTACATAAAACAGCTCCGCTCCGGCCTTCCCGCGTTATGCGCGTGACCTGCAAGTGTTTTTGTTACGCGTGTGACCTGGGCATTCTGATGAGTGATAGATGACAGTATGCCATCAAATACAAGCCATGGCTAAGACGAGGGTCAAGCCCACGAGTAGCCTCCTGCAATAACGATGGGAGAGTCTGCGCTGACGAGCCACATGAAAGGTACGCCGTAGTAGAGCATTTTAGATTAGGCTAACGTTGCATGTTACGTTTGTTTAAGCTAACGTTAGCAAGCTGAATAGCGAACTCGATGAGGGATAATAATAATTGCAGGGGACAATCATTTCAGAGGAGCGTACCTATGTTATGTGCGTTACAGTCGCCATCCTGTGGTGTTCAGAGGATGAAGTACTCACTGTTGTAATTCAACCCAGTCTCACGGCATTTCGTGTTATAGTCACGAAATATAATCTATTGATTCGACACAGAGCGATTTTAAAAAGCAATGTATTTCTACTGGTAGTATGTTTCGTGCCTAAACCAAATGTGACTTGCTCTATCGAAATCAGTCACATTGACCCGAAGACACATTTTCGTTTGTATTACTGGTCTGGGGGAAGCTTGCGAGTGTGTGTGTGTTTGTGTATTTTTGCATTTGTGTGTATTGTGTTTGTGTACCGGGGAAACACTCACGAGAAACACCGGCTGTTGTTATGCCTGCTGTGACGTTAAGTTACTCCGTTCTCCGCTTGTAATTATGCCGTTACAAGCTTCAAAGTTGTATTTATCATCTGAATTTGCCGAAACAAGTTTAATATTCTTGTTGGGTTCAGAATTCCAGAAAAGACAGACAACTTCTAAGTTTAACTATTTATTGTAAAGAGAGCAAAAGACATATATTACTTGGCCAAGGACTCATCACGTCTTTGGGAATCACAGGCAGCAAAACTGTAATCTGTAACCACCAAATCCGTCAAGAGCCTCGATCCTCGTGCGACAATACATTTTATTACACAGGGCGTTGCCCGTACATTTTTGATTGGTCAAGACTAGCTGAAGAGATACCGCGGTTTAGACTTGGTTCTCTTTGGTTGGTGCGCAGACTCAGATAGAGTCTCTTGGCAACACGATCCTTCAATCAGCATTCGGCCGCCCTGTGGAAGTCCCTCCCTACTCTGGCACCATCATACTAATTTGTTTTCTCTAACGTTTCTTCAGATATAGCGGGAAACCATAATGTTGCTTCCTAGCTTTGCGGGGGAGCGCGGCTCCCATACAAAGTCAAGGCCGGTGTGATTTGCTGTTCTGACTACCTCTTTGTGTTCTCTCAGTCTCTGCACTTGACCTTGCTACTTGCAATATTGCAAGCTAAACACTTTCTCATGTAACTTTTCCCTCCGTTCCTGTCCACCCCATCAAAACTTGGGGGGGGTGATTGGGTCCATTTATTCCAAAGTCACAGCCACATGAATGAGCACAATAAGCAAATAATGTAATAAGACTCAGTCTTTCTAATGTTATATAAAAATAGACTCCACATTCTGAAAGCCAACTTTGTTTATTTGAAAACAGATGAAAACAAACTGTCACGGACCCTGCCGTGTTATCTATGATCACTATACGCCTTTACTTCATAATTTCAGCGGAGGGAGGGGGAGCGGCGCTGCGGAAGAGCAGGGTGCGAATTGAGAGGTGCCTCTTCTTCCCTTTACAAGCTTAAAAAATGTATTTATCATGAGATTTGGCAATAACAGTTTCATATTTTGAAAGCCAAGACTTTGTTTATTTAAAATCAAACAAAACACCCGAACCCTGAAAAACTATTTTTTTTTACACAAATCCACGTTTATTTTTTAAATGAGCCGACTTTTGACTGATTTCGATAGAGCGGGTCACAAATAATAACAAATATACAGATTTCAGTATTCTGAGGCTCTGAGCCCCATTTCTTTTCCTCACAGACGGCAAAAAAAGCCCGACATTATACAATTTAAAATAAAAACAATAGTCGTGGCTTGATATTGAGTAAGAAAATGTTTTTATGAACCACACAGCTTCCGGTCTTCCAAGACCCGACCGGACAAAAGGACACAGGCACGAAACATACTACCAATAGAAATACATTGCTTTTAAAATCGTTCCGTGTGACACGAAAAAAAGGGGAAAATCGTGTTGGTGAACACGAATCAATAGATTACATTTATTTTGTGACCATAACACGAAATGCCGTGACACTTGGTTGCGTAATCAGACTTTAGCTTGTTAGTATTTTGTTATAAATTATAAACTGAGGATTTGACCGCGGTCATGGTTGATGCTTTTATATAAAATCTTGAAGTATTATACAAGTAAAACTACATTTTGCTTTAATCCCATGTAATTGTAGAATGAACACAGTCTTCCTTTGAAGATGTATACGTCAGGTGTTTTGAGTAGTCAAAATTACCTACAAATCATTGTACACATTTGTAAATATTATTTTCCACTTGTTACCATTGTGAGTCTATTTTTATGCAGCTCTGCGTGATTTTGTGGCTACAATTCAGGCTAATACGCTACCAGAGGTGGAATAAGTACTCAGATATTGTACTTGAGTAAAAGTAGAAGTACTCAGATCTTGTAGTGAAAGTAGAAGTACTCAGATGTTGTACTTGAGTAAAAGTAGAAGTACTCAGATCTTGTACTTGAGTAAAAGTAGAAGTACCAGAGTGTAGGAATACTCTGTTACAGTAAAAGTCCTGCATTCAAAATGTTCCTCAAGTAAAAGTAGAAAAGTATTATCATCAAAATATAGTTAAAGTAGCGACAGTAAAAGTAGTCATTGTGCAGATTGGTCCATTTCAGAATAATATATATGATATGTTTTATAATGATTGATCATGAAAGTGTTCTCAAAGCTGGTAAAGGTGCAGCTAGTTTGAATGACTTTGTATACTGCAGGGTAGCTTGTGAATTTACTCCAGGTGGAACTAAAGTCTGATTAACACTTGATTATATTTCACATCATTCATCCAGATCTGTAAAGTAACTAAAGGGATTAAATACATGTAGTGGAGGAAAAGTACACCATTTACCTCTGACTTATGTTTACTGCCAACCTAAAAGTACCTCAAAAATAGTAATCAATAATGTATTGAAAAGTTATTTGGCTGATTGTTTTATATCGGCTCAGCCAGGTTATATGGGATGCCCAGTCTACGTACAGATAGGTCACACATTTTGAAATCTTAAACTTCATTTTCTTTTCTTTAATTTGTCATCCTCATATAGAATGCTATTATGAAACACACATTTGGTTGGTCTGATTTAATGTGAGGTAGGGAAATAATCATTTGAGTATAAGTATGTGTATATAAATATGTAATTTACAACAGCTGTAAGATGCTTGAAAAGCTTGAAAATGCACCTTGAAAATGCTTGAAAAGTGCTTGAATTTGACTTTGGAAAAGGTGTAAGAACCCTGTATCAGCTGCCAAATCTACCAAATATATGGTGTTCTTAGTTTCCATACCTCCTGTGTTTTATGAGCGACTTATCAAGTCTTAGCAAACGGCATAAAACATGATTAAACGTGATAGTATATAAAACCATGCTCGTATCTATACAACCTATAGAAATACAAAACGGCCTCAGTTTAGACGTAATTCTGTCCTCCTGCATACCGCATCATTTATGAGAATACATGTCATAACATTAAGACAACATATTCGAGGTGGTTTTCAATAACATATCCGTATATATTCATTTCACCAAGTTATGTTTTTGTGTGCACTGAGGAGTCTCAAACAGGCGTTTGTTTAATCATTTTAAGATTGGCTTTAATCAATGTTTGCAAATGAATTCTTCATATATGATACATGAGAGGTAACATTTTATTTATGGTATTATTTCCACATATTTCTCTCCATTCTTCCTTCTGCCAACGGTGTCGCAGTTTCTCGTCTCTCCCGTTTTTATGCTTAGTGCGTACGCATGGGTCAGAGTTTGCATGGAGGACTGCACATTTTCCCGCAAACATTGTTAGAAATTGGCGTACGCCACCTTTTGAGCGTACGCATCGTTTATAAATGAGGCCCCTGGAGTTCACAGTAAAATCATACGTTTGTAAACATAAAATCTGGCCTATAAGGTTTTACGAAATCAATCCACTTTCTCCTTCGTGACACAAATAGTTCCAGTTTGTGATTGACAGATGATGTTGAGGCAACTAGGTTTTGATGTTCAATTTTGTTTACATTTGCATGTGCTGATGTTTTGTTTATCCTGCAGGTTTGTGGCTCACTGGAACCTTGCAAAGTCCCTGGCCAGCTACTACCAAGAGTCAGGAAGAGCTGGGAGAGACGGCCTGCCCTCCTCCTGTCGCATATACTACTCCCCCAAAGATAAGGAGCAACTGAACTTCCTCATCCGCAAAGAGATTTCCAGAAAACGGGTGAGAACAACAAGAGAGAACTCAAAATGTGAAGAGCTCCTATGAAAATCAAGTTTGTGAACATTGGTTGAACTTGTTTCTACAGGGGAAACGCGGCACTGCGAAGGAGACTGACAAAGCAACCATCACAGACTTTGATGCCATGGTGGCGTACTGTGTTCAGGAAGCGTGAGTAAAGCATTCAGAGACGCGTGCATGCTAGTCACTCTTTGTTTATTGCTAAAAAAAGTGTAGTAAGAAGTACAACATTACATAACATCTTGACCCTTTGCACATAATATAACATGACACTTTATACATACGACACAACTTCCATTACATGCATGCTGTGCTTTTCAAAATAAAATCAGAGACATTTCTGTTTGTGCACAGCAGAGGGCAGACTTGATCTCTCTTTTTAGGCTTTGTTGTGAAGCCTCCCTTAGGAACATGTTACTTATTTCTGCCTGCCAATTCTCATTTCTTAACAATGACACATATTTACCTTTAGAGAAACATTAACGAACACATTTGGCTTTCCCTTTCATATATACATGTGCCACTTACTGTGATTTTTAATCGTTTCACACATTTTCTGTAGCTCTTGTTCTCGTATTTGCCTGCATTGTTTAAGATATTTTGGTGTTCTTGGCTTCAGAAGCATTGTTGTTCCCCTTTAAAGCCCAGGGATGCTCCCAGGAATGTAGATTCTCCTGAAATCCTGGCAGCCTTAGCAGGTGTGTTTGGCAGCCAGTCGGTCCTCCTCTGTGTTTGACAGCTGTGTTGTAGGGTTGGGCTTCTCTAAGGCCACTAAACACACCCTGTATAAGTGATTGCTCTCTGAAATGTGTTGAATGCCTATTAATTATTTGAACATGACTCTCAGTCAGAGTTATATTTAACTCTTAGGGATTCTTAAGGCTTTCGCAGGCCGTAGAGAAAACCTGTTGTTGTGTTTTGAGCCCATTTTGCACCATCCTCAGTTCTTTGTGTGGAGCACGGTTGCTCAAAGAATAGATCCCCTCGTCTTGTTTTTGCGACAGCAGCAGCAGCAGCACGTCACGCAGGTTAGCGCTGCCATTAAGATGAACACCACTGCGGTAGAGCAAATAAAAAACAACATCAGCACCGGGTCACTCTTAAATGAAATAGAGAAAAGATTAATATTACAGAGTGGAGACTCACAGATGAAGGTTAAGATGACAAAGAAAGCTCCCAGCTCTATCGGGGTGGCGTTGGGCAGACCTTGCAGCTTTACCCATATATTATTCAGGATGCTCAGCGTCTCCTCTCTGGCATCCATCCTAGTGAAGTGAAAGCATTTAGAGTAGGTAGGGCTGCAGAATTAATTGAAATTGTATTGAAATCGTAAAATGGACAAGTGCAATAATCAGATCACAGGAAGATGTTAAAGTCTAAATGTGTGTTGAGACAACATTATGAATGAAGTATCGTGGAGCTCCAGACTTCATGATAATACTAATTATATCGCGATTACAATACCAGTCAAATCAATGGGAATTAGTAGTTTCTTTCAAATCATGCAGCCCTCATTTACAGTGAGAAGTTCATGCCTGGATTTGGTTATAGCAGTGTGTCTTTTTTTTGCCTGTGTTCAGTGGCATCAGGATGTGACTTATGTGGCCTGTTAGGGAGTGGTCACAAGCACATCACTTTAAGCTATTCGTCTGCAATTTTGTGCTTTTTCAAAATCAGTAGGTTCCCTTTTCAAGGGAAAGTAGGAGGATGAGATTGAGAAAGTAGGATGGGAGTTTTATCGCCTTGGATTGCGCAGGATTAAACCATGTGGTTGTTATTACCAAGAAGAGTGAGTCTGTTTAGTAGCATAATTATACAGCGGGTAGTTCAGGGTGTTGAGCATAACTAATAGGCCTATAGGTTAACCCTTTTCAGACTTTCTGTAAAAAAAAATGTAACAAAGGAAGAAAAACAGTGTCCTTTGTGTTCAACTCAACAGAAAGGCACCTGTCTCATTTAATTTAACGTGTAAAATCTGTTTTGTGTTATTTCATTTAAAGGGTGGGGTTCCAAGTGTCAAGTTATACGTGATGAACTGTTGAATGTGTTATTGTGCTCTGAGGTAAATCACTGGCTCTGGGTGTGACAGCCTGCGGCTCAGCTATTTGCTGGTTTAGCTGTATTAAATGTATAATAAAATATAATACCTACTCGATACAAACACTTCATGATAGATTATAGTTCATTGTTAAAGGACTTGTTTAACAATTGGGGAAGTTTAATACTACTATCATCTCGGTGCAATGTGTAGTTAGCTGGCTGAAGACACCGTCAAGCTAGCTTAGCTTAGCTTATTTTTAGTTTAGCTTAGCACATAGACTGTAAAAAGGGGAACATTTGAGCCCATCTCTGTCAAAAATTAAAGAAGTCAACTACTCAAGAGCTCACTTTTAACACATTATATGTTTTAATGTTCAACTTGTTTAAAAACAAAGCTTAAACATTATTTTGTAATGGGTTATGGGTCTGACTATTTCTTGGATAGGAACTTTTAAGTGCTCTGGACTTTTTAAGCACAAAATCCAAATCAGATTTTTTTTATCGTACTATATCACATGGGACGACTGATTTCTTTTTTTATATTGACAGAGAAACACTTAATTTAGTATGAAAAGAAACTAGCTAGCTATATCTCAGAAACTACATGGAGCACAGTTAGGTATCTGTGATCTTATGACAAGTCTTATAATAAAGACATGCACACATGCTACTCAATTTTCAATAATCCTGATTGTTTTTCTATTGATAAAAAGAGATTTTTGTTTGTCTGTATGTTTAAAGATTAAAATACTTTAAACCAATCAAAACACTTTTAAGTGATTTTGTCCTGTGTTGCATTGCTCGGTAAGTCAATTTAATTTATTGTAATGAATAGCTAGCACCTGTCAGTTTACTTTTTTGCCTCCCAGCAAAATGTTGTTAAACAACATGACATAAAGCTAAGTCAGCACCTCTGTATAACTGTTAAAAAAAAAACTGTATACCTACATGAAGATTTACTGCATTACTGTTAAATGGCATTATATGTCATTTTGAAAATGCCGATATCAAACCACAAGCTCTTATCATTTACAAAAAAGTTGGAAAGCGGAAGTGGCAGCTGACAATGACTGCTAAAGACAATTTCTGCACAGTCAGTTATGGTTGCGTGTTCATTTTAGTTCCTGTTTTCATCCTTTTATGTTAAATTCATACTTTAAATAATTTGAATTGTCCGAAAAAATACTTGAAACGTTGCCTCTTCAACCATCATTTGACCCACTCTTTATTTTCAATTAGTGTACAGCTCCTTAAACATCCTACTTAAATGCAATTGGTAAACTACAGAGTTATATTTTAGTAGCTGGTTTAACTTCCGAGTGTTGGCAGCTAGCAACAACTCTGTATTGCTGAACACATTCTTCACATTCTTCCTAACCTTGAGTCCTCCTCAGGTGCTTCGCTTCTCAAACTTCATGTTTTACAGACATACTCAAAACAAAATGCACTTACCCGAGAGAGTTGTTTTCACACGCTCAGCCCAGCCCAGACTGACTAGCAGAAAAAAATACAAAAGAGTAGTAAACAGACGAGTTGATGAGGAGGAGGCAGTGATGAACATGACATGTCCTCCCGAAGGAGTTACCTGCTGAGTGTTGAATTTGTCAGCGTGTTAGTTTGTTGTTGAAACCCAGAGCAGCCGGAGATAAGCAGATAGAGATTAAGGCTAGGAGGGATAATTCCTCAGGTACTGATGATACTCTGCATGTGGAGTCGAGCAAAAGTGAGAGGACACATAACATTAAATCTCCTGTCCTCTTAATCTCTTCTTGCTCCTCTGGTTTCTTGCTCGTCTCTTCTTATTCACGCTTGTTGGTTGCTCCTAACTTTACTTCCTCTGAGGCTGTTTTCTCTGTGCGCTGGGAGTGACTGTTGCCTCTCAGTCTTTGTGTGCCTCCTTCCTTTCCCCACCTCCTTTTGTTGGAAATGCTTTTCCCTTTTTTTTCACAACTGTGGAGACGACGTTTCCATTTCCAGCGAGGTAGTTAGTATGTTATTGAAGTGGCTTCTCTAATGGGCTGTTTCCCAAACAGACGCTATGTGAGAGTGTGTGGTCGTGTGAATATTGGCTGTTACGTAACACTGGATCTGATGTAGAAGTGTGAGGCCTTGTTCTAAAAATGTTTTTGCATCTAAAGCTGTGATGGTAAAAATAATTGCATTGTGTCCTAAAAAACCCTGAAGATACAGGAAAGTAAGACAAATTACCTCCCAAAATAGATTAAGTTTGCACTATCTGTTCTTGTTATCAGTACACAAAGAAGTCAATACTATAGCTAATAACTTTGTGTGTATTACTGTAGCTTGTTTATTTTCAGTAATTCGTATTTTTTCTTATTGGACTGATCCTGTTTGACTTGAAAAAGAACAGAAACATTGATCACAGTATTGTGTGGTTACACAACAGCTAACAGATCAATGATGCACCAGATGGTCCCCGTATGATAGAGAGATGTTTGCTGTGTGCTCAAAAACATCATCAGGCTCGACCTTGTAAATGCAGACTCTGTAACCAAATTCAGACTGTGAATGTTTTTTAACTCGCAGGAGCTGTTTTAATATCCTGACTTGTATAAAAAGGGCCCTATTAAGCTTCCTAGGAATTTCCCTTTCCTGTAGAGTGTTGTATAGGTTGTTGAGCATGTGAATGGTCTGCAAAGGCTACAATCCAAGATAGTTTCTCCCCCCCCCCCGTCTCCTTTGTTTCCTTTTGTAACATAGGAACATCACTATGTAACACTCGTACTTATTTTGACTAGTGCTCCAACACATTGTACGTGATAGGCTAAGGGACGTGAAATCTCTAAGCTGTTGACCAATCACAACAGAGCCAGCCAGTTAACCAATCAGAGCAGACTGGGCTCTGGTTTCAGACAGAGGGTGAAAAGAGGTTCTGCAGCACAGGCAGTATGAGAAAAATAAAGACCTTTTTGAACATTAAAGCATGGAGACATGTTTCAGTAGAGGCACAAATATGCAAATATGAACCTGAAATGAGCGTTATAATAGATTTTATTTATTTTGTTAGCGCTTTTACAGGTGCTCAAAGTTATAGGTTAGTTATCAAGTTATAGGGCCTCTTTAAGATTTTAACAAGCTGTATCTCCTATTTTCTCACCAGTTGTCGCCATACCACCATCTCCAAGTTCTTTGGGAACAAGGCGCCCAAATGTGCCGGTGCCTGCGACTTCTGCCGTAACCCCAAGCTGGTGCGAGCCCAGCTGGAGAAAGGGAGCTCCCTCAGCACCAAGACCATGGCCCTTAGCAGCCAGCCCTCAGGACCCTTCGGCTACCTGCAGGGCTTCTACGAAGGAGGGAAGAAGGGCTACGGCTTTGAAAGGCAGGAGGAAGTTAGTGACGTTTGTAACAAAGCATATGTGAACCTTAGACTGACACTGACGTCACACCTTGCAGGTTTGATGAAGGGGAAGAGGACGCGGAGAGCGGTGAAGACGATGGCTCAACGAGGAAAAAGGCATTTTCTAACCTCTACAAGACGCAGATGACCATGCGGAAGGTAAATCTAAATCATCAACAGAAATATTGTCTTTAAAAAATATATTTTCTATTCCTTGAAAAGCCACTCCATGCAGTGTTTGTGTTTGGTTTTTGTGCTTCTGTATGCCAGCTGTTGGCAGCAGGAAGGTCTGTTGAGGCCCTCTGTTAGAGAAGACTGTGTTAAATCGCTCCCACATGTTCAAACATTGATGTTAAACTATTTATCCGCAGGTCCGTGAAGAGATTTTCTACTTCAAAACACATCATCGATAAAAATAGGAATGGCACAGTCTTAAAATAGTAGAAAAAAAACTGGCCTAAACAATCACATAAGAAGTTTTTTCATGCCATCTTCTCGCAAATCACACACTATTCAGACCTCCCTTTAAAGCTCTTCATGTGTTTGATCTCTCTGGTTGTAGTACTATTCAAGTTTTGGTTTAAATGTTAATCTCATGTGAGCTTCCAAGATGGCCATGCCTGAAGTATATGTCTTTTTGGAAACATATGGATCATCCTGTAACGGGGAAGAAAATCAATATTCTGCAGAAGATACCTTTTTATCATGCTGTGAAACATTTTGGTATCAGAATGAACTGATCCAACTCAGGATTTCCACAGTTGTTGATCTTTTTTTATGAGAAACTAAGGAAGTGACTGTTTAAAGCTGCAGATGAAGATATTCTCTATATTCCTTAGTTTGTTTATGGTGTTTGTTGTTGTAGTACTCACTTTGGCCAAGAGGTTGAAGTGCACCACCACCCCATGTTCTAAATAAGACTCAAATAATTCTTACTTTTCCCATGTGAGGTTTATTTTACATAACTTGCTCACTCACAATATAAGTAGTTCCTTGTGTTTAGAGCTCAAAAAGGAATTTAAACTCAACCTACATCAGAAATGAATGAATACCATTTACAACATTACAACTACAAACACTTGATCCTTACAAAAAAAGGAGAATTAGCTACAAATTCCCCTTGTTTTAAGTCTAAAACACAAAATAAACTATTTAAATTGAAGACAAATAAATTAGATTAATTATTTTTTTCCTCACTTGGTTCTCAAGGCTTGTGCTCAATGAGAAAATAACAGGAAAAGAAGGAGAAAAATGCAACAAAAGTCCCAGACTGAACATTAAAATCAGTTAATTTGGCAGAGTTAAGGTTAAGTCTGAAGTGTTATTCTAGCAGAGTTAAAGGAAGTGTCCCAGTGTGTCATTTCTCTGTACAATCTTATAATGACCCGCTGATTGTTCTCATGTTTCTTCAGGGAATGACCGTTCAGCGGAAAGGCTTTGTCCCTCCAGGTAAACGGCACGAGAAGAATACTATTATTATAAAATGTTATCCATTCCAATCTTTATGTCGTATATAACCTCTGTATCGTGTTGTGTAGATGATGACTGCCAACTGAGAGACGCCAGCAGTCAGAAGATCCCCAGACTCACTGTAAAGGTACCTGAACGCAGCACGCATTCCTCATACCTGCAGCACTCATTCACACGTCTCCAGGAATTCAGTGACTCGTGTGTCATGAGATGTGAAGACGGGCGGGAGGGCCAACGGTTCAACAGCATAACACTAAAAGTGATATTGTTAAAAAAAATGGTTTATACATTAAACAGATAACGTTTTAGTCCTGCAAACATTGGTATAAAATGTTGGCTTTCTACAGGATGAAAAACCAGTAGTAGTTTGGAATCTTTTGGACATTTTATTTATTTATTCATGAACCTTTTTTTTGTCTTGTATTTCAGGCCAGAGAGCATTGTTTGAGCCTCTTGCAGGAAGCATTATACAGCCACCAGAGGGCAGATGACGCATTCAGGTAATTACACAGACACATGCTTTAAATACAGTATGTTATTTTACCCCACAGTCTTTCATATCTTCTCCGTTTCTCCGCAGTGACACTGTGTCTTTAGCGGTGGCAATTGAACATGAGGTCTTTGAGAACAGCAAGGCCTCCAACGTGTACAAAGCTGCCGTCTTGAAGAGGGTAAACACTGACTGCTCTTCCTCTCACAGCATCAGGAAGATATGTTTCTAACATGTGTTTTATTGTTTGGAAGGTATCAGAGATGAAGAGGACAGGACCTGGAGGAAAAGGAGATGAGGTCAAGGCGGACAGCAACAGTGATTCTACGGAAAATTCGTCTTCTACTTCCTTAACAGAGGAGCTGCAGGGGTTCACATCTGCATCTGAAATATACTCAGTAAGATCTACTTGCACTCACTCACACTTATGTTACCAAGTTACGCTGGTTAGTGCGGCTAGAGCAGCAGCAATTTGTTGAACAATTGCTAAGTTAATAGACGGAAAAATAGTTGGTTAATCGCTTGAGTAATTTCCATGAAAAAATGGCAGAAGATGCTGTTTTCAGACATCAAAAGGTTCAGTTCCTTCTTTTTAAATTCAAATCAGATTAAGATGGTAGAGATTTAAAGATCTCCTCCCTGCTTGCATGCAAACACGAGGGCATGATGATATTACAGACAGAAGTGTAGAAAAAAGGATTGATTTGGTATCAATTACAAACCAGTTTGAATTGAGTATAATTGATTATATTAATATAATGACTTATAAATGTGAATTTGTAACTAATTTAAAAATAGTAGCGGAAAATTACGAGAAGGGGAAGTTTGAGTCGCATGTTCAGAGTCTTGATGTAAAAGAGATACGGCTGTGGGCGCACACACATCACACACTAACCGTCAAGAGTAAGTGAAAAGCACACATTCACCAGCAATTTCTCAAATAAAAACATTTGTTTAGATCCATCATGTTTTTCCTCCCATGATGATTGTAGTCACCAAAATCAAAGAGTAGTAAAACTGAACATTTATTAAAAAATAAATGTTAACTACTGAATAATATAAAGCAATATATAGCTCCAACAATGTTTTTTGTTCAACTCCTTACTTAAAGGTGGGGTAGGTAAGTTTGAGAAACCGGCTCGAGATACACTTTTTGTTATATTCCATGGAATGCTCTTAACATCCCGATAGCAATGAATATCTGAAGTGCTTTGACAAAAAATCCATAAAAAAATGTCATCTGTGGAAGCTGTAGTACTGTAAAAAGCACGACCAATCGTTTTAGCCGGCCCGGCTAAAATAACTGGATGGCCTACCTGCCTGTCAGCCTTCCATCTGTGCACAAACGTATCTCGTGCCCTCATTGGTCATGTGCGCGTTCGTGTGTTGTTGGAGGAGGGGCTCTGTAAGGAAGTCTGAAGGAAGGGGCAGATTTTTTTCGGCTGTGTACTTTCAAATTCTAGCGCACTCGAGCTGGTTTCTCCATTCTTACCTACCCTACCTTTAAGCGAGCATCTGAAAGGACTTTGATGGAAAATGTTCAGGTATGAAATGAAAGGATCAAACATGGAGAGGTTATCTATTTACCAACCACTTGTGGACTACAATTTGAAATATCTGAGTACTTATACTCACTTTTTCAACATGGACCAAGGACTTTAACACATTTTAGATATTGGGTAAGATCCGATTTTCTGATCTGGTCATGATATTATTCGAATTTAACAATCTGGGATTGACATTTGTGTTGTGGAGGAACCTCTGAAGTTGTGCCGGATGTCTTCGAGATCTTCACAACACTATGTTAACACTTATTTAACTTTCAAAAAATCAACAGTCAAAAGAGTTCCAATAGAATAGAGTTTACTGAAGACCAGAGTGCAGCAAACACGAGTCGGTCCATGGAGTGACTGGCTTTACAATGTTCAGGCTTCTTCTTATATTCATTTCTTACCAGTTGTTATGCCTTCTCACGTGTAGGAGGGTCTCAGGCACCAGACACCAGGAGGGTCTCAGGCCCTCATTCTTGACTTTCTCTATCACGTAGACACCATTATTTCTTCCACCATCCTGAATTCCCCTACTCAATCATACTTTGTTTGATATTTCGGCGTAGATCATCTTTAATGGTGTTTTTTTACGTTCTGGCCTAGGTCATTTTTAATGGTGTTTTGACCATGCTATCTTTAACTCCCTTCCTAACTGAACAGGTGCAAGGATTCCCATAATGAGAACATTCCACAGATGAACAGTTAACGTTTCTGAGCATGTATGCTTTCAATGATTAGGGTTGTTATATAATATGTCCCATACACACAAATAAAACCCCACATTTGTCAATGTTCTCTACATTTTAAAGACCAAACAATTACTTGATTCATCTACAGGGTGTCCGCCGGGTCTTAAAAGTATTAAAAGTCAATTTAGCGAAAATTAAGGCTATTAAAAAGTATTAAATGGCATTTTCCAAGGTATTACATTTTGTAGCTTGTTTTCAATAAGTATTTCAATTGTCCAAAGAGGTTGTATTCTACAGTCTGCCTGAATGTAATCATTGCGTAGGTGTGTAGTGTGATTCTGTGTAGTTTATTTATGGCATCCCGTTGGATTTGACATCATCTGAACAGGTCATCGCACGCTCACTGCTTGATAGCGCGCGAAGGTCCGTTTACGCCGGTTGTTAAACAACATCGTTATGGGGAAATGCAAGTTTGCGTCCAAATGGTTGGAAGATAAGGAAGAAGGACAATCAATACTGTATATAGTACATTTGAGGTAAAGTGTGTCGCCAATGTAACCGGTCAAAACTCCAAGTGGCGATGAGGTCTTAAAATGTATGGAAAGGGTCTTAAAAAAGGTCTTAAAAGGTCTTACATTTGACTTCAGGATTCCTGCATATACCCTGATGTAGAAAAATGATCAGCAAATGAATTGATGATGAAAATAATCTTGGCAGCAGAGTGTTCGGATATAATTGTTTTATTCTTGCCTATTCAAGATTCAAAGGTTTTATTGTCATATGCATAAAGCTACAGTGTAGAAATGGCAATTAAATTATTCTGACCTGAGCTCCTCCAACAATGCAACATATATAATAAAATACTAAATAAAAAGTAGTGCAAAAAGTCTATATACATGTCAATAGAATATGGGATATGTACAAAAACAGAATATGAAATTAAGACAAAATTAAATACGGTTTATTGCGGTGATAACTATTTACAGTATATCAATTAGTGCAAGATGACAAACAGGAATGTTTATCGGGGCACTTGGCAGAGCTCAGGTGTTTAGCAGTCTTATGGCCTGTGGGATAAAACTGTCCCTGAGTCTGGTGGTTTTGTTTCCTCCAGATGAAGCGTAAGAGAGTAGGAGCGGGCCTGAGGGGATCGTCCGACCCCCTCATGACTGCTAAGGAACTCCTGAAGACCTCGGCGTCTAACAGTGACAGCGGCGGGTTTCACAGCGACACCTCAGGAGGATCCAGAAAGACAAACAAAGACCCGTCTCTGGCCGTAACGTCGTCCATCAGAGCCAAAGCCTCGCTGAGCAGCCCCACCAAGGGAGGAAGAGCTGCGAGCAAGAAGCGGCAGCAGAAGCTAGCAGAGGCAGCAAAGAGCTCCTGCAACATCTCCCAGTACTTTGCAAAGAAAGTACCTGATGATGCTACGATATCTCATAACACGGTGGAGGACGATCAGGAAATCGATCGACCACTTGTCATTGTGGAAGAAATGGAGATAAGTTCTGGAGAGGAGAGGAAAGAAGAAGAAGTAATATTAATATCTGATAATGATGAAGAGGAGAAAACCATTAAAAAAAAGATGCTGGAGGTGAAGTGGTTTCAGTACATACCCACAGAGGATACCACCACTCCTGCAGGGTAAGACGCCCTTAAAGGTGGAAAAGTACTTATTTTACTTAAAGGGGACCTATCATGCAAAATGCACTTTTGTACGTCTTTTATACATGAATATGTGTCCCCGGTGTTCCAGGGAACTCACCAAGTGTCAGAAAACACAACCCTCTCTATTTTCCTCCATACCCAAATCTCTAAAAAAGGGGCTGCAACGGATCTGATAAAAACTGATCCAGATTTGAACACTGTCCTGACGTCAGGACGGTGGCGCTACGGCTATTGGGCCAACTCCACCAATCAGGAGGAGACAGCCACGGCCATTGCCGTTCGAAAGCGCTGGAGACGCTGTAGTACATATGCCAGGCCAGTAGATGGTGCTGTTCTCACTGAATCTGCCCTTGCAAAAACAGAGCTAAAAAAGTGCAAATTGAGCGAAATGAGGCATGGCTAAAATGCATGATCTGTTTGGTATTTTGAAAAGAAAAAAGTATAAATATGCCTTATATAGGTATGGTCCTACACTATATTATTCAAATATAGCATGATAGGTCCACTTTAAGTCAAAGTAGCAGTACCATTATGTAGACAAATGTCAAAGTCCTGCAAAAATGTAATTAAGTAAAAGTACAAAAGCACCAGCATCAAAAGGAACAGTACTCATTATGCAGAGTGGCCCATTTCAGAATAATATTTATTATACAAATATAAGCCTTAATGCATTACTTTGTTTATCCCTCTGATGTAGCAGCTGGTAAAGTATGAGCATATTTTGAACGTTAAAGGGGCCCCATCATGCTCATTTTCAGGTTCATATTTGTGTTTTGTGCCTCTCCTGTGACATGTTGACATGCTTTAATGTTCAAAAAGGTCTTCATTAACTTATAATAATACATACATGTTTCATTTGTTGATTACACTTTGTATTATTAATCTGAATCACACAGACAGAAGGAAACTCAGGAAAAGGATGAACCTGTTCTGATAGAAGAGGTAAGTGTGTGTGTGTGTGTGTTTCCTCTCCGATCTGAAGACGTATCACCCGTATCTCAGTGTGTGTGTGTGTGTGTGTGTGTGTGTGTGTGTGTGTGTGTGTGTGTGTGTGTGTGTGTGTGTGTGTGTGTGTGTGTGTGTGTGTGTGTGTGTGTGTGTGTGTGTGTGTGTGTGTGTGGTGTGTGTGTGTGTGTGTGTGTGTGTGTGTGTGTGTGTGTGTGTGTGTGTGTGTGTGTGTGTGTGTGTGTGTGTGTGTGTGTGTGTGTGTGTGTGTGTGTGTGTGTGTGTGTGTGTGTGTGTGTGTGTGTGTGTGTGTGTGTGTGTGTGTGTGTGTGTGTGTGTTTACAGGTGACGTCGCAAAAAGCATCCTCTCCTCCGGCGAAGAGCTGTGACCCCTCAGAGAGAGGGTAAAGATTGAGCAGTTCATCTAATCTTATTATTATTTCAACACATTTTTCACTTTTTGAGATATTTAATTTAGTTTGGAGCTTGGTAAAGAGGCTTTCTTCAGATTTTAACATGAGTATGTAGGATAGTGTGCGTGATGTCATAGCTAGAGTGGAGGACAGCTTGAAATTCACCTTCATATATTTTTTTTAACTTGCCATAATTCCCAAACCCTACACTCCTAGGACATAATTTTACATGAAAAACGTAGGAAAACCTCTCCTAGATAGTACACAAAAAGCATACTTCAGATGCTCAGAGTTCTTGACATGCTTCACGCGTTGAAATTTCACCGATATCTGCTACGGTTCTTCAACAAAACGTTCACATGTAAGAGGTTTATCTCATTCAGAACAATGGAAAGGCTCTCCTCACTGATTACTGCACATCACCATGGAAACCTTTGATCTCTGGGCTCAAGCACAGGCGTTTCATAACGTCGTTAGCTCAAACACAAACACCTGTGTGATGATGTCATAACTCCAACTGACATGCTCAGAACGCCACCAAACATCACATGATGGTTAACACTGTGGCCCTGAACAGCTCTACGTCAAATCTGATGTTGCATAATGTGGTGTTACCATGGCACCCTCGCCATAAAACACGATGTCGCTGTAACTCCAATGGACACGGTCCGATCGTCCCCCAATCTTCACCTGTATATCACCGGTCCATGCCTCAACAGCTCTACGTCAAATCTGACATCTCACCATATGCCGTTTCCATGGAAACGCATCCCTCGCCAAAAAACACAATGTTGTCGTAACGCCTATGAAAAGGGTCAAAACAGCACCAGACTTCAGATAATGGTTAATGGTCCAGCCCTCAACATGTCTATGTGCCAATAGTGAGTTTTCCTCAAAAGCTGTTGCCATGGCAACACATCCCTCGCCATAAAACACGATATTGCTATAACTCCTATGAAAAGTGTCAATCTACGTGACAGTTTTGAAATTTCTTCAAATGCCGTTGCCATGGCAACACAATGCTCACCATGAAACCATGGTTTCTCATAACTTCAGTGAAAATGCTCCAAACGACCCAAAACTTCACAGGTTTGGTAACAATGCAGCCATCAACACATCTAAGCATATTATGGGGTTTCATCAAATGCCGTTGCCATGGCGACAGATCACTCGCCATCAAGTTAGTTAAAAAGTTTGCAGTTCAAATATTCTGCTGCTTTTCAAAGCCTTTTTACTTTATTTTCTCTTAATACATATTCATTCACTACTACTCACATTTAATATCTAACTCCTTCAGCCTACTTTCAGCTACAGAAACCATTCAACATTTAACTTATTCAGCTATTTCAGGACATTGAGGCTATACATTTGGTTGTTTATACCTTTTAAAACATTATCTTTTAAATATTAAGCTTCTTCACTGTTTTTCCTACTCCAGTTTAACATTTCACTTTCAAGTTTTCAACAAAGTCATTGCAATGCATTTGAGCTGTAACAATTTTGATTAAAATAATTTCACTTTTCTGCATTTCTCCGCTAAGTTCAGCAACACACTTACTTGATTTTTGTAACTAAAAGCAGCTACAGAGACCATTCAGTTAATACAATATTCTGCTTTTTCTGCATTTTCAGCTAAATTCAGCAACAAATGTACACAGTTTACAGCATTCGCACGCATTTTCAGCAGGAAATGCATTTTCTAGTAATACATACATGTTTAATTTGTTGATTACACTTTGTATTATTAATCTGAATCACACAGACAGAAGGAAACTCAGGAAGAGGATGAACCTGTTCTGAAAGAAGAGGTGAGTGTGTGTGTGTGTGTGTGTGTGTGTTTCCTCTCCGATCTGAAGACGTGTCTCCCGTATCTCAGTGACTGATGGTGTGTGTGTTTTTTCAGGTGACGGGTGAGGTGACGTCGCAAAAAGCGTCCTCTCCTCCGGCGAAGAGCTGTGACCCCTCAGAGAGAGGGTAAAGATTGAGCATTTTATTAGTGCTATACTAGTATACTATAGTTATTCTGTTCTTTAATCTTATTATTTCAACCAATATTTTGCTGTCGAATAACTTCAGCCTACTTTCAGCTACAGAAACCATTCAAATATCAAAAATATTCAGCCTTTTCAGCACATGATGGGAAACGTTCAACTTTTTCAAAATATGGTATACTTTTTGAAATATTCAGCTTTTTAAACTCTTTTTTTAACATGTTACTCAATGGGAGGAACCTTAAAATCCTCTTTTACCTACACCTTGCGCCAAATGCTACTCCTTCCACATACTTTCAGCTAGAGACTTCATTCCAACTTTAAAACGGTCACAAGACCTTCAGCTATAAAACGTACTCTTCAGATTCTTGATATCTTTTACACTTTTTGAGATATTTAACTTAGTTTGGAGCTTGGTAAAGAGGCCTTCTTCAGATTCTAACATGAGTGTGTATTGTGCAGCTCCTTAAGGCGCTTTCACACCGGAGTACTTTTCCCAGTATAGTTCCGATATAGTTCCGAAAATGTACGTTCACACCAAAAAAATCCGGAACTAGACCTTAGTAGTTCATGAGAACCTTTTCACCCCCTTTTCAGTCCCTGCTAGAGAGCAGGTACTTTCATGGGAGAAAAAGGTTCCCATTTCTGATTGGCTGGGCGGATTGCAAACCACGCCCCGTAAAACTCCCAAAACGCTTTGTGAAGCCGCCATTTTATTGTCCTCGCATTAGCATTATTAGCATTATTAGCATTAGCCCAGTGCACAAACGGAGAGAGACTAACTTATGGCAACACAAAATAAAGCATGGGAGCGGTGGAGATGAGGAGGTGTCGGCGTTTCTGGCGATTTACTCGGAAGGCTTCAGAAGCTGCTGGGAAGACTACCAACAGCTTCTACTGAAGCCAGTCCCCAACTCCGGGGACTTCCGGCCGGGGACTTCGGGTGGCAGTATACGCCGTGAAGTTGTTTGCGGCCTGCCAGTAAACGCAAAGCAGAAGAAGAAGAAGTAGTGACGTCAGCAGCTTCATTTGCCTAATCCTCCCTCAGGGACTTATTCCGGTGTGAACGCGATCTGCTCTTTAGTTCATCAGAACTAAGTTCATCAGAACTAAGTACGGCAAAGCACTTGGTGTGAAAGCGCCTTTAGAGTGCGTGATGTCACAGCTAGAGTGCAGCAGAGCTTGAAATTCGCCTTCATTTTCTTTTTTAAACCTGCCATGATTCCCAAACCCTACACTCCCTGGACATCATTTTTCATGAAAAACTTAGGAAAACCTCTCCTACGTTGAAAAATAAAAATAAATTAAGAAAAGATATTAAAAAAAATGCCTCTTGAGGGCATGAAGAGACAAAAACTTGTCAAAAAGTCCACCTAGCTCCCAATAGACTCCCATGTTAAATTTGTCCGGATCTTTCTTCAGACCAGAGAGAAGTAAACTTTAGACAAACTGCTCCCATCTTCCATTGTTGAGGTGAATAGATTTACATTGTGCAATTTTCCAAACTCACATTTCTCATACAGCATCTCTGTATAGTATGTGTCTTCACTCTCTGTCCTACACGGCTTGTTGGAGTTCCTGCTCCCCCCCCCTCCCACTGTGCCCTGATTGGTCAGCTCGCCCACTCTGTTCTGATGAGTCCACCACCGTTACAGCGGAACATCAGTGATTATGTGTTACAATGGCCTTAGCAACCAGAAAATTACACCAGTAATGACAAACAGATGAGAATGCTGCGTGGGGTCTGGGTGCCGTGTTGGCGGGACGTTGCGCGGCTCGCTGCTGTGAGGAGCGGACAGTGTGGGCTGGGTTCATTTCCTGCTTGCTGCGTGGGATCTGCGAGACAGCGAGCCATCGCGAATGGACGCGGGAAGGGGGGGTGCTGAGGGGGCACTTGTCTAATAAAACATACATGTTTCATTTGATGATTACATTTAGTTTTATTAATCTGAATCTGCAAAATAACTAGTGACTAAAGTTATAAAACAAATGTAGTGGAGTCACAGTTATTGTCCTCTGAATTGTACTGGACTAATATAATTAAGTAGAAATATAATTACCTCAAAATACAACTTAAAGGTGGGGTAGGTAATTTTGGAGAAACCAGCTCGAGTGTGCTAGAATTTGAAAATACACAACAAAAAATCTGCCACTTCCTTACAGAGCCCCTCCTCCAACACACACTAACGCGCACATGACCAATGAGGGCACGAGATAAGTTTGTGCACAGATGGAAGGCTGACAGGCAGGTAGGCCATCCAGTTATTTTAGCCGGGCCGGCTAAAATGATTGGTCGTGCTTTTTACAGTACTACGGCTTCCACAGATGACATTTTTGTATGTATTTATTGTCAAAGCATTTAATATATTCATTGCTATCGGGATGTTCAGAGCATTCCATGGAATATAACAAAAAGTGTTTCTGAAATAAATTACATACCCCACCTTTAAGTACAGTTCTTTAAATAAATGTAGAACATATCTTGAACCATTTCTAGAAGAAGTTGATGGAAAATGTGACATTTTTTACCTCTCACACAGACAAAAGGAAACGCAGGAAAAGGAGGAACCTGCTCTGACAGAGGAGGTGAGTGTGTGTGCTTCCTCTTCTGCTTAGCGTTTTTTTTTGTATTTTTACTTATTTTATGGTTGGTGAGCTGAGCTTGTGATTTTTGTATTTCATGTCTTTCTTTCTCTGTACAGCACTGTGGTCTGGATGTTTTGGAAGTGCTTTACAAATAAAGCTGTATTGTACTGTTGTATACTCTTCAGACGTATCTCCCGTATCTCAGTGTGTGTGTGTGTGTGTGTGTGTGTGTGTGTGTGTGTTTTCAGGAGGCAGATGAGGTGACGGCGCAAAAAGCGCCCTCTCCTCCGGCGAAGCGCAGTCGCCCCTCAGAGAATAGAGTGACCTTTAACCCCAACGTGCAGGAGTGCCCTCTGATCGCCAACGAGCGCCCCCCAGCGGTGACGCTGAAGGAGGCGGCGGACATCGTGGTCCGGTACCTCGACCCGTTTTACTCTAAGGGGAAGTTTGCCACCAAGGTGAGGGAGAGATAAACCCACAACAGCTCATCTCACTACCAGCCTCATAGTTTAATTTACCCAGACTGCACTTTGTTTGGCTTTTTCAATAACCCTAAATATTTAAAATCCTCATTTCATTTTATATAAAACTGCTTTGCATATCATAATGTATAAAGTAGCCTGTTATATTTTTGGAGGAGTTTTGTCTAGAGTATTCTAACTTATTCTATGTATTGTATTATGTAAATTCTTTAGATATACCCTATATATTTACTGTAGATATGTCTATATTTACTGTTAATGTTTTTGTATTTATTGTTTTTCTTTCATTTTTATTTCTTCTATATTTAACTCTTGTTTAATAACTTGTTTTATTTTATTTATATTTTTATTTTTGTTTAATGCCTTGTTTTTATTATTCAATTTTCAATGTATTTTATAAAATGTTCTATTTCATGTTTAATTTCTTGTCTATATTATTTTTTTTATTCAATTTTTAATAATTATACAAGGCTTTGTTGACATGCTGCTGTCACAAAAGAAAGTCCCAATTTGGAATCAATGAGGTCGATCTTATCTAATATTTTCACGTTTGCAGTGAAAAACAGAGTGAGATTAAACGTATTTTCAGCTGTTGTTTTCTTTGGTTGCAGGAGCTGTTTAAGTCCTTTGCACGCTTTTTATCTCACCTCCTCACAGAGGGGAGTAGTAAAGAGAAAGACCAAGGTAAGCAGGAGATAAATAATCTAAAAGTTGTGCTCTGCTGCATGCGGTCGCCTCCTCTTAAACTCCTCTCTGTGTCTGCAGTTAAAGCCGAAGCCAAAACTCTCATCAATAAGTTCTTCATCAAAGTGCACCACTGTAAGAGCGAGGCGGACTGGACGCACCTGAGGGCGCGGCTGTAAAACCACAGAGAACCAGGAATGATGGGAAGTGGAAATGACATTTTTTTTTAAGGGTCAAGCCCTTCCTCTTTTTCAGTGCCTAAGCTTCTCTCGTCCCAGCGAACTCAGCCACATCCTGAATGCCTGCGGAAAAAAAGTTTAATTTACTGCTACACTACTGCTTAGTCGGGTTTATGTCGATAATAAAGCACTAACGTGACTGTAGAGCAGTGTTGTACTGTGTGCACACGGATATGATGAATTTTGTTTATGTTTCAGCCTGAAAAGTGTGTAAACTTTACATGTTTTGTGTGCAAAGAATGTCATAATTAATGTTCTATAGGCAGCCATTGTCCTTTGTATGTTTAACCACAATATGACACTTCTACGTTACTGCACTCAAGTCTTATTATTATTATTATTATTATATCGCAAAACATTTGTTATGTCTCTGCAAGTTCATACTTACCTGAAATGGATTCAAACCAAAGGGCTCTTGGTATAAACAAGACATACAAATGAATACAGCCATGCTAGCAGCTCTGCGATGCTCTACACAGCAACAAGCGTTTGCTACCTAACACTTAAAACATTACAAACAGATCAAATGTTGACCTGTTGGTGCTGGATACAAATATCAGGATATCAACAGAGGTATTACGGTTCGTCCTCTGGGGACCATGTAAGTAAAGAAGACGTGACAATTCAAAAAATAGATGTTGACATATTTCAGTGTAGACGGAAGTGGTGGATTTATCCAAAGAAACACCTTGTGGATATTGCAAATGCATACTTGGAAGTCATTTGGTACAAAACGTACAAAAACACTGGATTTCTGTTTTGTTTTTATATTTGAAAAAGAGCAGATTGTTCTGTGTTGGGGGGCCTAATATTATTATTCCTGCTGCTACATACGAGGACTTGCATTGTGAATGGACATGCGGTGAAAGTGTCCCGTTGTGTTTTTATTTTCTTGATTCAAAGACAAACCAGAAGTTGTTTTAAATGTGGTTGTGTCTTAAAGTGAGAGGATTATTTGGGCATTTTCGTTGTAGTTATGTTGTTTAGGGTTAACCCGATAAGGGAAATGTTCCTTGGTTATAGTGCCTGTCTGTATGTCAGGCTTTGAGAGGCCACAGTTTCTGTCTCCACAGTCAGGAAGAGGACAGGAAGCAGTGATGGACAGAGGCCTGGCTGTGCAGTGAACAGTCAGTCTGTGCTCCTACATGTTTACAATAAACTGTATGCTGAACAGGACTAACCTCTGAGTGACACCCTGACTGAGTCTTTATTTCCAACACAAATGTCTTCAATTGGACAATTAAACTTATTGGAGGGCTGGGGGGAGGAGGAGAGGTCCGTGCCGGGGACGCTGTTAAATAGACTATGACGTCAGCCCTTGTGGTGCTGCCTTCAGGTGCCTCTTGTTACTTAGGACTTTGCTTTTGGTGCGTTTTAGACAATGAAAGAGAAGGATTGTTAATGGTGAAACGATTGAATAAATGTAATGAGTGACAAAGGATGGCCAGTGTTAAGCTAGGAAATAAACATGCTCCTAGATAACCATCTCAAAGTGTTTATAATGAAGTTATAATTAAATTAAAATAATTTTCTTTACCACAAAGTCAATTATTAAAATTGCCACAGAGACGGGACTGTCTCTGTGGCAATTTTAATAATTGACTTTGTGGTAAAGAAAATTATTTTAATTTGAAACAACCAGGTGAAACAAGCTTTTGAGAGCCTAGGAATAATATTACTCTTTTATTTTAATTTTATACTGACTTTCTTTGTATTGTAGCCTACTGATGTACAATTAACTTGAGAGCATTACAATGTATAGGATGTTATAATACTATCATATTAAATAAATATGTTGGATATATCATAGTAATAATGACAATAATAATGATCATAGTTATTACTTAATTTGTATAGCACGTGTTTAAACGAGGGCAAAGCGTTAATTTATATAAAATACATGAGAATAAAACAAAAAAATAGTAACATAAGGTTACATTGTTTTGTTTTTTTAAATAGCGGAAGACAATTAAAAATAATTCCGGTCAAAAGAAGGAGTGGCAAAACCGAACCAAAGAATAAAAACAACAAAAAAACAAGTTTATATTTGAAGCAATGATTCAATAATTTGGGAGCTCAAGATTTAAATATAAAGTCAATAAACCACACCTATAATTAGTCACTATGTAGTCACACCTTAGTCAAATATTTGTACGCAGAACAACTTCCAAAAAGGCAGCGATGGTGTTAATGTGCCCACATCCGAGGCAGCATTTCCGACAGCACTTGAACGCAGCAGCAGCTTCAGCCACTGAGCTGCCAACCTGCGTCTCACATCACACACACACACTGAGGAGACACAGAAGAAACACTGTGAGGACAAAGTGTGTGTATCCACCAGCTGGTGCACACACACATTTTTATATCATGTATGAACAGCTACGTCACGTGTTTTTTTATTTCATATCTGCAAACGGTTCAAGGAGCAGGTGCGCTGCCGGGATTTTGAGTCTTCATTTGTCTTGAAGGCTTTCACTGCGCCGCTGTTTGTTGTCACTTCCGGGCGAGTCTGAATTAGCAGATCATCACATCGCCGGTGAAGAAGAGGAGGAGGAAGAAGAAGAAGTTGATGAACATCGATGCTCCGTGCAGGCAGGATGGAGGAGTTTGTGACGGAGGAAGAGGAGCCGTGGTACGACCAGAGGGACCTGGAGCAAGGTGAGCATCTCTCCCATCACTCCCATCACTCCCCCTTTATTAGGCTCCAGTGGGGGGATGTCACAATGCACAGTCACCGGCCGTCTTTTGGGATCTCTTTTTTTATTTTTTACTTCTATTATTCATTTTCCAATTTTACTAGCGACGATTCCTTTTAAGTTGGTCTTTTAATTTGGATTACTAGTATTTATTTCGTTTTTATTATTATTATACAAATTATACATTTGCCATATCTTCACTGTATACTGTGCTATGACAATAAAGCCATTGAATCTGTATGAGTCCCACAGAGGGGACATTTACATTGTTACAGAAAAAGTAAAGGGGCAAAATATGAATAAATAGGCATGCATACAATATTACAGATATAAATTACACATACTACTTTCAAAAAGTACCTATCCAGGTAGACAATAATAAGTACAGTAACAGTATTTTAAAAGTAGTGATAGCAGCCAGATAACAGTAGTGAACAATCAAGTTTATATTGCACAGATATCATATTACAGATTGTAGTAAAGAGATGTAAAAATGATAAAGTGTGGGGGGGGGGTTGCATCTACTGTAAAATAAATGTCATGCGCCAATGCACGCACTATGAAAACTGTAAAGCAGTGTCTCTGTCTGTCTCTGTGTCTCTCTGCTCTCCACCTCCGCCAATTACTATGATCTTGTCAACGATGTTTCCCAGAATAGTCCTGCTGTCTGGCTGAGTGATGCTGTCTCTGTTTCATCTCCATTCTTGCAGGGTCACATCTCAAATCCCACTCCTGTCCTCCTAGCTTTGCCTTTTTAAAAAAAATCCATCTAACATTTTGTATCCACTATGCTGGGTTCTAAGACTGGCTGACAAAGAGGGATGTGATGATCTGGCATTATTTATGGAAAAATACAGAAAAAACTCAGCAATGATTTGTTTGTGACACTTACCTATTTCAATGTCTACCCAGTGAAAGCATTATTTGAACTATAAAGGACATAATAATACAATAATTAGTTATGTGTTCACCCCGGACTTGTTTCACTATGTTCTGATGGTGTGTAACATGCTAGTAATTCCACATTTTTAGCAATGTAACACCTGGTCTATTTTCTGTAACTATAAGGAGATACAGTTATCTTGGAGCTTTGTCACAGTCCTGCTGCAGTCATGCTGCGACCCTAAATGCTACCGAAAGATAATGCAATCCATCAGGAGTGTTTGCCTGATGCAGTGCTATCATCCCTCTCAGTAATGACTTAACCGGATGCACTTTCATCAGCAGTGCATCTCTCCAGTGTGTGTGTCCTGCTGCATCGACCCCTCCCCTGATTACCTGCTGACCCAGAGAACTAAAGCAGCTTTATGTCTCATCATCGTAGTCCGAGAGAGAAGAGACGCAGTTGGATTTTGCCGCTGTGTGTGTCTCATCTCAGCCCCGCAGCTCGAAGCCATTAAGCCCCCCCCCCCCCCGCCCGGCTGATCTGATTAGGGAGCCCCAGACTAGACCTCCTTAGATCAGAGATTTCAGCTTCAGGGTCAAATTGGAGGCTTCGGCCTAACGTCATCCTGCATGAGCTCACCATCAGGCAGGATTTTTGCCCCAGAAATGCTGCTGTTATGCAACTGCTCGCCTGCCAGCTCTGAGATTTGTTGACCTCTGCGTTCATTTTGACAAACATATGAAGAGAGTATGTGCAGATGGCGGACGGGTGATGTCATGTTTGTGTCGGCTGAGGAGCATGTGATCCAACGTGAGGACAGTCAGGGATGGAAGCCATGTAGGGATGCAGCTAGAGATTATCTTCATTATTGATTATTCTAGGGATTATTCTCGTGATTAATCGTTTGGTCTGAATGTCAGAAATGAGTGAAAGATCCATACTAGTTTCTCAAAGTCAATGGGAGGCCTTTTTAATATCTTGTTTTGTCATTAAAAAAAAACCCAAAGATATTTAGTTTATTGTAAAATACAATTGTGAAAATCAGGAAATCTCCATATTTAGGGGCTGAAAACCAAATTATCTGCCATTTTTGCACCAAAAACCACCAAAATAATCAATTATAAAAACAGGAGACGATTTTTCTGTCAATCGACTATTCAATGATCTCCCATCACCTCTAATGTCTCTGCAAAAATCGATTGAATGTCTTTTTTTTGTTTTAATAGCAAACTCATTTTAGATGAAAAGACCAAACAATCACAAAGATGGCAGCTAATTATTTTATGACAATCAACTTATCAATTAGTCGACCAATCGGTGCAGCTCTAGCTTTCTTTATCATGTGACAGCCTTTTGTTTCTTTAGCTGTCTGGTGTTATTTCCTCAGCTCAGCCTCCTCTCAGCTGTGCGCACGATTCTGACATTACATAACTAAGACTTGGCACGTGTCGGCCCTCAGAGGCAGAAACAGTGCAGTGACTGAGCTGAACCCGGGGGGTGATGCTGTGCTCTCTCCTCACACACACTCTCCTCACACACACTCTCCTCTCATTATCACTCTGCAGCTCAGACCAGTGTTTTGTTATAAAGACTGCGTTTTTTGAAACAGGAAGTCACAGCCTGTCCCTGTCTCCCTCGACAGCACTGGAGACAAATGTATCATCATTGGCTGTGAGCTAATGATGCTTGTTAAGTATGTTATATAAAACATTTACACGTGCATACAGTAGCAGTATCTAATCTCTCCCTGTCATTGCTCACGCCCAGGCTTCTGAAGGTTACTTAAAAAAATGTATTACGTTACTAGTTTCCTGATATACAGGCCTAATGATTCTAAAGTTTATCGGCTAGGCCTATGTCATAGTAAGGTTTACAAATTAAAAGCACTACACAGTATTTTTGTCTAAAGTGTTTTTGGGAGTTTTCCTTTCCTGTAGTGTTTTTATTGCATGTACAGCACTTTGGCTTTACCAAAAATCGTTTTTAAAATGTGCTATATAAATAAAACTGGATTTGATTTGATTTGATAGGTTTTTGTGCATGTAAATGGTCTGCTAAGACTACAGACTAAATCCCACGTGTGCTTTTATTGGTTAGGGTTACACATTTGATATGATAGACTAAGGGTCAGGACATCTCTTAGAGGTGGACCAATCACAACAGAGCCGACCAGCTAACCAATCAGAGCAGACTGGGATCAGGGTGTTTCAGAGCACAGGCAGTATGAGAAAAGTAAAGAGCTTTTTGAACATTCAAGCATGTAAACATGTCACAGTAGAGACACAACATACAAATATGATCCTGAAAATGAACATAAAAGCAGCACTATTTCCCACCCAGTGAAAGCATTATTTTAAATATAAAAGCCATAATGAAGATTGGAAGATTTGTGGTTTTTTCATCTTGTTACATGTAATCCATTACTCGCCGAGCCAGCTGACGCCCAGCACTCTGGTGGTCAAACCCTTCCTCCATATCCAGTAATGGTGTCAATGGCTGTCTCTGTGTCCTCCCGTCTCTCCACTCCTCCACTGCTGTGTTGTTCTGCAGAGCCAGCAGGATTCTCCTCCTCCTCCTCCTTCTCCTCCTCCTCCCCATTCCAGCTAGGCTTCTTCTCACCAGACAAGATGAATAATGTATGCTGCAAGCTGTGTTGTAAAAATAACAGCGACTGTTAGGCTGGCGTCTGCTGTGTTTCAGTGAGCAGATGAGTACAGGATCATTAGGATGTGCCATGTTCATCGTTTTGTTTTAATATGGTGCTTGGATGATTATAACTTAAGGCTGGTTGTGTCTTTAATTAATGATGGAAGTGTGTTGTTAGTAGAAAAGCTTTCACGTCAGCATCTCGAGAGAAAAAAGACTGAACATCCGGGTTTAGAACACTTAAGGGATTTAATCAAAAACAGGATGTTATGTTTGGTATTTTAAAGTAATTTCCGAAATGAGGTAGCCTGTTCGTGTAGGGTGGAAATGCTTAATGTTGGTGAATGGACAATAATGAAAGTACTGTACTTAAAGGGGACCTATCATGCAAAATGCACTTTTGTACGTCTTGTATACATGAATATGTGTCCCCGGTGTTCCAGGGAACTCACCAAGTGTCAGAAAACACAACCCTCTCTATTTTCCTCCATACCCAAATCTCTAAAAAAGGGGCTGCAACGGATCTGATAAAAACTGATCCAGATTTGAACACTGTCCTGACGTCAGGACGGTGGCGCTACGGCTATTGGGCCAACTCCACCAATCAGGAGGAGACAGCCACGGCCATTGCCGTTCGAAAGCGCTGGAGACGCTGTAGTACATATGCCAGGCCTGTAGATGGTGCTGTTCTCACTGAATCTGCCCTTGCAAAAACAGGGCTAAAAAAAGTGCAAATTGAGCGAAATGAGGCATGGCTAAAATGCATGATCTGTTTGGTATTTTGAAAAAAGAAAAGTATAAATATGCCTTATATAGGTATGGTCCTACACTATATTATTATAATATAGCATGATAGGTCCACTTTAAGTAAATTATTTAGCTAGTAGTTCTTTGCTTGTGTACTTCTATGTTATGCTACTTTATTCTTCAACTTCACTACATACAGAGAAATAATGTATTTTGACTCCACTATTATCTGACAGCTTTAGTTACATTACAGATGAATAATGGTTTGAGGTTAAAGGAGGCAAAACCTATCCAATATATAACAAAAAGATAAGAAAGAAATTCCTTGAACACTTTGTGTATCAAAACACATAAACTGTTTGTTTATAACAGTACAATGCTACTTGGTGCAACAGTATTATCAATCTTATATAGTCATACCATATATAATCAGATGAAGCAAACAGAGGTCATTTTCCTGCAGAATGGGTTCTTTTACCTTCAATATTTTAGTGAGATTTTGAATGCAAATCCTTTAATCACATTAATGTAGTTGTACTTTTACTTAAAGGTAGGGTAGGTAAGTTTGAGAAACCGGCTCGAGATCGCTAGAATTTGAAAATACACAACCGGAGAAAATCTGCCACTTCCTTACAGAGCCCCTCCTCCAACACACACGAACGCGCACATGACCAATGAGGGCACGAGATAAGTTTGTGCACAGATGGAAGGCTGACAGGCAGGTAGGCCATCCAGTTATTCTAAAATGATTGGTCGTACTTTTTACAGTATTACGGCTTCCACAGATGACATTTTTTTATGGATTTTTTGTCAAAGCACTTAAGATATTCATTGCTATCGGGATGTTAAGAGCATTCCATGGAATATAACAAAAAGTGTATCTCGAGCCGGTTTCTCAAACTTACCTACCCCACCTTTAAGTAACCAATCTGAATACTTCAATCACCACTTTTTAATGAGCACCTCAGCTGCAGTGAGTGCTTCTCTTGAAATCCCTTGAAAAAGTGTTTGCCAGTGAACTCAGATGCCCCTCTCTCACCCCTTCCTCCTGTTTGTGTCTGTGTTTCCTTCTCGCCCCCTGTCAGACCTGCACTTGGCAGCCGAGCTCGGTAAAACCCTCCTGGAACGCAACAAGGAGCTGGAGGACGCCCTGCAGCAGATGTACATCAACAACGATGATCAAGTGCAGGAGATAGAGGTGAGTGTGTCCTACATATTGTTACTCTGGGAGTGTGTTGCAGATAATTAGTGTGAAGCAGGGATAACTTGAAAGAAAAAAGATAAATCAAGGAGCACCAGGAGTGTTTGTTCTGTGGACATGAAAGATTAATGGCTGATTCTGTCGTCTCATCAAAGACTCGACTCATTATTAGTCAGAAGCCTGGCTGAGGATGAGTGTACTCATGTAGACACAGTACATAACTGTGGAAGCTGAAGAATGTAATTTATGTCCCTAAAAATAAAAAATGTCATAGTATGTATAGTATGTCGTAGTAAATGTCATGATTATGTCATAGTACAGTGCATCTGGAAAGTATTCATACCCCTTCACTTTGTTCACATTTTGTTATGTTACAGCCTTATTTCAAAATGGATTGAATTCATTTTGTTTCTCAATATTCCACACATAATACCCCATAATGACAAAGTGAAAACGTTTTTAAAGATTTTTTTGCAAACGTGTTAAAAATAATCAAATGAAATATCACATGTAAATATTCACACCCTTTGCTTTGACACTGGAAATTGAGCTCAAGTGCATCCCGTTTCCACTGATCATCCTTGAAATGTTTCTATAACTTGATTGGAGTCCACCTGTGGTAAATTAAATAGATTGGACATGACTTGGAAAATAACACACCTGTCTATATGAGGTCCCACAGTTGACAGTGCACATCAGAGCACAAACCAAGTCATGAGGTCCAAGGAATTGTCTGTAGACCTCAGAGACGGGATTGTATCAAGGCACAGATCTGGGGAAGGGTACAGAAAAATGTCTGCAGCATTGAAGGTCCCAACGAGCACAGTGGTCTCCATCATTTGCAAATGGAAGATGTTTGAAACCACCACGGCTCTTCCTAAAGCTGGCCGCCCAAACCAAACTGAACATCGGGGGAGAAGGACCTTAGTCAGAGAGGTGACCAAGAACCCGATGGTCACTCTGACAGAGCTCCAGTGTTCCTCTGTGGAGATGGGAGAACCTTCCAGAAGGACAACCATCTCTGCAGCACTCCACCAATCAGGCTTTTATGGCCAGAAGGAAGCCACTCCTCAGTAAAAGGCACATGAAAGCCCCCATGGAGCACCTAGAGTACTCTCAGACCATGAGAAACCAAATTGTCTGGTCTGATGAAACCAAAATGGATCTCTTTGGCCTGAATGCCAAGCATCATGTCTGGAGGAAACCAGACCTGGCCAATACCATCCCTACAGTGAAGCATGGTGGTGGCAGCATCATGCTGTGGGGATGTTTTTCAGCGGCAGGAACTGGGAGACTAGTCAGGATCAAGGGAAAGATGAATGCAGCAATGTACAGGGAGATCCTTGATGAAAACCTGCTCCAGAGTGCTCTGGACCTCAGACTGGGGAGAAGGTTCACCTTTCAACAGGACAACGACCCTAAGCACACAGCCACGATAACAAAGGAGTGGTTTCGGGACAAGTCTGTGGATGTCCTTGAGTGGCCCAGTCAGAGCCCAGACTCGAACCCGATTGAATATCTCTGGAGAGATCTGAAAATGGCTGTGCACCGACGCTCCCCATCCAACCTGATGGAGCTTGAGACAATCTGCAAAGAACAATGGGAGAAACTACCCAAAGATAGGTGTGCCAAGCTTGTAGCATCATACTCAAGAAGACTTGAGGCTGTAATTGCTGCCAAAGGTGCTTCAACAACGTATTGAGTTAAGGGTGTGAATACTTTTGCACATTTGATATTTGAGTTTTTTATTTTTTATCAATTTGCAAAAGTTATTTTAAAACTTTTTTCACTTTGTCATTATGGGGTATTGTGTCTAGAATGTTGAGAAAGCAAATGAATTTAATCAATTTTGAAATATGGCTGTAACATAAGTTGCTGTGGAAAAAGTGAAAGGGTATGAATACTTTCCGGATGCACTGTATATTGTGAGGCAATCATAAAAAACCATAGTATAGTATGACATAATAAATTGAATAAAACGTCATAGTATAGTATTTCACAATAAATATCATTAAAAAGTCATGCCAGAACAAATATAAAAAAGTAGTAGTATAGAATATCACAATAAATGTCATAAAATATTCTTAACATTTAAACTTCACTGGTCACTAGTTTTTATGCATTTTTGGTCACATATTGGTCATGTGTTACAGCTGACTCAAGATGTAGACATATTTTATAGTTCAAATTTGAGTTGATTTTTTATTTACATGTGTGTTGAACTACTAAAGATGAATTTAGTAATGAATCTGTTACTTTTGACCTTGCCTCCTTGCAGTACCTGTCGAAGCAGCTGGAAACGCTACGGGAGATGAACGAGCAGCACGCCAAGGTGTACGAACAGCTGGATGTGACGGCCAGAGAGCTGGAGATCACCAACGAGAAGCTGGTGCTGGAGAGCAAGACCTCGCATCAGAAAATAGACAGGTGAGAACACACAGTATACAAAAACATAGGGCTGTGCAATTAATCGTATTTTAATTGCAATTACGATTTTGGCCTGCCACAATTACGAAAACAACATAATCGAAAAAAACAATTATTTTACTTTGCTAGGTTGTGACAGTGCACTGCAACATATTTGATCTCATTAATTTTGGTCTCATTTATTTGTATTTATATATGTTTAGTAGCTTGGGGAAGTGCGCTCCAAAATATTTGTTGATCTTGTTTATTGGTATTTATTATTTTGATATTATTTATTTAAATGTATCATTTATTTTATTTATTTTTGTATTGGTTTTTCAGTTGAATTATACGTTCAGGGTAATCAACAGTTAAAAAGATACTGTTCAAATTATTATTTGTATTTGTTTTAAAGTTCAATAAATTGATTTTTTCAAAGTCAATGAATAATTGTATTTAATAATCGTGATATCAATTATTGACCCAAATAATCGTGATTATGATTTTTGCCATAATCGCACAGCCCTACAAAAACATGTTCGGAACAAGAGCCATGTCACATATCACCCTCGTCATCATCACATAACGGGCTTTTAAAGGGACGTTTTGAAGCCAAACAAGCATTAACCAACTGAAGGCTTGGACATTAATATTAAAGCTGGGCAATATGGATTATAACAAATATCTCAATGTGTTTTACCAAATACCTCAATATCGATAGTGCCAAGATATTGTAGGGCTCATTATGGGTGCTTTCATAAAATATGTCCACAATGAGATTTTTGATAATCACCAGTAGTTTGGAGAAAATTACTGAATTACAAAAATTAATTATATGTCATCACTTCACTGTAATGCATCCTATAAACCAGGAAAAGGAAATGTAGGAACATATTTGGTCTCATATCAGGATATCATTATAACATTGATATATTGCTAATTGAAAATACATCATAAAACGTTGTAGTAAACACTGCTCCATGTTTGCTGAAGGAACACCAAGTGTGTGTTTACAGGCCTCCTCTACTAGAGCAACTAAAGAGGATTTACATTTTTGCTATCCTTAGCAATTTCATAATCATAATCTGGGATGGAAGTTCTTTACAAATCACATTAGTGGTCTCAATGCTAAAGACTTCAATGGCTGCCTCTGTTCTCTCTGAACAAGCTCCTTCACATTCTCTATGTGGTAACAAGTCACTGCAGCTTTAGGAGAACGCTATGCTCAGAGAGAGAGACATTATTAAGTCACCTTGATTATGATAACAAGCACTAAACAAACATGTGTGTGTTTGCAGGTTGACGGGCACCATGGAGATGCTGCACGGTCAGGTGGAGAGCCTGACCACTCGGGTGGAGGAGCTGCGGACCCTGGAAGAGCTGAGGGTCCGCAGAGAGAAGAAGGAGCGCCGCAAGACTGTGCACTCCTTCCCCTGCCTCAAGGAGCTCTGCACTGCGCCAAGGTCACTCACTGCACTGGGTTTCTTTTCTATTGGACAGTATGCATCAACGAAAAGGCCCTACACTTTATTCAAACAGATACATGTTACAAGTATGCTGCAAATACTTGCTGCATGAAACACAGATATAAAAGTTAATTCTGCAGGAAACCCGGTGGTTTGAGCAAAGTCATTCTCCAGTAATTATCAGACTGATGATGGGATGATTTACTCACAAGACTATTACAGTTTATTATACAGTCATGTGACACAATCGTAACATATTTACTTGAAATGTGACTCTCCATCAAATAAAAAAGTAACATTATATTAATTTTCAGTAACTGACTGCAGAGTGGCAGTAACAGTTGTCTCTGAAGTTTCTGACTTGTGGAATCGAGATGATTTGATGCACTTAAAGGTCTCCTATCATGCTAAACTTTTTGATGTCTTTTATACATAAATGTGTCCCCGGTGTGTCAGGGAACTTACAAAGTGTCAGAAAACAAAACCCTCTCTCTTTTCCTCCGTACCCACGTCTCTAAAAACGGGGGCACAACGGAGCTGATCCAGATTTGCTACCGATATGTCATATTGGAAATGTGGGCTGGCTTTACACCCACATCAGAAACAATGCCCGACGTGTTTTGGACGTAATATGGTCTGTGTTTACATTAGCAGGCATCGCTAACACTCAGAGCTAACCTGTACTGGAGAGAGTATGTGTAAAAAAGCAGGAAATAAAAAAAGGAACTCACCTTGTGGTAAACCCGCAAGAGAAAAAGCATTTGAGCTCCATACTGTTTCAGAAGAAGAAACAGGACACATTTTCTTTTAAAAGTTATGCGAACACCCATTAGTATGTGATTGTTTAATTTGGGTTTATGTGGTCTTTAAATAATTCTTAACAACTAGAACAAATGTATGATTGTGCACTTGTGGAGTATTATTGTAAAAACGTCAACACTTCTTCTCAGGTATGAGGATGGTTTCCTGCTGGCCAACCCGGGCAGTGTGGACCTGGCGGAGAGCCGGCCGCTGGACGAGGAGAACGAGAGACTCAGAGACATCGTGTCCTCCCTACGCTCAGCTGTCTCTGCAGAGCGGTCCCAGCGGGAGGGCACGGAGCGGGAGTGTGCCTCCGTGCTGCAGGAGTTCGAGCGTCTGGAGCAGCGGCTCCTGGGAGCGGAGGGCTGCCAGCTGAGGATCCAGGAGCTGGAGGCGGAGCTGCAGGAGATGCAGCAGCTCCGGAAGTCCAGGGTGTGTCTGATTGGAGGGATGGAGGACAGCCTGGAGACGCTGCTCAGCAACGGCCCCGAGACAGACACCCCGGACGAGGGCGTGGGGCAGGAGGAGGGGGGCGGGGGAGAGGCAGGGGGCTCGGGGCAGCAGGGGGGCCCGGTGAGGAAGAGCTGCAGCGACACGGCTCTGAACGCCATCTCCGCCCGGGACGCTTCGGGCAGGAGGCAGGGCAGCTACGCCACACATGCTAACGGCGTGCGGAAACGCGGCATGTCCATCCTGCGCGAGGTGGACGAGCAGTACCACGCGCTGCTGGAGAAGTACGAGGAGCTGCTGGGGAAGTGCCGGCGCCATGAGGAGAGCCTGTGCCACGCGGGGGTGCAGACCTCCAGGCCCGTGTCCAGAGACCCCTCCATGAAGGACTACAGCATGGTGAGCGCCGGGCCGTCCACATCAGGGGCTGTCGCCGCCATGCTCACGCCGCCTCAAACCCCCTCCACCCCGGAGGCCCTGGAGGGGATCAGCCGGCAGGTGGAGCAGGTGGACAAACGCCTCAGCCAGAACACCCCCGAGTACAAGGCGCTGTTCAAAGAGATCTTCAACCGCCTGCAGAAGACCAAGAGCGACGTGAACTCCAAGTGCAAAAAGGGTCACAAATGAGATTTGAGAGGACTTTTTGTCTTACGTTTGACCACCAGTGACTTAAAGGGTGAATACCTGCAGTCATTGGTTGGGTGATTAATAATGCTTATTGTTAGGGTGAATGGCTGATTTAACTGAAAATGCCTTTTTCTCAGTGACCTTAACTGAAGAATAATCAGGAGGAGATTAGGACAGATTAGTGAGTGATGTAGTTTGTGATTGAGATGTGTTGATGCAGGAATTATTTAACTTCTATTTTTTATTTATGGAAACCAATTAAGCCAAATAATATAAAAAGAGAAACAAGCCGGCTTTGAAACTACTTACAGCATTTAAAGCATGCACCTGTCTAATAAACACTAAGTGCTTAATAAGTCTTTTAAAGCAGGAAGAAACAAACCACACGCTACTGATCAGCTTCAGGTCGCATAAAAGGCGCAACAGTGTGATACTTTAGTGTGTTTGAATTTGTTGGTTCAAATCCTTCAGCTGCCAAAGTGTACTGTGCATACGTGTTACATTTGTTTACTTTCATGGTTTAGTTCAACTTATCTGGTGAATGAGATGAGATGCCTCTGGTGTTTTTACAGCATGCATTACAAGCAGCAGGGATTCGTTTGACATGACAACATTATCAGTTCTACGCCATACTACTACATTGCCATTTAAAATGTTTTCTGTTGATTAAAATAACAAACGTATAATCCATTGTCTTTTTTCTGTTAAAAGAGAATCTATTTTGTTTGTGTTTTTGCCTTTCCTGTAGTGTGTTATAGGTTTGTGCGCATGTAAATGCTCTGCAAAAGCTAAAATCCCAAAGTTCCCTCAAGAGGGAGTTTCTCTCCCACACCGCCCCCCCCCCCTGCCTGAAACGCCTCCATTGGACTCTTGTTTACTTCTGTAATATAGTGACATCACTATGTAACACTATTGGCTAGCGCTCCAACACATTGGGTGTTTCTCAATCGCGAGTAAAGCTGCTTCAGAGCCACTATTTCAAGCATACTACGTCATCGAGTGCCGCCGAAGTACTGTTCCAATCTCCAGCATACTTGGAAATCTACCGAGCCCGGCGTACTCCGTTTGGAGAAATATCGAGGCTGCACATGAGTAGACTCCGCGGTCTTAAAATCCCCACAATGCTTTGCGCACGGACCAATTTCCCCAAATCTGTGGCGGAAGATGTAAGGCGGGGCCTCTCATATGACGCACACCTGCACACTTGCTAGCGTGTTCCACACTTCGTTTTCCGAATGCCAGGAAGTATTCTTGACTCGCTTCTGAAGCAAGACGCTCGGCAGACATGTGCTACCAAGCAAGCGTACTCGCGATTGAGAAACACCCACTGTATATGATAAGACATGTCCCGCCCCTTGGCCTAAGTGGTTGACCAATCACAACAGAGCTTTTTTTAACATTAAAGCATGCACACAATACAAATATGAACCTGAAATGAGCATAAAAAGGCCCCTTTAAGTCCTAGTGCAGGTTGAATAAAACAACAGGACACATGCAGGCCCAGTCTGAACACTTTAATGTGAACACAGGATATCAGTAAACTGTAGGTAATACAAGAATCACACATTGAGTAAAACCCAACCTACAGAGACAAACATCAGTCTGTGACACAAGCGCCTAATGAAGCAGTGGATACAGACTTCATTTCCATACTTCTGGAGTGTATAAAAAAAAGAATAACAATTTATATACGTCTGGTTGGGGACTGATGTCTCTACACTGGTTCAGAAGTCAATTACAGACAACGTTTCACCTCCTTGATGTCGAGCACAGAGTGCCGTCGTCAGCAGGAGCAGCATGTGGTTGTAAGAGAGGCACAGTCAGCGGTGGTCATTTTAAACTCGAGTAATACAGGATGAGTGGTTTTACAGTCCTTGGACACGTTGGAAGAATATGGCCAACGGGACTAGAAAAGGACACTGGGTGGTAAAAAGCCATTAGTACAACCTGGACTCATCCTTACAGCTGTTGTCAATGATCGAAAAAAAAAAGTTAATTCAACACTGTCAAGAAAAGGATGTTTGTAAATCAAGCTAACATGATGGACGCTAACACAATGGCTTTTTACAAATCGTCATACCTGAATTAAAAGATGTTAAATTCCCTGTCCATGTGGTGTTAGGATGTATCACATTATGTATATATCAGAAGGCAAATGGCTCATTTAGGTAGTCTATTTCTTCCAATGGGTTATGTTAAGGCCACATGGCTGCTAAAAAGAACTGACAATATACCCTGATCAGGAGAGGAAGACCTACAGCGAGGGGTCACAGCGGGTCAGGGGTCAATTAGTTTCAGACTAAATCATTTGAAAAAGAGGTGGCCTGAATCCCAAATAATTTTGCGGGACCCTGATACGAATAATCTGCTCAGAGGCTTTCGGAGGTCCAAGAGTGGTTTCCAGCTATGATTTCTCAAATACAGCTTGATCTTCCTGTACGATGCTATTCAAGGCAGATCACGGTATTCATAGAAAAAAAACAATCCGGCAGTAGATAAGAATGAAAGAGAGGGTACAGGGGGGGGGGGATCACTTTCAGCAGTTAACAAGACTATATTTTTTTACTTATTTTTTTCTTTTATAAACAAACTGAGAAATCTGGATGGTGCACATCGTTTGCTTTCTCCTTTTGTATAGTTTAGCAGAAAGGTGCAAATGAATGAAAGCGCTAGGATGGAAGGAGCTGATTGGAATTTAGAAAAACTGTAAAGAGCGGGGGGGGGGGGGGGGGGGGGGGGGGTTGTCGATGGACGGAGAGCATCTCAAATCAACACGTAAATCCAGACAGATAAAATGGAATGACAGCAAGAAAGGAAAGAGGGACCAAGCGGAGGAAGACGTGGAGGGCGAGTCATTCGGTCCAGTCTTTCTTGATCGCGATGCACCACTCCCAGGAGAGGTGGTCGTGCTTGTCGTCGTCGGTGAACTTGGACTTGATGGTGTAGGTGCCGCGGGCGATCATCCCTTTGGGGGCGTCCTCCATGGGGGTGACGTACGTGTACTCCTCAGAGGGTCTCGGGCCATAGCTGCCCACCATGTAGTCAGACTTCTCAACTGCACATTGGAGAGAGTGAGAAAAAAGGGTTTCAACACATTTCTTAAAACAAAGCCTTAGTTTTTAGACCATTAAACAGAACGTGTATATTGATTTTACACCGGAAGGAATGCCAAAAAATGTGCCACAACTTGCTTTACAGAGAATAAGTAAAGCAAACAATCACCACTACAGCTGTAATGATTAGTAGACTTATCCATAAACAGAAAAACTCTGCTAATATCTGGAAATTGATTGATTTTTAAAGTAACACTTTTTTTTGCCTCTCAAATATGGAGACTTACTAATTTTCTCTGTAGTAAACTCAAAACATATCTGGGTTTTGAATCGACAAGTCACACATTTCACCTTCTGTAGGGGGGCATTTTTTAGACCAAAAGGTTAATTTCTTGATTTAGAAAAATAATCTGCAGATGAATCAACAAGAGAAATGTTACTTGAAGCCTTCATCTCCACAAACTAAACACATACAGTTATTCCAACAAGAAAGCCAGTTCCTTTTGAAGATTTTTAACCTCGGGTTGTACAAATGAAATCTGTAATTGTGGTAAAATACGCTTGAAGCTAAACTAACCGACTGCTGGGTTAAGCTTTATATTTAATCTGCTGCCTTCAATGATGAATGACCCCGATCTCTTCATTAAAGTCTTAAAAAGAAAGCAAATAGCATTTCCTTAAAATGTTGAATTGATCCTTTAAGTCTTGGTGCTGTTTTAGATAAGATTTTAATTTGCAATATACTTGAGGATTTGCAGCTGTTAAATAAAATGAGGTGTTCTTACCCTTAATTCCTCCCCGGAATGACTGCTGAGTGTACTTCATGCCGGACACAATATCCTTGTTGACCTGCAAAGGGAGACATCGTCACATCCTGCTCGAACGCTTCATAACAAAGATGGCTTCATAACACCAATACTGCTACGTTACTGCAACAGTTTGACTCAACAAACAGAGAGGAATCCAGAGCCCCTCACCTTGAAGTTGATCTGTATTCTATATTCCACCCCTTCCTTGAGAACAAATGGGCTCTTCTTGAATTTAGTCAGGTCTCCTAAAAGGGAAAACAACACAAACAGAAAGGTCAAAAGGTGGAACGAAGCTGTTGCTCAAAGCGGTGAAGCGCTCATCCACCACTTGGACTCTGCAAGTCCCTGCCTGCAATCAACATGTCGTTATGTCCTTGGGCAAGATGCTTAACCCCAGGTTGTGTGTGTGTGTGTGTGTGTGTGTGTGTGTGTGTGTGTGTCTTTCCCCAAGCACTTGGTATGGCAGCCTCTGCCTCTGTATGAATGTTTTGGTATCAGAATACCTTTATCCGTCCCACAGAGGGGAAATTGTTACTCAAGAAGCATTCATAAGAAAAAGTATTTAAGATAAAAACTAGAAATTACATAATTTACAAGATACACAGTACCAGTTTAGCGACATAGCAGCCAGGCATCAGTGAATGCTGACTTGTATGCAAGTGCTTTGAGTGGTCGCAAAGACTGGAAAGGCGCTATTTAAAAAAAGTATACATTTCAGTGCCGAGATATATAACTAAGGATCAGTTTGGCACAACATGCTTTTACACAGTCTAAAACATACAAAAAGGTTACAAAAAGAGGGGGTTTTATGATTAGGATTGAACTCACAAAGATATAAAATAACTATTTAAGGGTGTGCTGAAGACTTTCCTAAAGCCTATAGTTAGAGCTGGTTGTTCTATTGTTTTTTTATCCAATTGTATTTTTATTTTACATTCTATGTTGTCCTTTTATTATATTCTCTTTTTAGCACTGTCATTCATGTTTGTTTATCTGTACTGAGACAAATGTGTTTTGTGATATTGGGCTACATAAATAACATTGGATTGTTATGATTTTTTTTTTTTTAACCTATAGAAAAGGGAATTTAATTCTCAAAAGCAAAGTGGAGTTGTATTGTGATTTTCAGCCCTCTGCAGTAACACCAGTGACCAGCAGGGGGCGCAGTGACCCTGGCTCTGCTGTGGTTCATTGTGAGGACTGGCAGGAGCACCAGGACATGGCTCATTAACCCACTTCCCAAGGAATCATATCATTACTAATTAGTGGAGTAATGACCCAGCAGGTCATTTGGTCTATATCTGCACACAAAGGTGGGAGTGATTACTCTCCATAATTAATGTTACTATGAGATACTACTCTCCCAGGAAAGAGAGTTGCTGTCCATTCAGAAAACAGACAACAATAATCACTCTGCTGTTGGGATTTGTCTGGATCTCAAACTGCCGTGTCTGCTGTACTCACCCGTCAGGTCGAGCACCAGAGGGTGAGGGGCCGTTTCACACTTCAGAGTCATCCCTATCACCTGCACGTTGGGGGCCGTGGGGTCTGAGAGAGAGAAAAGTATCCAACATTATGATCAGACAGAGACATTCACATTGTTTTCAAATAGAAGTATCTTGCTTACTTCACCCTTCTTTGAGTTGTTTTGCTTTCAAACATTGAATAGGTAATGCCAGTTTCATAAATATAGTAAATAACGCGCAAGGGAGAATTTAGAATAGTTTTTAAATATGTGAACACATTATAATCTGTACATTCGCTTCTAGCAACAAAACACTTAAGTGCTTTCCTCCTCTCGGCCTTGTCCTTACTCTCCCACTG